TCTTCTTCTTCTTCTTCTTCTTCTTCTTCTTCTTCTTCTTCTTCTTCTTCTTCTTCTCTTTTATTTTAATAAATCGGCACTCATAGGGGGACGGGGATGTACAGATATATATTCATTAATTCTTTGCCACATCGAACCTTCTAGTGGTCTCTCTAATCATTACGCTATTGATGGCGTGAGCCACGGTCATCCAAAGACTACGTAGCATGTTGCAATCTAGAATAAGGTCTCTGCTTGTGGATTTAGCGACTCTTACGTACGTACGGTATACGTAAATTGGACACATGACTGTAGACTGATTGATTGATTGATTGATTGATTAAATCCTACTCGGTTTCAGCCGTGATATCCACAGCTATGCCCGGCGAGCAGGCGTGGCGGACAGCCAACGTGATGCGGAAACATGTTGCTCCGCGCCGCCCCACTTCATTCCTGCGAGCAAGAACCATCTGTCCGCGGCGGCCTGCCGTTTCCCCTCAACCACTATCTACATATGCTTTGGCGGGCCATCTAGATAACGGTTCTACTGACTGTATGCTGTGTTTCTAGGCTCGTAGAGGCGTACTGCCTCGTCTGTCGCGTCCGCTGTACCTACAGTCTCCCCCCAACGCTCGGCGTCGTCTACGTATCTCTGATCCCCACTTGCCCAAGGATCTGCGTCTGTTCTATATACTCGATGGCTTTAGTGGCTAGCTGTGGCGTGCTCAGGATTGTCTGGAGGCTGTGTCGTCCGGACAGGTTGGCGAAGATGCGGTTCTGGAGGTCCTTATGTTTCCTGCAGCGGAGGAGAACGTGGGCGACAGTCTGTCGCCTCTCGCCACACTCGCAGCGCAAGGTAGTGACGTCTGGCACTCTTTGGTTGAAGAGGAAGTCGTTGAGCCCAATCTTCTCAGTGCGCAATTGCACCAGTAGAGCGCTCTCCCGCTTGGTGAGGCCTTGGTGGAGCTGAAGCACCTTTTTGGTGGGTGTTGGCGTGTGTCTGTATGTCGCTCGACCTTTGGTTTCAATCCTCCATCTGGCTATCCAATCTCTCTCTGTTTGTGATTTGCACCATCGTTTGAGTGTCGATCTGAGCGGGTGTAGCTTCAGGGGTGCGTTTGCTGGCTGCTGGCTGCGTCCGTCCTCTCTCCATCTGGTGGCTTCTTTAGCAGCTGTGTTGGCGGCTTCATTCCCTGGAATGCCCACGTGGGCTGGAATCCATTGGATGGTCACCGTTCGGCCCATGTCCTGAAGATCCTGGACTTGTTGTGCAATATTGCTGAGGATGTAGGCGCCTAATCGCCCTTTGGCCTTAGTTATAGACTAGATGGCAGCTGGGTTGTCTGTGTAAATGGCGATTTTTCGCCTGTTGCCGTCTCTTTCTGTGTATTCTTTTGCAAGCTGTAGCGCAAGGTTGACCCCTTGCAGCTCTGCTGCGTATACTGTTGACGTCGTGTCAGATCCCATGTGCACTGCTCGTGTCTGCTGTGTGAGTAAGCACACGGCTGCCAATCCTATTTCGCCTTTGATGCCGCTGCCATCTGTGTAGATGCTGAGGTTGTCTTCTTTTGTGTACTCTCTATCGTGTCTTTCTCGTGCCTTCTTGGCTGTTGTGTCAATGTGTGTTGTTGGGCCTCGTCTCCAGGGTGGAGTGAGGAAGCACGGGATTTGTTCTTGCGTGCTGAAGCCTTGGCTGCGCCTCTGCTCTATGTTGTTGTGGATCTTCTGCCATAAGTCGGTGTGTTTCTTGCTAGTTCTGAGTCCTGTATTTTGTGTGTTGTTTGCTAAGAAGCCTGCTGTGCTTGCTATGTCTGTGTTTGAGAGGAGTTGGGTGACTGTCTCTGCATTGTGTTTCTATATTTGCTGCTTGATGGGAAAGAGGAATGCTTCGACGTCTAGTGCAGGTCTTGAGGTGGCCTTGAAGGCTCCACATATGGTTCTTGCTGCCCTTGCTTGAATGCTTTGCAGTATATTCAAGGTCTTTTGGGTATAAAGCTTGCCTTTTGTGCTGGCGTTTGACCAGATTAAGCAGGCATACATTATTTGTGGGAGCGCGGTGCCTTTGTACGGCCTGCGCATATCGATAACTCTAATGCCCTAGGTAGAGCTCCTAAGGCAGCTTAGCGCAGTGACTGTCTTAGTCGCCTGTTGTCTTATCTCTTCTATGTGCTCCTTCCAGTACAGTTTAGAGTCTATAGTCAGCCCTAGGTACTTACATGTTGTTATAGGCTTTACCTCTCCCTATAAAGTCTAGATTAGTCTTGTAGTGTTGATTCGCCTGTGCGTCCTTGTGAAGTGTGTTAGCTGAAACTTATTTGGGGCGAAGATAGATGCATGCGTGCTGGCCTATTGCTGCACTTTCTAGAGAATTGTGCCTAAGGTGTCGCATATCTTCTCTATTGTCTTGCCCCACGCCAGGATAGCAACGTTGTCTATGTACCCTGTTAACGTGGTGTCTGTCTTGCTATTGCATTTGTCTATCAGGTCAGCATTATAGAAGAGGTAGAGGATGGGCAACAGCGGCGAGCCTTAGGGAATGCCTGTGTTTATCTTTGTCGCAGTGAGTGCAAGCAGTGCGCAAGGAATTGAGGATTGAACTGAGGTTGTATTGTATGTAGCTATGGACTGTTGTTATAGGGGAATAGCGGTGAGGTGTAAAAGGAAAGGGCAGGGTGTACTACGTTGTACAGCAGTAGAGATATGAAACTGTGATACGTGGTACAAGAGAAAAGACTCCAAAACCGCGACACACCCCCTAGCTGCCGTAGGCTCAACAGTAGGGAGTCGACGACAGCTAATCAATATTGATTCAATGGATGATTGATAGCATCTAAGCTTTGTTGGTCTGACGTAGGCCTTTCAGGCGCTCAGTGATGTTAACGAGACTAAGTTGGCGGACAAACTCCGCGAACTTCTGCTTGGGTAGAATTTTTGTAAGTCTATCAGCAGGCATATGATCAGTAGGTACCCATTTGACGTTAATGCGTGAGGCGGTGACCTCCTGTCGAATCCAGAGCTGGTGAATATCAACGTGTTTGACCTTTGTGTGAAGCTTGTCGTGCTCCTTTGTGACAATACCAACAGTCTGCTGGTTATCGCACCAGATCGTAGGCGTGCAGTCGAGCGTGAGGTTGATTCCAGCGAAAAATCGCATCCACTCTTCCATCTGGGAGGCGGCAAGAGAGAGCGAGAGTAGTTCAGATTCTGTAGTTGATTTTGTGACTGTGCGCTGTACAGTCGATTTCCAGTCAATCATAAGTCCTCCAAATTTGAAGGCGTAGCCTTGAGAGCTCCGGCGAGTCTCAGGCTCATCAGCGTATGAGGCGTCGGATGATCCAAAGAATAGAGGATCGCGGTATGTGGGATCGTCTGTGAGATACTCGGCCATGTCGTGCGTGCTGGCAGAGGCTTCAAGAGCGAGAGCCTTCGTGCTGAGCAGGTAGCGCCAGGTCTGGCGGATCTTTGAGACGTGAGACTGTCCTGGGTTGGTGAGGTGGCAGGCAAAGACGACGTGCGTTCGAGCGACGTCGGGTCTGCCCCAGACAGCAATATATGCAAGAGAACCAACAAGCTGCTGGTAGAGTTTTGTACGAGCAGTGTCAGTCTCCTTGGTAGACTGCGGTAGCCAGTTCTCCGTCAGTGGGACGTCTGGAGCCTTGCCTACAGCATCAATATTGAATCGAGCGCACACCTTGTCGATGAAAGCGTCTTGGACTAGCCAGGTCTTGTGCAGGGCTTGGTCGCGGACGATTTGGATGCCGAGAAACCAGGCAAGGTCTCCCATAGCTTTGATGTTGTAGAGGTTCACCAGGTCCTTCTCAAAAGACCTGTGGAGATGGGCGTTTGATCGATGGAACGCCATTACGATATCGTCAACGTAGACGAAAAGGATGAGCCAGCGGTTCGTGTATAAGCATGGGAAGCCGTCAACTGGCTTCAGTCCCAGCTTGACAAGCTCTCGACGTAGCTCATTGTACCATAGGATTGGTGACTCCTTCAGGCCGTACAAGGCGCGGAGCACGAGCATTATCTCGCCTTCGGTGTGGCGGAATGCCTCAGGTGTTTCAGCGTATATCTTACGCTCAGTTTTTGCGTTCAAGAAGGCAGTAGGAATGTCGTACTGCTTCAGTTCAAGATCAAAGTAATTGGCGATTGCGATGAGAGCGCGAAAGTTGCGGATGGCGAGTGTAGCAGCGTACGTATTGTCTAGCGGGGCTTGAAGGTCTCCTCGGACAACAAGTCGAGCCTTAAACCGTGAGATATACCCATCTCCGTCTGTCTTATAAGTGAAGACCCACATCAGCGGCAGTACCTCGCTGTCCGCAGTAGCCTTCGATTGCTCTGTGTGTCTAAAGACACCTTTAGCGCGTAGGTCTCGCCATTCAATCTCCATAGCGCGTCGAAATTGGTCGCCGAACATGTGCGTATTGAGCTGGTTTACTGACTTCGGCAGAGGCGGGAGCTGTGATTGATGGATTCGCGGTATTCCATCTGCTGTGGTATGTATTGGGTAGATCTCAGTTGAGAACGCTCGCAGATAGTCAACGAGAGGCTTAGTTCCCAGCGTTGCAGCGTAGGACTGGATCGCAAAGTTGTTTAGATCTCTTGGCTTTGGATTGCGCTTGCCAGAGACAATCAGGTTTGTATCAGTTGGATCAAGATTAACGTCCCGTGGCGCTCTCTCGCCTCGTCGGCGATAGCCCTTAGGAACTATATGTATTGTGTCGTCCTCCTCTAATAGTGTAGGAGTCGGAATTTGTTGTTGAGTTGATTTAGGTGCGTTGTTAGCCTCGAGTGCGTTGTCAGTCATTTCACCCCCCAACTGGGAGCCTCCAGCTCTCGAAGCTGAGGTCACAGGTGCTGTTTGGCGACGGCGTTGGTGAGCGGTTAATAGATCCTCAATGCTAACATCGTCGTTCTGTGGCATCTCTGGATATTCGAGTAGCTCGATCACCTCCTCGATCACTGGTGTAGAGGCGTAGCCATCCATTCCATCAAAGAAGAGCGTAGGCTCGAATACAACGTCGCGTGTGACGATAACAGTGTCCTTTGTAGGCAGCCATATACGGAAGATATTAGTGCCTTGGTAGCCAACAAGGTGGCCGATGAGAGTGCGCGATTCGAGCTTGTCAGCAGCTCTCAGATCGCGGTTGTAGACGTAGGCGCGACAGCCGATAGGCTTCATATGAGCGACGAGTGGCTTTCGTCCCCATACGACCTCGTACGGCGTCTTCCAGCCTAGTGTTTCGGTGGGCGTACGATTGAGGATGTATGCGGCGGTGCGATACATCTCATGCGCTAGAGTTTTGGGCAGGTGAGCGTGAATACGCATAGCGCGAGCTCGCTGAGTGAGGACTCCGCCTGCGCGCTCAATAAGCCCATTTGGCTCCTTTGTGCCAGCTGGTGCTGGCTCGTATAGCATGCCCAGCTCTTCTGTAGTGTTGATGAGATCGTTGCCAAATCCTTTCTCGTTGTCGCATCGGATGGCGACTACGTCGGCGTTGTACGCGCGTTGGATTCGACGGATCAAGGCCATGAACCAGCGTGTGAGCGTTGGCTTGTCCTTTCGCTTGATTGTGGCTATTTCATGCCACTTTGAGTATTCGTCCATAGAGTGGAGGGCGTACTTGCTGCCGTCGATACACTCCTCTCCCACGGGGATAATGTAGATCAGGTCTATCGCAATTCGATAGAATGGTCGTTGTGCGCGGCTCTCAGCCGGGCGTCTTGAGATGATGTGAGTCATTCGAGCTTCGGTGCAGGTTTGGCAGAGACAGTCCATGTGGTCTCCTGTCAGTTGGACGCCAGTGACGTTTGATTCAAGCTGGTCGACTGCCTTTTGACCTGGGTGGCCCCAGATTTGATGAGCATCGCGTCGATCGACGACGTTTGCAGGCTTTGGCGCGTACGATGGGCGATATGATGCCCCAAACGTACTCAGCGGTGAGTGGAGAAGCGACAGCGGCGGTCGGCGTGATGGCTCGGCATCAATCAGCCAGTGTCCTCCATTGTATTCAAGTTGTGCGATGACGTTGGTCGGTTGATGCATGTACAGGACGTCGCGGCCAGAGTCGAAGTGGATCGACTCTGATCGGCAGCGAGCGAGTCCCAAGACGCTGGTTAAGAAGCCTTCGACGTACGCGACGTGCGTTAGCTCCAGCGTCAGCTGTCTATGTGGTGTACGGACGACGAGTTCCATCGTTCCCCACGCGGTGATGAGGATACAGGTATTGCCAGCGTTAATAGAACGACGTTGTGGATTGTCACTCGTCCTCCTCCAGCCTTTCCATACCTCTGTGTTGACGACGTGCGTATTGGATCCTGGATCGACAATCCATCGATTGCGTAGTTCAGTCTGAGTGATTTCATCGACAGCCATTGTCGTGAGAGATCCCGTAGGCTCAGTGTGAGCGTCAATAGCAATGACGACCTCATCATCGTGGTCAACTTGATTGTGCCTGTCGTGACTGCTGTGGCCGTCGTGGCCGTTGTGGCCGTCGTGGCCGTCGTGGAGAGGCTTGAGTAATGGGCCAGTCGATATCACGAACGTGTCAGTGTTGACAGGTGGCTCGCCGTCATCGACTCGCAGTGATCCAGTGTTCTGAGGTTGGCGGGTCAACCATCTCGCAAGAGCAGCCTTGATGCGCGCGTTGATCTTAGAGTCCTTCCGCGCTTCCTCAACCTTGCGTACGGCCTCAGCTGCAGGCTGATAGGTCTTCGGACGTGCCGGGTGGCGTGGATTCAGGATGAAGCAGTCAGTGTACCAATGCTGCTTCCCACATACGCAGGTAGGAATTGATCGTGCACCGTCACGGTGACCGCGACCAGTCGATTGAGTCTCAGTTGGCTTCGTGATTCCGAGCTCAGCAGCAGAGACTGCCAGGCCTGTAGATTGAGGCTTCGTGCGGCGTAGGTATGTGGTCATCTCAGCGACGTATGTCTCAAGAGATGAGATCTCTGCAGTAGTGCCACGCGCTTCATGTTTGAAGATCTCGCGTAGGCAGGACGTAGCATATTCCTGATCCAGAGCCTTGCAGGCGATCAGAAAGTCCTCTTGCGGTCGGTTGCCGTCAGTTTCCGGCAGCGTGATTGATTTGCCTTGGGCGGTGATGTATACCCAGTCAGTGAGCCATTGCTCGATCTTCTTTGCAGCTTGTGGAGCAGTCTTGAGAGTGTTGTACTTGTCAGCAAGCTCGCGGCGGTGAGTTGCGTCGGTTGGGCAAAGGAACTTCTTAAGAGCGACCAGTCGGTCGTAGGGTGTCTCGTGATCCTTGATTAGGTGGATGTGGCGTACAGCAATCGTCTTGCTGATGTCCGTGTTCAAGTCAGCCAAGGCCTTCTTCTGGGTGCGGTATTCAGAGCGGCGGCGCTCCCATCGATCGCATTCCCATCGGTAAGACTCTCGGTCGTCTGCAGTCAGGTCAGAGAGCCTAGTAGCTCCAGCCTTGTAGTCTATGAGTTGAGGCTCAGCAGCCTCAGTCAGCGCAGGGAGCAGCTCCCTCGCTATATCAGGGTTGATGTACTGCCAGAGACCGTGGCGGTTGGCAACGTCTCGGCGGATGAACAACCAGGTAAACCAGTCGTCTGGTGTGTTCAGTAAGACAGTGACACGCGTCACTGCAGGATCAGACTCAGTAGCCATTGTTGAGGCTATAGTCGTGTGTGTTTGGATTCAGGTAGATCCAGGCAATGTGCGTCGTGGGTGGACGCGGTAACAGGTGCGCTGTGGTAGACGCGGTATAGCAACGTGCGACTCAAGTAGAGTGACGATTGCAGCAGCAGGTGAGAACAATCCTAGGTTGCAGCCGGGCTCATAACTGTCGCAGTGAGTGCAAGCAGTGCGCAAGGAATTGAGGATTGAACTGAGGTTGTATTGTATGTAGCTATGGACTGTTGTTATAGGGGAATAGCGGTGAGGTGTAAAAGGAAAGGGCAGGGTGTACTACGTTGTACAGCAGTAGAGATATGAAACTGTGATACGTGGTACAAGAGAAAAGACTCCAAAACCGCGACAATCTTGTACTCTGTCGATTGGAAGCTGTTGATAGCAATGCTTGTATGTCTGTCACTAAGGAAGCTGGCGATCCACTGAATTGTCTTCTCATCTACCTGTCTTTTCTGCAGGTTGTGAAGCAGGCGAGCGTGCGAAACATTGTCGAAGGCACCAGAGATGTCAAGCAGCAGGAGACTGGCCACCTGGCCACCCTTACGATTCCACGCTTCGTAGATCTTGCTAGTGACGGCGTGGAGAGCGTGCTCGGTAGAGCGCATCTTCCTGCCGCCCATATGTGTGGTCAGTAGAACGTGGTATGTCTTGGCCAGGTAGCTGAGTCGCCGCGCGATGACTGCATCCATGATTTTGCTGGTAGTGTTCATCAATGCAATGGGTCTATACGACTTAGGCGTTGTGTAGTCATCCTTGCCTAGTTTGCGCAAGACAACTGTGATTAACTCACAGAAGTAAGCCGGACAGTATCCTAAGCAAAGGCTCTAGTTAAAGATCCGTGTCAGGTAGGCTGCAAGCTGATCAGCTCCTGCTGGGAGCGCTTTATTGACAATGCCGTCTGGGCCAGGTGCTTTAAGCGGGGAGGCCGCACAAATAGCATCCTTGACTTCCTTTTCTGCTATTGGTGGCGTTTCTACTTGGTTGTTACATCCTGCGTTCTAGATATCGCGCAGGTCTGCTTTGGGTGGCGTTGGAAAGAATGTGTCTCAAAACAGGTCCGCCTTTTCTGCTGGATCTGTGATCTCCTGTTGTGTATCTGGGTGTCGTATGGCAGGCGTGACCGCCGGGGGTCGGTCTCCCCTTGTCTTTGCCCAACTGGCGAGCTTCCACAGCGCTTGCGGCGACTGAGCCGCCTGCTCTATTCGGTCTCTGTGAGCTGTTCTTAATGCTTTTCTTATTGTCCTGGCTTTATGGTTTCTTGCTGCACAATATGTTGTCCATGAGTCTGCTGTTTGGAGCTGACTGTGTACTCTCTTGAGACGTTTTGCGTCAGCGAGCACCGCTCTGCAATCATCAGTCCATCCTTCTCTGATCTTGTCCGATAAGCGCGTTGATGGCACTGCTTCCTCGACTGCCTGTTTGATGGCTGCCAGCAACTCTTCTACATATCTGTCAAGTGTGGTCTTGTTGGTTGGTCTACGTAGTGGTGGTAGGGCTCGCTTGAGCGCGCTCTGGTATGCTTTCTTATCAAGTCTGCGCCAGTTTCTTCTCAGTACTGTTTCTAGTTGCTGCACAGACATGTCTAGCATAGTAGTGATTGGCAGATGGTCAGAATCATGATTAAGATCCAGGTTGACTTGGCTTTTAATCAGCCTGTTAACAAGACCTACAGTCACAAGGCAAAGGTTGATAGTAGAGCGCACTGATTTTTCTTTGTACGTGATGGTGCCTAGTGGCAGCGTGTTGCTAAGGTTAAAGTCCTCTATAATTACAATAAGCGTCTCTAAACCTAGGTCTATGTGCCTGATTCCTGGGCCTCCCTACATCAGATAGTGTAGGTTGAAGTCGCCTAGGAGCACTTGTTTATCTGCTTAGTATCTGTCTAGAATTGGACGTATGTTAGTAATCGCAGTCTCTTCACTAGCGCTGGCTCCTCCCTGGTTGTAAATATTGTGTATTAGAAGCTGTTGTCTATCTTGTTGTTCTTTGCTAGGCTTAATTACAAGAGAGCAGATGTCTCTGCTGCGCTTGCTAAACCGCCATTGTTTGTGGTCTATTTTCTTGTTAATGAAGAAACACACCCTAGCAGGCCCCTTTTCATCTCCCGTTAGGCAGCATAGGTGGAAGACATCTTTTGCTGGGTGGTGGGTTGTGGCTGTAAACAGGTTCTTCCAAGGTTCCTGGATGGCCAAGATGTCGTACTCGCGGACTTGTGGGTCTCTTAGTAGGGTTGCCATAACTATGTCTCTTAACTTGCGTACGTTGTACTGTAGTATGCTTAATGTGTTGTGTCTATTCATGCTTCGCTGTTAGAGTTGATTTCCATGTGGTGGTTGCTACCACCCTGTGTGGGCTGTGTAATGTGACCGATCGCTTTGAGCGCTCTACAGGTGAGCGTTATGTTTCTCTGCGGTTGTTGGCTGCTGCTGCTTTGCGTGGTTTGTGATGGCATGTTCTCCTGCTCTGTTAGGTCAACAGTGTTACCTGTGTTAGTCCTCTTGCGTCCTCGCTGGGTCTGTGATTAGTCTCTGGCGATCAGTATTAGTTGCGTTGATGTGACTGCCAGGTTTGTCCTGTTCCTCTGAGCTGTGGCGGCTGATGTATCCTGCGCGACGTTCCTTCCTAGTGTCTCTGCAACAGGGTGGTAGTGGGGTTGCATATCGTATGCGGCCTTTGCTTTTGCCTTCTCTTCCTTCCTGGTTAGGCACTAGTAACTCCACAACTCGTGCTTACCTCAGCAGGTGGCACATTTCCTGGTAGCAGTCCAATCTAGCTTTAACAGACAGTCTTGGCTCTCGTGTTCTTGCGCACAGTAGCCACATGCAGTTGTTGCCTTACACTAGGTTCCTATGTGGCTGTAGTGTTGGCACTTGAAGCACTGCTTCACTTGGCACTGTTGTTCGTATCTCTCGCACTGAAAGACCTCGCCCTGCCAGATCAGACCCTTGTTGATAATCTTGTTGGCATCCTCTGGCTTGCTGAACTCTATGATGACGCTGGAGGCAGCTTTCGTGTGCGCGTTGCGGGTCAGCCATCCAATGTATTTGATCTCTGCCTGCAGGATGAATAGTTTGTTGTCTAGTAGTATCTAGTCCTTCGTCTCCTCAAACCTGGCCATGTCCATTGTGCTGGTGCGTATGCTGTGTACAAGGACTCTGTATGTGGTGATTCGTATTGTGGCCCTGTTGCTGATGCGGTGGACCCAGTTGTTGGCAAACTGCTTCAGTGCTTCTACCTCCTTGCTCGTAGCTGTCTTGATGCTGAGATCGCCGCTCTTTAGCTGGTTTAAAGAGAGTACCTTGATGCGTGCTATGTTGTTGTTTCCACTCTGCGCGATGGCGCGCTCAACGTGGGCGTTGAGGTTACGCGGGTTCATCGCCTGTAGGCTCTGTACTGTATTGGGGTCTCTGATAGTCACGATAACTTCACGTTGTGTCTGCACTAACGGCATTCTAGGAACTTGTGTATTGGGTATACCTGCTAGTGTCGCTCCCCTAGCTGCCATCGCAGCATAGCTAACCGCGCCACCTGTCTGGATTCCCGTGCTTTTGATCTGCCTCGTCATCTCCAGGTTGGCTTTACCTACCTCTACCGCCTCCTTGGCGGCTGCCCTTGTTTCTTCCCCAGTATTTGTGTTCTGTTGCACGCTTGTGCCAAGCGTGCGAATGTTCTCTATGGTGTTGTGGAGTTCAGTCTTGACAGCATTAAGTATCTCTGCGGTATTCTCTGATGTTGCCTTGGTTTCTGTCTGCAGGATGTAGAGCGCGTCGCATATCGTGCTAAGATTAGGGGTATTTTGAAATTTCAGTATGAGTGTCAGCGCGCTGTGGATGATGATCTTCACAAGGTCTGCTGGCACGGGCTGGCTTTTGGTGCGATTGATACATTTCAGTACTTCGTGAAGGTATGCATTAAGGCGGGTAGCGTGCTCGCGGGATAGAGTGGGCCATAGAGGCTGTTGAGGCCACAGTGTCGCCATGGCACGTCAGTCGCAGTAGGCGCTACGGCTGGGTGCTGGCTAATCGATTGGCGTCGAGAGCGACCGTTTGCGTGCGATAAAACTGGCGAATTCCAAAAATCACGTTCTCGCTGTGTGTGGTGTTTTCACACATGACTGTAGACGCCTCTAGAAGGCTGTTGGTCTGTGCTGCACCTATTTTAAGCAGCCTCTGTGTTTAGTATAGCGTTAAATTTATTACAGTTACATACACAGACATCCCAACACGCTACTGCAAGCTACTGCATACTATGAGCAGCTAGAGCTCTGCGCCTTGTTAGATAAGTTTTGGCAATCTTGCTACCTCGCGGAGAAACTGCCGGAATACACATTTTCTGTCTTACACCAACGTTTAGCGCCTGATATGTTAATCTTAAGATCTAATCTTTCTTTCTACATCTCTGAAGGTATACTAGAGATGCGCTGTTACGAGTGAACAGGGGGGTCCTGGCAAAGGGTTGATAGGCGCTAACAACAGAACAACTAACAGCAGGTCTATCACCTTGCTCTCCTTACTCGGAGGCTAACACACTCAAAGAACAGTATGTGCAGAAAAAACTGTTAAGCTTAGCTTTTTGCAGTTGCGCTGGCCTAAAGCTGAAGGTCTGGATAGAAAGGCGTCCCGCCACACAGGGTGTCCCACCACGCAGGGATAGACGCTATATACAGAGTGGTGATGCACAACGTATATCGGCCGCGAGTGTGCGCGGGGGAAGTATAGTGTCTGGCTGAGATTGAGTGAGGCACGGTACGTCGATGGACATTATGCATTGCTGGCACTGTTGCTTGCTGAAAAGTGCATGAACATTCGTCGACTAGGCGCTCAAACATCTTTCAAAGCCTCCCGGATTTCTAGACTCAAGGCGGAGGAAGATGCTTCACGGTTTGTCAAACGGGCCAAACGCCATCAACAAGCAAGAGCTACCCGGGGCACAACGGTCCGCAGAACAAAGGCATCAACAGCACACCATTGACGAAGAACAACACGTCATCCTATCTCGTTGTACATTTCTCTACATTATGCAGTCACTGACCTCGGTCCTCGAACTTGCCATACCAAAAGCTGTCCTCCGGACCCATGCCCTTCTCCACCCCGTCGAGCCCACACAGCTCGCTGACTTCCGCCGGCACGGCTAGCATCTCGTCGGCTCTCGTGGCAAACACCATGCCCAACCCGGCCTCGTTGTGCCACCCAATGTGGCAGTGAAACGCCCACGCGCCCGGATTGTCGGCGACGAAACGGATCAGCATCCACCCGTAGGGCTCGATGGTCGCTGTGTCTCTCCTCAAGGGATTGGAAAGATCGATGCTGTCGTATAGGGACGGGGAAGAGGCGGGTTGCGGTGCATATCCCTTTCCGTGCTTGAGGACCCAGAATTTGTAGCCGTGGAGGTGGAAGGGGTGGTTTCCGTCGTCGAGGTTCTGGAGTAGGATGTCAATCGTTCGCACGCCGCGAGTCGTGTAGACCATGTGCGTTTTCGAGTCGAAGGTGGTCGTGTCGAAGCCGGCCGCTGGGGCTGTCTGCGAGGCTGGCCCGGCGTCGAGCAGCGAGTGCAGGACGGGCCTCGTCGCGTTTCCTCGCCAGGAGCTCTCGTTCAGAAATGCACGGCTCAACCGCCAGTCACCGATCTGGAAGGAGCTTCTCAGAAAGATAAAATCGTCGGCTTTACCCGGCGCTCTGACAACCTCTACAGGCTGCAGCGCGGTCGTGTTGAGGTCACGACACTCCACCTCAATGACCTCTGGCCAGTCTCTGCTTTGTGGCCTCAACACTTCTTGATTCTCCACATCTTCACCGGCATCGTAATGCACCACGCCCCAGACCTCCTCTTCCAGCTCCGGATTCTCATACGCAAAACAATGCGTCACCATCCTCGCTCTCATCCAATACCCCTTTTTCCTCGGCTCCACCGGCGGCGAAAGAACGACACTGTACCGCTGCGCAGGACTAATATTGAGTCTATGAATACTCTGAGGAAGCACATCCGTGCCATCGACCTCAGTAACACTGAACTCATGCTCATCAATCTGCAGCGAGAACTCGGCGAACGCGCCGACATTAACGAAGCGCAAGCGCGTAGTCTCTTTCGGGCTCAAGTCGAAGAGCGCACTGCGCAATCCCTGTGTCGCGCACTTGCGACCAGGAAGCATTGTGCAGTTGCGCACGTTGCGGCCGTTGATGAGCGCAGACGGGGGGACGGGCTCGTCGTTATCGGAGCCGGGGGCGAGGTACTGCATCAGCAGTTCCGGCGAGGCATCGTAGTAGTGATCTGCAAGCAAGACGACTCGATCCTGCTCATACGGCACTTTTTGCAGGTCTTTCTCGTTGCGGCTGTGTATTACGAGCGGGCCTACGAGGCCGTCTGATGCCTGCATCGAGACGTGGCTGTGGTACCAGTACGTGCCGCTTTGGCCGGTGACGTTGAAGCGGTATGTGAACGAGTGGCCCGGCGCGACGGGGCAGTTGGTCACGCCCACCGTGCCGTCCATGTGATTTGTGCTGTTCTGGTAGAGACCGTGCCAGTGTATGGATGTCGCGTTGGCGGCTCGGTTGTGCACGTGTACGACGATTTCGTCGTGCTCGTTGACTTGGATCAACGGGCCGGGGAAGGTGGAGTTGATGAGCATCATGGGCCTGTGTACGCCGTCTGGGTTCAGTTCGTGGTCTTCGATGATCCAACTGTACTCTCTGGTGGTAGGCGACGCGTTGAAATCCCAAGTCGGGTCCAGTATGTAGTCGTCTTCCGGGCGCAATCTGGGCTGCGTCGAGGAGGGCGCTGTGGTTTGTGTCTGTGATGTTCGATACCAGTGTGCGACGAGCATGACAGCGCATACTGCTAGTAGAACAACAACACAGCTCTTGATCCATCGTCGACGTGATGATTGAGGCTTTACTGGCTTCTCTGTGAAGGTATCCTCCTCGTCCGTCGATGCTCTGCTTGACCCCAGGTCTTCATAGTCTTCTCTTAACAGCCCGACCTGCTCTTCCTCGTTCATTTGCGCAGGTCTTGCAATCTCCTTCATCCTGACGGCCTTATCCACGTGCATCTTCAAGGCGACAATGTATCGTCCATTCGGGCCAATCCAACTCTCAGCGTCCTCTCCACTCTCAATTCATCAAGTCGTCGAGTACGTGAAACGGAAAACTTAGAAGTTGAAAACATTCAAGAACCCTCTTGCAGCATGTCAAAGTCATGGCACCCAACGCCACCGCACCGTCCTCCCACCGACCACCGCCGTCATCCGCGCTCGCGGCAACGCAGTCGCGCGCACAGGCCCCAAAGTCTTGGTCGAGCCTTGCGCATCACTCTGTACCGGTAGCGGTCCGTGTCCGCCCCACGCAGCCAATCTCAAGCCGCGGAAAGCCAATCAGGCGCGCACGCTCCGGCGCCAAGGCTTGATTACCTACCCGAAAAGCTTAAGTCGCATAGTTCGGCTGGCGCACACACGGGGTCATGCGACGTTGGCAGGTGATGGCTGCACACGTTGTCCATGTTAGGATGGCTACAGGTGGAAGGTGGGCGGACTGCGGATGGGGAGGAGATGCTGTGCAGGAAGCTAGAGCGAGGCGAGGATCGTTGGGAGGCGGAAGCGTGTTGAAGTGACAATGGGAGGGCCCTGGTTCGTGCGAGTGTGATTGTATTTGTGCTCTCTTTCCGTGTCTTCCTGCACTGTTCTACTGTTCTACTAATTTGAGCGTCGTCTGTCGTTGCTGTGTTTCGTTCTTGTCGAGTCCAACGTACGCCCAACGATCAAGATGCTTTCCAAGTCGTTCCTGGCGCTGGCTTTGCTTGCTTCACAGGGGCTTGCAAAGAAGGACTGGGTAAAGGGCAAAGCCTTCGATCGCATCGCAATCATCTGGCTCGAGAACACCGACTATGACCTCGCGATTGGAGACCCGAATTTGGCTGCGCTGGCGAAGAAGGGTATCACTCTGACCAACAAGTTCGCCGTAACCCATCCTTCCATGCCCAACTACGCCGCTGCCGTCTCTGGCGACTACTATGGCGTCAATCACGACGATTTGATCAACATCCCTTCGAACGTCTCGACTGTCGTTGATCTATTGGAGGACAAGGGTATCAGCTGGGGAGAGTACCAAGAGGGTGAGCGTAGCCCGCGCCGGCGTCGAGACCGTCCCTGACAGGAACCAGATATGCCGTATACCGGATTCCAAGGCTTCTCCTACCCCAACCCGAAGACTGGCGCGAACATGTATGTGCGCAAGCACAACCCCGCTGTGCTATACGATTCGGTCGCGCAGAAGCCGGAAAGATTGGCGAACATTAAGAACTTGACGCTGTTCCAAGACGACCTGGAGAACGACAAGCTGCCGCAGTGGATGTTCATCACCCCGAACATGACGAGCGATGGCCACGACACGACCGTCACGGTTGCTGGCACTTGGACTCGCAACTTCCTTGAGCCGCTGCTGGACAATACGAACTTTAGTATAGTGCCACACATAGCTTCGATACATTACCATGCTGACAAAGAGTAGTGAAGAATACCCTCGTGGTTGTGACCTTCGACGAGAGCCACTCCTACGCTCAGCAGAACCGCATCGTAGGCATCTTGCTTGGAGACGCCATCCCGAAGAAGCTCGTCGGTACCACGGACGACACGTACTACAACCACTACAGCGGGCTGTCCACGGTTCAAGCCAACTGGGGCCTGCACAACCTTGGCCGCTGGGACGTTGGTGCCAACGTGTACAAGTTTGTTGCTGAGAAGACGGGCGATGAGCTACGAAAATGGAGTGGCGCGGTTCCGCTCTCACAGATGTTCTTCAACGTCAGCTACGCCGGCAAGCTGAACGACAAGAACACCTCCGTGCCCTGGCCAGTGCCCAACACTCAGGCGAAGCACGCTGGTAGGACAGTGTTGCCGGCCGTTGTGCAGACGTGGGGAAAGCTGTTGAACCAATCTGCGTATACAAAGGGACTTGAGATCCCTGATGGCATGCACCCCGAGGGGGAGTTCAAGTAGAGCAGTCCAGAGCTGGGGTAGTGGACGCTGGAAAGATGCCTGGAGGAAATCGGTGTGTAATGCGGCGAGTGCGATAGAATAGCAGGCGCAATCTAATCAAGAGCATATTGCATTGTGATGGCCGACCTTGTCACTGGGCCTGTCTTCAATCCATAGGTGCCTATCGCAGTCAATGACACACAGGAAGACATCTGTATCGCCGGACAGCTGGACAAAGTGCAGTCGCGATGCCAGGTCCGGGCCATCTGCCGTGGCCGTGGCTGGCTGACAGTGGGATCGTGCCGGCAGTGGCTCAGCAGGCTGGTCTCGCAATCATTGTTTGGATGAAGCTGGTGGGGTTCGCGGTGCGTCATCTCCGAATAGGCAGCGAAGGGCCGCAATTCAGCTGGCATTGGTGGTCGATCGGCAGCCTTGCTGACGAGGCGCAATATGCCACTGCGCTAGAGACCGGTGTGGCCGCCGACGGCATGCTGATAAAGGACACGGTGTTGGGGATGGAGACAAACCAAAGCATTCCACAAGCTGAGACGCGTGGACGCATCGTCCCGAGACGCACACGGATGTTGGTGGTGTCTTGCTGCTACCCGTCAGTGCAGCTGGGAGAGGCGGGCCAGGTCTGCTTCCGTTCTTAGCGCGATTCCGCCAGCTCGGGCGCACGACTGCACCTGCCCTTCTGGCGTTAAGGCGGCGTTGGGGCGGAAGAAAACACAGGCGGCGTTGGGGCGGAAGAAATCACAGGCGGCGTTCAGAACACGATCATGTCATCGGTACGACACGGGCGTGCCAGGCCAGAAGGGCATCATATCACCATAGACATTTCAAGCAAGGACGACATGCGCGTGTCGACGCAAGGTGCGCAGCTTTGTCAGTTGTGACACGCGAGCGATGATCAGCGTTGTTGATCAAGATGCTTCGCTCGCAATTCCGCAAGCGGCGTGAAGAATGCCAGCTGCGTTTGGGCGGGCCGGCGCCATCTGCACAGCGAGCCAGTGAGGTGGGTGAGGGCAGCTGGAGCTGTCGCAGAGTGCATTCGTCTTCTGCGTTTGCCACTTGCAGGATGCTTCCACGCACAGGTGGAGTCGCAGAGGTGGAGTCGCAGATGACGCTGGCGGTGGCGACGACGAGCGGGGACAGCATGGTTGGTGAGGTGAGGGTGTCGTGAGGGTGTCAGACGCATCCAGCGTGCAGTCGTGAAGATGAGAAAATGAGAAAATGAGAAACAGCCGTCCGCTGGTCGAGTCGAGCAACCCAAGCGGGCCGCTCGGGGCGCGCATCGGCGTATCCAAACGTCAGGCGGCCAGGCGGCTCTTCAAGGTTCGGCGGGCGCACAGCCATGGCAGGGCAGGGCCAGCAGCCGTGGGCGACCGCCTGGGCAGGGACATGTGCAACTGACAGGTCCGGCGCAGCGCGCAGCGCGCAGCCCGGCGCAGGATTCGGCGGAGGGCAAAGGCTTCGAGAACACCTGCTGGCGCCTTCTGCGCGGCTTCCATGTGGACACTACTGGCCGCCCTCGCTGCGCTGTGAGTGGGGAGACGGGCGCGGGCCAAACTGCTTTTGTTCGCGAGTCGTTCCTCGTACCCACAGGTCGCACCGTTCACGTCTTCTCCCTCCACCCCTCAGCACCGCACGCCCCGACCGTCGCCTGCCTCTGCGCCGCCCCTCTGCTGTGCATGCTCCTGTAGTGCGCCCAATGCTGCTCGGAGGCCCTCGACGAGCGCGCTGCTGCTTGCGACACTGACGCCGCCTCTACCACGCCCAGCGCGCCTGCAGCCCCCGACACGCAGCACGCAGCACACAGCACGCAGCACGCAGCACGCAGCACGCAGCCCCCGACACGCAGTACGCAGCACCCAGCACCCAGCACCCAGCACCCAGCAACCACCGCGTCTTGCACCCCCTCCGCCGTGCTGCCCGCGCCCGCCCTCGTCCCCGCGCCCCCCGTCGCCAGCAGCGCATTCGCAGCTCGCCCCCCCCACACGCCCTCGTCAACCGTCGCTGCCGCATTGAGACGCTGCCTGCGCGCCCGCCTACCTTCCCAGCGTTGCGACCCGCCGTGCGCGCCTTCCTCGCACCTCCTGCAAACGCTAGTGCTGCTGTGCGCTGTTGCTGCACGAGAGCGCCGAACCGCGTCCCTCTGTGTCACCGGGTTCCCTAGCGCTGCGCTCGCCGTCGTCGTTTCAAATCCCATCTCACATCAACGGGCGCACTTCCGCCCGTGTCTGCTTCTCTGCGCGCCCGCCACGCCCGCTGCGGCTGCATTTGTCCGGAGAGCTGCCAGCGACCGCTCCCGCTGCCGTCACGCCTGCCATTGACCCTCCACGTGCACTGCCATCAGCCCCTGCTACCTCCTCTCTCGAACTGCCCACGCCCCATCACCCTACTTCGACTCTGCGCGGCAGCCTCCCGGAAGCCGGAGACCAGTGCACGCTGGTCGCCGCGGCATAGGCGGACACCATGGAACGTGGCGCGTGCAACGTCATCTACGTTGACCGACGCGCCAATGACGAATACGTAAAACGAGAGACGCTGTCCGACTCCCTCATTGCGAGAACGAGCACGGGCAATGTTGGACAGAGCTACTTTGCGCTGGGCAAGACGCCGCCAGCTGAGGTGCACACGAACGTCGAAGCCATCCTGTCCGTTTTCAACGAAGGTAAGAAGCTCACGTGCATCCTCTGACCCTCACTCACAAATGACTCAGTCCACATCTGCGGCTCTGGCCGCTCGTGCTTGTCCAAAATCACCCAGCTTGTCGATGGCACCAAGTCCAACATACCAACTTTCGTCATCCTCGATGTACCCTACGATCAAGAGCTGCGCTTGAAACGCTTGTCGCGCGAGCCTCGTACACCTTCGCCCACCTCTTCACGCATCATACGGGTCGACAAGGGCGAGCCAGATGACACATACGGCACACACTTGCTTACCCACGTATCCTCGGAGATCTCGTCTAGGAACTTTTCCAAACTGGTGGTCCCTATCGTCATGCTGACTGGTCTGGCAATCGAGACTCCGTCCGCCGCTGCTCCGTCGAGTCTCAACAAAACACTGGTTCTGACGGACACTGTCAAACTGTCCAAATATCTGGATTCCGGTGCCGTCGACGTCTTGTCGAGCCCGTTATCCAAGGACCGCATGCACGGCCTAGCGGTACACGCCTATCGATTACAGAAAGAGGCTCAACGCGGAGAAGCGAGCTTTCTCACAACTAAGAGGAACAGGAAGCTGTCGTGGGTCGGCGTCGACGATGGGAAACCATACGCATACTTGCGTGAGGCTATGGTCTCCAATCTGATGACTGGCATCTGCAACCCAGAGACCGTTGGAGATTCGGTAGATGCTTCGTGAGTTTGTGCAAATGCTTTGATCCGGTGTGAAGCTGACATGCACAGCGATTTTGAACTCGACCAGCATAGAAGAAAAGTCGTTGAGGATAGGGTTGCAACATGGGCCTTTTCCGCGCACGATTTCACCGACGACGAACTACTTTACGCCGCCTTGGCCATGCTTCAGCATGCGCTCTCGTCACCTGAACTCTCCCAGTGGCAATTGACTGAAGGTAATTTGGAGCGTCTGTCTGCAATGACCTTGCTGACTTATCTTGCAGACGAATTGATCGTCTTCCTTATGGCCAGTCGGGCTGCCTACAACGAATTCGTCAAGTACCACAACTTCCGTCACGTCGTCGATGTTTTGCAAGCACTGTTCCACTTTCTGGTGCGGATTGGCACCTTGCCCAGTTACCCACCAACCAACAAGGACCCGTCCACGGAGAAGTCACCGATTGCCGCCCTACTCAAGCCGTTCGATGCGCTCACGCTGCTGATCTCCGCAATTGGACACGATGTTGGTCATCCTGGCGTCAACAATGCATTCCTGGTTGCACTCAATGCGCCTTTGGCACAGCTTTACAACGACCGGTCTGTACTCGAATCGTTTCACTGCGCTGCATATTCGCAGATTCTCAGGCGTTATTGGCCGAAGGTCTTCTCCGACATTGCTATGCGCAAGCTCATGATCAATAACATCCTTGCCACAGACATGGGGTTGCACTTCAAGTACATGAGCGATTTGGGAGGGCTTCAAGAGAAGGTTGCGCACGACAAAGGAGTCACCGATAGTTGGAGTGTCAAGGTCCGCGAAGAGCACAAGGATCTAACTTGTGGTCTTTTGATCAAGTGCGCTGATATTTGCAATGTCGTATGTACCACCTTTGGGCTCCTTCATCATCTCGAAACATTGCTGATTTTAAACTCAGGCACGGAAATTCGAGACTGCTGCTAAATGGGCAAACATCCTCACGGACGAGTTTAGTAACCAAGGCATGATGGAAGAAGAGTTGCAGATGCCATCTTGTCTTTTTGGAGGACCGCCTGTCCACGACGATATCATTAAGCTCGGCGAGTCGCAGATCGGTTTCATGAACATTTTCGCGAGACCTCTTTTCGAGGCTGTGACTGACATCCTTCCGGCCATGCGTTTCGCTGTAGACGAGATCCTGACCAACAAAGCGATCTGGGAGGCCAAGATCGACCAAGAGAAGCAAAGAAGGAAGACGAAGACACCCATGAACCTCAACTTGTTACAAGCATCATTTGCGGCTGACCCTACGCCGAGTCCGTTTTCTGGTGGTCCCAACAAGCCGAACCCCGCTCTTTTTACACCGCCAGCAGCTGAAGAAGACGCTGGTCGCCGTGGCTCGAATGGGTCGGTTCATGGTGGGATTCAAGGGTCACGCAGATCATCTGCTGCGGTAGCACTCGCCTCACGAGAGAATCAAAGCTTGTCTCGGCGGGGCAGTGGCGATGCGAACCTCACGGCAATACTCGTCACACACACGCCAAATGTGGGCGATGGCACACCGAGGGGCTCGGATGCTGGTGTTGAAGATCGCTCAAAAGCTGACCGTAAGGACACGCTGACACGATCTCCCTCCAAGAAGAAGGACAGAGATAACGCCAGACCAGTGACGGCTCCTGCTCCCGCCAGACGCAGCCAAGGTAAGCATCAAAGTACATTTGACTAGCCGAGAAACGTCCTTGGTACTGACTACTACTCAGTCGTCGAGCTCTTTCCCGTCCAGCAGTCGTCGTCACAGAGCCATTCGGAGATAGATCTCTCACAAGGCGCTAACGGCAATCTTGAAGGCTCGAAATTGCAGCAGTGGGAAAGCAACAAGATGAGTGGTGAGAGCGGTGCAACACGGTCCGATATATCACGCGACCCGAGTTGGTGGCGGCAGATGAGTTCGAAACGGCGCACGACGCGCGACGCTAGGAACGGTGACCACGACGTTCTATGCGCGCCCAAGGAGTCGATGTTGAACGGTCCCACGTCACACCCAGATCCAAATGCGCATTCGGGAACAGGTATGAGCCCTGGCAGGAAGAATACGACTGGGCGCTTTAAGAACTTCTTCAAGCGAAAGCCCAAAGGACATGAAGAGCAGGGCAAACAACTCTCGAGCTTCGGAAGCTCCTCGCAACTGAGGACTACTCCACCTACCAGCGATCAGGGCCGCTCGCTCAACGGCGACGACTGAGCACCTAACATGAGCTTCGGCTAAATATCCTTTGAACGGTCAATACCCCACCTCCGTCAAACACGAGTATGCTTCACCTAAAAGCATCCCTCCAAGTCTGTCACCACACTTTCCTAAGCAACAAGACTTCCCTCGTTACCGTATTTCCTTATGGACACGATACCTCTGATGCATGACCTCACGGGCGCACGAAAAGCTCCGCTTACTGTACTTTTTTACTTTGTTTTACGCGATCTCATTATCGACCTTTGGGTATCTTTACTGGATTGTTCGGGCGCGGATGACTCTCCCATCCTCTACTTTCCAGAGACGGGCGTTCTCGGGTCTTGTAATGGAGCCGGTTCTCTTCGAAAGCTGCAAAGCTTGGCATTGTGCATAATGCATTATTGGTTTGACTGTTAGCGCGTCTGAAGAGTTTGTTCCTTTGTTGTTTCTGGTCGACGGCTTGAAGATGGCCCAGCGACCAGGTGTTAGCGATTGTTGTTGAGAAGCAGCGAGGAGGAGACGCTGCTGGACTTTGCGCGCAGGGCATTGCGAGCAGTGTTGGTATGTTGGGCGACTGCGAGACGCAGCAGGCTGTCCTAGAGCTGTATCTGCGTCGCGCTGCGGCTAATGAGCTCTTCTGTAATGAATGTATATTCTTGATACCCTGGACGAGGCGAGCCGGCATGACTGCTCGTGATTGCTTCTCATGCCTGCCATGTGCTCTTGGATATGAACTCGATCAGACCGATTAGAACCCAGCAAGAGCAGCTGTCGTATCATTTCGAACGGTTCTCATGTGCAACTCGGTCAATTACATGCAACCTAATCCGTACATCACTCATGTATATATATCACTCATGCAACAAGCCCCTCCTGCGACGCCTTGCCACCATCACCAGTGCCGGGCTTCCCTCCAACCCTATGACGCGCACCAGCGTCTATGGGCCAGTCGTACGCAGGACCATCGCCTTGAATGTCGTTCTCTTCTCTCCACTGCTTCCTGTCTGTGGTGCCGACTCCAGGACCTCTGTACACACTGCCGTACCAGCCGCTTGCCCAATCTTTTCCAGGGCCCTCCTTTGTCGTCTTGGTTGCGTGCCTCTTGTACCACTTGCCGTATGCGAGGAGGTAGTACAGGCGGAAACTCAGGAGAGCGAATTTGTCGCGCTCGAGATCCTCGGGGTACGTCGCACCGAGGTCGACGGCAGCGGCGATGCCGGACATGACGGCGACTTCGTGCGCGTTGATGAGCGTCCAGGCAGCGGCGAATCGAGTGTGCTTGCGGCCTTGCAGCAGCCACATCCAGGGAACGACGAAGAGGTAGTGGGTCCATGAGTGGCAGAGCTGGTGCCACCAGTCTTGACGGATGATTTTGTCCTTGTTGATCTCGTCGCTGCTCCAGAGGTGGCCGTCGCGGTGCTTGTTCAGGTAGATGGTTTGGAAGACGTGTCTGTCGAACGGAACGTCTGGTGGAAACTGGCTCTGGTAGTTTGTGCAGTCGAAGCACATTTCCAGTTTCGAACGGTCTTGAGAGTACATTTTGATGTAGTACATGGGCTTGAATGACTCCTTTGCATACTTCAATCTTTGCGATTGGTCGACACCAGAGAGACTGGAGACAGCCTTCTTGTCGTCGTAGAAATTCTCGTAGTGGTTCTTCATGTACTCGCTATCCCAGTGGGTAATAGTGATATCGTCGGAGAACTTTGCGGAACCAAGGACCTTCTTCTCGCGAAGAGAGGCGCATGGTGTGAGGATGCGCTTAGCTGTGTCGGCGCTATCTCGTGTTAGCATCGATCACACTGAGTTGAGTCTTCCAGCTTACAGGACGCAGAGAACGATCTCGTCGTAGTGCTCAGACTCTTCCTTTGCGTTCGCATCGGCATTGACAGGGTCATTGGGCACCCAAGCACTGTTAGGGTTATGCTCATCCGGGACTGGTGCACGCTTGATGATCTTTACAATCACACCATCCTTATCTCGCTTAACTACTCTTGTAACTTCAGTCGAAAGTCTGACATTGACCCCCTTGCGGATCAGATCATCTTTCCATTTTCCGTAGAATTCGGTGAACTTCGGGAACACAACCATGGGCGGTAAATTACTCGCAATGCTGTGCTTATCCGGGGGGTACCATAGACCATAAGTTGGACTTGTGCAAAGGCGCTCAAGAACGATAAAGGGTACATTTGGTGTCTCGTTTCCAGTTCCAAGGAACAGAGCAATCATAGGCATGGCCACGGTATTGGTGAACTCCTCCGAAAACATCCAGAGCTTGAACATGTACTTGATGGGTATCAGGGCAAAAATGACTTCGAACCAGCGAGAGAACGTCATCATACGCTTGAATCGTTTGATTTCCGCTTGGTGCCGTGCAAGCAAATCAGTGGGGAAAACATTGGTCCAGAAGATGTCGTCTTTTCCGAATGAAACATGGAGGTTGACGGGGTCGGCGCGGTGTCCTTGTCGTGCGAACATGGTCATGGTGTGGTGGAAGATGTAGCTTCCACCTTGCACACCCTGGTTCAACCAGCTGGCTCCATGGCGCTCCTTATCGAGCGGAATCGAGAAGGCCTGTCCTCCACAGTAGTTGACGGCATCAATAAGGGTGACATCGAATTTGTCGGGGTGCTCAGCGAGGTGATGGGCACATGACATGCCTGACAGCTTTGTCAGACCCTGCATCAATTGATTCTATCATTTCAAAACATACCAGCAGCACCAGCGCCGACAATCAGCACACGCTTCTTTTCTCCAGGTCGAGCCGCCATCTTTGCAACTGGCAAGATAGGATCTGTGTCGCGCGGTTGTGGCATTGAAATCAATCACTGATGAGGGCAAACGCATGGATCGCACATGCCATGTATTTGTTTCTACAGCAGCGACGAAAGAGTTGTCGAATGCCTGCGTCATGAGAATCTCGATACGGCAAGCGGGTCTCGATCTCAGATCTGAGAGGACTATCTCCACGATCGCGCTAGGCTAAAAGCAAGACAAGTGCGGCTTCAATACCATGACATCACAAGCTCTCGAATATCAGTGCATCACAGCGTCATGTAGTTTGGCATGTCGAACAAGATGTGTGAGTATTTTGTTCCTAATTATGTGCGCCACCTGGTCAGATTCGCATGTGGCAGTCTGGACATCTTCATCGTGGGTCCTCCAGAGTCCAGAACCACATAACCTTCTGGAGTCTGTGGTTGACTTACGCATGTAGCAGCCCCGGCCCGATGTTATGGTAACGAATGTTCAGAGCGTTTGCATCCCTTTCAATGATCGTGATGTCCAATCATCGACTTCGCTGGGGATGGGCTGTGTGTCGTACAGCTCGGGGTAGGTTGAAGCGTCTGTGTGCAACGGTAGCGTAGCTTGGCCCTCGTGCAGGTCAAAGAAATCCAAGCCGAGGTTGGTCGATGCATTCATGAACCAGTCTTCCTGAACATCTGACATATCCACCAGAATTTGCGATGTTTCGTCGTGTCTAAGGTCTGCTTGTTGTTCGTCGAACCCGAATTCTCCTTCCTGTCCAGTACTCATCGATGCTGGTCCTTGATCCTCGGTCACGCCGGTTATGGCCGCAAATTGTAGCGCGATCGTGCTCAGGATTTTGTACGTGGCAGCCAACTTCTTTTCGCGAGTGCGGTCTAGTACGGCACGCACCGTTTCCTTGCGCTCAACATCCTTAGCAACATCATGTTGCGTCCGCGGACGCGCAAGGAAGTCGGCGCACACTATAAGAATCGAGTGGTAGACGAAGAATAGATCAAGGCATGAGTAGCCAATCACTCCTATATCTGCGCTATCCATTATGTATTGTAAGCTTTGATGAGCTGAATCAACGCAGTCTTCACTCAGTATGAGTGTTCTTTGTAGCTCCTCAGAGTATGGCACCGGCTTGCCTTCGAGAAATGCGATGTTTCTTTCGACCTTCTGCACCAAGAAGTCTCGCGATACTATGCACCGCGTGTAGTAGTAGTATACGTTCATTAGGAGGACTCTTGTCCTCGGTTCCGGTTGAATCGTTGATAAGTTGTTCAACGAAAAGTTCGGTGGGATAGCTTGGATGAAAGCGTTGCACTCCCGCAGCAAGGATTCGGCCATAGCCAAGGAAGGACTCCTCTCCTCAGCATTTTCCGAGTCGAAATATGCCCGCTGCCGGATTTTGTATGACATTCGTACGAGTTGGTAGGCGTGGGCCTTCATTTCGGCGGACGCGCCCCTCTGCTCGAGCAATGGCGCATCAGGTATTTGCGTCGATGTCTCCCGGTCATCGATGACTGACGGCCGCCCTAGTATACTGCACACTATCCGCTCGAAACTGTAAATCGACCACCACACCTGTCTCCTGATATTTCGCTCTATTGGGTCGAACTCCATATTGGTAACATCTCGATGCATGCCCATTGTGGTTGCCTGTAGGCATTTGTAAGTACGATATTACAGCTCTGGGAGAGAATACCTACCATCCGTGCAGCCAGTCCGATCAACAGCCAAGAGCTGCTCTTTTGGCCAACAGCATGGTGGTGGATGTTGAGAAGTACCAACGCCTGGACATTGACGATCGAAGTTGTCATGAGAAGGTATCGGAAGCACGACTTGACGAAGCCGAGATACTTCAGCCCCAATTTGCGCGACTGTTCTGGATCGTGCTCCTGAAGCTGCTGGCAGCCAAACGAGAAGACTAAGCACAGACAGATGAGCCAGCCCATGTCAGCATTGTTCTTCAGAGACTCTGATCTCCTGGAATAAGTCGCTTCTAGTCGAAATTGAAACATGCTCCTGTGGAAGAGCGGCAAGTAAATGTGAACATGGTCGAAGTACGCTGACACCAGCGCATCTGCGAGTGACCGAGAGGGTAGCAGATCTCCGACGGTGTCCAGGTTCTGTTCTTTACAGTGTTCACACGAGTCGTTTGTCGATTCCATTTGCGTCCTGGATCGTTTTTTTCGTCCCTGCCGGTGGTGTATTGGTGAATCTTTGCTTTCAGGGCCACCCATTGTGTACTCTCCATCTGAAGGATTCGTACTGGTACACTGTAATGGTGGGTCCGACACTGTCCTATCCTGATCAGAGCCAGTAGTTCGAAGCGTCGGGAAATCTCCTTGGGCAGCCTTGCACCGAGCTACCAGTCCTCGGACAGTCGTTGCGAAACGGAAAACACTGGAGGGTCCGAAGTAATGCGGCACGCCATGTCGTGTTGGTATCAGCGCTTCATTGCTGCGTCCAGTTTGCTGAACCTCAGCGAAGGGATTGTGCTGGCTTTCTTTGATTGTGGAGACAGAAGAGGTCGCACTACTGCCAGTAGACCTTGATGAATCTCCTGTGTGTGGTGAGAACGTCTGCTGTGCAGATTGTGACGTTCGCAAGTGCTGTTGCGAGTCCTGAGATAGCCGGTGCTGAGTGGAATTGCTGAAGATTTCCGCTGGCCTGTAGTCATCGTTGGCCGGCATGGAGATGTTCCTCTCGACTGCCAGCTTGAACAGTGTGTTCAAATCCTGGACATTTTCGTGGGGGAAAAGGCCTCTGACTAAAGAATCCAGTGCTCTGTACCGTAGACTCAGAGTCTCAACACTTCCGTAGACACGCTGCTTCCTCGGCAATTTCGACTCGCACAACACGCCGCTCAAGTTGCAGTCCGCACATGGCTCGTCTGGTTTGTCGCGAATACAACGTGCTCTCCGGAGTTTGCATCGATCGCAACTGATGAGCGCTCGCTTTCGTGGTGCTATATCTGCCTTTTCGCGGCTTCGTTCGCCCATATTGTTTGGCGAAACGTAGGCGTTTGGCGAAAGGGAAGAACGGTTCCGAGTGTTGTCAGAAGGAGCTTAAATTCCGATTCTCCCCTGTGGAATTTAGGCTGCGGAGCTGTGAATCCGAATCGTTTTGTGAGCGGCCGACCCCATAGCGTCATGATGCTCAAGTACCTATCGGACTGCCCTCCGTGATTGGGACCGGGATAGGTTTGGGCGCCATGTGGATCAGTGCCATGTCTGTCGCGGAAGCGGAAAGCATCTGTGAGCAAGATGCTGTGCATGTGCGTGACACCGAATGCGACTCCAACTCTCTCACGAGCCTCAACTTGTGGGAATTCTAGTAGCTGCCAAACCTCCGAAGGTTGTCGTTCGCCTCGTATCGACACTAAACGAACGGTAGTTCGCACTAATTAAGCCTAATTGCTGGTACCTCCGATTCCATATGGACGGTGCTTTTCGGAAGTCCACCGACTGACGGTAGACTAGTGACCCCGATAATGTAATGCATCGTGGGCTTAACTCAAGACAGCCTCTCATCGCACATGTCGTTGTTCGACCCCGACCCCTTGATCCTCTGCCACCAGCCGTTGATGGGCAGATAAACGCAATACGCCCTGGACAGGGGAGGGCTATCTTTGTCGAGATTGGGCGTTTCTTAATGCTTAACATGGCCCAGACAAGGCCTCGAAGTGGATTGTACGTGTCACCATAGTGGCAAGAGCGCAGAAGGTTTACATCCACAGGAGCAAAGCCCGTGGCTAAGCATGCGCGCGTGAATATCGCTCACGGCCGAGGACGCCCTTGAAGGTTTCTGTGGAAAAGTTGCGGACTTGACCGCGGAGTTGGGCGATGGCTTAATCGCATTATTTGGGCCAGAAGCGGCTCAGGCGGGCGCAGCCCTAACAATGCGCTGTCTGGGGTACCGTCCGCGACTTCCAGATTTTTTTGACGAATAATGTGCTTTGAGTATGAATCGGCGTTCAAGTGACCTTGGTATAGTGGTGCCCAAATACCCCGTTGGCAGCGGTCTGTTGGGCCGCCGTCGTCTCAGCTGCGCCTCAGTCTCCATCATTGTAGCGCAGCGCGTCGTACATCTAGGGTTGAGGTCGGGATAGACGTTGTGGTACAGGGTCCGTTTTAATCCCGCCGACACACATGTAGTTGTTCAGACTCCAGAATGACATCCTTGTTCGACCGGCGGCTACCGGTAGTTTCGGGACTTTCTCCTCATCTATGTCAAGTCGTCCCTGACGGCTATGCAAAATCACATCACGACATATGGCATTATCCTCCATGGCCCAATCAAATCGACGGGGAAGTAGTCTTGCTGTATATTAGACTAGTGTCCTTTCGTCGAAGTTTCTCTATATTAATCTCAGAACAAACGCAAAAAAAGCAAAGACGGCACACGGCGAGGTCCACCAAGGATAGTGTCTACATGTACAAATTCAGGCTTGTTGAGACCTAGCCAGACCTCTCCAGACGTAAGCTACCACTGGCTGAGCCGTGGATGTTAAAGTTAGTCGCGCTGGCGTTATGATTGGAAGATGGCTCGTCGTGGTTACCACGCGCCCGCTAGAGGCTAGCTGCGGAGGTGGTTTAGTTGACAACACGAGACAGGTTCCGGCGACGCATGTCCCACTACAATAATTGGCACAGCCTCCACAATGGTTGTGCTCACTCTTGGTATTGAAGCAGACACCATCGCATACATGTGGTAAGCTGGGTGGGCAGCCAGTAGGCTCGACCGGACCCCAATTGCTTGCACATCCGTTCTTCTCATGTGTACTCGAAAAATCAGAGCAGACACAGGCTTCCTGATCGCGTACATGTATACAGGCTTGGTTGCATGCGCCACAATGCGCGTGATTCGTCGTGAGGCTGACGCACCCTATGCCTGGGCAGAAATTGGGTGTGCTCGAACTTTGGGCGCAACATGTGGTCAGAATCGAATATGAAGATGCGTCAAGGGGTGTATGCGATGAGTATGACGCTGAGTTGACTTTGGCTACCGAAGGTGTGGTCGGCTCAGTGGGCGCGTATTTCCCGGTAAACGACGTCAGAACAGTAGTAACTAAGGGCAGGAAACTTGAAGGTACAGCAGTCGACTGCATTGATTTGCTCAAGCTTGAAGCAAAATTGCCAGATCTAAGACTCCCGAAAGGTATGCTGATGTTGGCCAATGGCAACTGGGACACTAATGCTTGGGACAAATTCGAAGTGCTGGAAGAGACAGTGAACTGGCTCCATGGTGGAACAGATTCCAATGAGGCAGATGCGATTGCTGAGGTGCCTGACGAGACGGGTGCTGTAAACTCATCCTGGATCGACGAACTTCTGGAAACGGACGAGCGCGAATTTGAGAATAGACTTGTGAAAGCGCTGGACGACACACCCGTAGCAGGGTCTAAAGATTGAGAAATAATCTCGCTGGCTGAGCCGCGAGAAGCCGTAGATTTCATAGAGGTTCTGCTGGGTCCCTCGAATAATAGGATTATAGTTGAACTATTGGCGAACGGCGATGTCACTGGCCATAGGTTTGGTACCGGATCTACTGTTCCTTTACAGAACCCTAATGATTCTGTTGTAGCGACGGGATTCGGATTGGAAATCGGCGTCAGTGGTGCCAGGTTCGACTTCGATGCCGCATCAAGCGACAAGGAGGCTGCCAACGTACAGGCGGTCAAGAATGAAATGGCCACAGAAGCAGCTACCGCGCTCGCTTTCTGTTCCGCGTTAACGATTTCGATTGTTTCTTGGGTGGACGAATATTGGTGTGACTTGGATGATAGCTTTTGAGCCGCTGGCAAGCTACCAGCAGTCGACCTGATCGCCGTTACGGAAGGACTGATACTTAAAGATTGCTCCAACAGAAGTGAATTTGACACCCCGCTCTGGTTTAAAATGTTTCAAACGTCTTCCTTGCCCTGTGTAGCTTGGTATAGTCCGGATGAGGATGTTTGAACCGGCCCAAATGACACGGCCATACAACTCTCTTCAGCTGCCGATTGTTGGAAGCTTGTAACTTGACCTGAATTCGACAGACCGCTTTCTGATGATGCATTAGAAGTCGCCCTTTGCGCTGGAGTAATCTGACTTGATTCAGATGAATGAGTTGGAGCCGTCTTCATGGTGGGGGTGGCCGGTCTGCTCGTAACTGGATCGATATCAACAACTTCATTGGGACCAAACGAGGCGGAGCTAAGGCTACCAAGTTGAGCTGGTGGTGTGAACGATGATTTGATAGTGGCTATCCCAAAGGAGTGTGAGTTGGAATCCAGTGGATCTGACAGTCCTGCAAATTCGACGAGCAATGGAGCAGCCGTTGTGAGAGCCGATGAAACGGACATAGGCAGCTCGATAGAACTAGGTGAAATTGCAGTGACAGCACCCATTTTTACTGGTGATGCAGTGAAGGGTTCATTGAGAGCTTGCTCGGTCGATATTGGGTGAACATCTGGTTGATTTGGTGGCCCTGATGCCTGGAACAGATATAATGCAGCCGTCGTAAGAGTCGACAGCTCAGGCTGAGGCAGCCCAAAATAGCCCGATGCGAGTGGAGGGACTGCAGGGGAAATTAGACCTTCCACAAGCGATGAGGCCGATGAGAGACGACTGGGAATCGATGCGCTCGAAGGTGGCGTATCTCCGGATGTAGTGATTAGCCTTGATATTCCTATAGACACTGTCTCTGGTGAAGCCGATCCATGTAGAGGAGAACAGGAGATGAGTTTTTTCAATTTCTCAGCACCTGAAGACACCACAGGGAGAAATATGCCGGGGGACCCGAATCTGGAGACTGGAGGATCAGCCGCAGTGGCAACAGGAGTTTTCACTGTTGCAGTATCTGATCGACCTTTGTCCACCAGATTCCGCAACTGATCGCAGCTTTCCGGGAGGAGGTTTTGTCCACTGGGATATGATCTACTGACAATGTAGTCACAGAGAATGCTCCCGCCAAAGACGGCGATCATTTGCAGCGCTGGTTGTAGCAGCTGATCGGCGCTGTAGACAGATGCCACACAATTTTTCAGGACCTCAGGGTCGAAAGTCTTGGGACCGGATCCTCCTAGATATCCTCGCCACACCCATGATACGACACCAGCTATCAGGTTACTTGCAAAGGTTTCTCCGTCCACACCTTGTTCGCTCGCTTTTTCTGCATGTTGGCATCTGAATCATTCGAGCATACGAGTGTGTTACGCCCTTATCTGTGACAGACGATATCCTGGAGACTGACATCGAGGCTTGAGCAAGCAGGTCCTTGACAGATGTACGAGAGTTCAACCCCGCTACCACAGTGGGCGAGAGCGCCTTCCGCCCGTGTTGCGACGCCGTTGGTAGCTTTCGACATAAGAACCATGATCAAAGCTCGGGCAAGTGTTCGAACAAGTTGAATAGATACCAGCGGCGCTGTGCTGCAATCGGGGATGGGTGTAGGCAAGTTGAGAGGGCGCTCTGTCGGTCGAGTCCGCACAGCAGATGGACCTTGTCATTTACCAGACTCAGTCATAGCTTGAGACAGCAGCATGTCCATGACGAAAGAGGGAAACATGGTGGCTGAATACTCAAAGATTTGCCTCCTGTGGCGCTGCGAGGCCGCCACACCTGACACGGCATTACTTCGTCAGAGACCACCAAGTTGAACCCTTGGATGTTCCCACTCCCATAAGATCCATTATCAGTAGCTTGATCTGATTACATGCAGCCTGTGCTGTGCTCAGCAGCATTCCGACATAGTGGAGTTCATGTTGCATGAGCCGGACTGTTACACAAGACATATGGTGCGTAACATCTAGCAAGACAGGAAAAGGGACATAGATAGCCGGCTCTTTTAGGACCCCTCTCTGCAATCTCAGTCGCGTCCTGTTGACCATGGTTTGCTCGGCATGAGCTTGTCTTGCTTCTGCTGTGGTTGCTTTCAGCCAGAGACACTGTAGCTTTGGTACTGGTATATAAGAGCGAACCTTGCAGTTTAAAAAGCGAGAAGATAGTTCGGCAATACCTGAAGGTAGGCATGACTCTATGCCTCGTCCAAGGTGGCGTAAGGCAAAGGTGGTGCCGTCAGGCTGACCTGTAAGTCTTAACCACATACCATAGTTGTGCCGAAAGGCCACAAACGGTACCCTGGCAGCGTCCAATTGACCACACCTGGCTGATGGCAGCGGCTGTGTTAGCAATCGACTCCTATCGGTAGATCTGTAAACATTTCAAATCTGCAGTGCCACCCTCCTTAACCCACTGTCATGTCACAATATGAGGGTAAAGTATCCGTGGTAATCTGATGGTACAGTCATGGTCGTGAACATTATGAGAGCCAGCAGGCCGGATCCTGGATGCCTGATCCTGCAAGCAAAAGCCGCAGAAGCTATGTACCCAAATGCAAGAACGCCCCTCATGATAGGACCTCAGATGTCCCTAAATAGCGCAAGATTCTTCAAGTGCATAAATGCCCAGTGTAAGTGCAAACCATAACGCCCATCTTTTGACGAAACCCAGATGCTCTCAATTGCAATCGCAAGAGATTGAAGATGTAGTGGTATCGGCGTCCTTCAACACCAATACGCCTCCCTAATGCTTGTAACAAAATTTATATGGCAGACTCAACGCTCATGAGCGTAAGCTCACCTGATAACGCCCCAGCTGTCCATACTGCTGAGCCCTCCTGTGCGCTCCTTCTTCTTGAAAGCGTTCCAGAATCGAAGCGTCTCGTCACCTGCGCCCGTGACTATCACCTGACCATCTGGACTCATTGCAAGATATAGCACACGATATGTGTGCCCAGTCAATGACACGACTTGCTGCATGCTCGGGTACTTCCAGACGATGATTTGGTTCTGGCTGTAGCCGTGTGTCGAGACAATCTCGTTGCTGTTCTTCGACCAAGCGAGATTGCAGACCTGACTACCCGTGTCCAGACTCTGTAAAAGATTCGCAGGTGCTGCTGGTGAAGTCTGGACATTGGCAGAGCTCGAGGCGGACGCTGCTGCCGAAGCTGTAGCAAGGGAAGCAGCTGAGGGGCCGTTTGACGAGATTAACGTGTTCCAGAATTTGATAGTTCGATCCGCTGTGCCACCACCGCTAGCCAAAAGACCACGTTGATGGGGACTCCAAGCAATGGCCTTAACAGCAGCCTGGTGTTCACTGAACTTGTACGTGGGCTCAGCATTCAGCTTGTCCCAGACCATCAGCTTGTTGTCATTACCCCCGGACGCCAGCTGTTGATCTTCGTGATTCCACTTTAGCCCACAAACCTCCTGCTTGTGCCCGACCAGTTTCCGTAGCCACTGATCTGGCTGCCGTACGTCGCGGTGGTAAATAATGCGATCTCTTGAACCAGAGGTGAGGATGTGCTCGTTCCACGCAAGGGCGCCGACTCGAGCTGTATGACCCATCATCGTTCGCAGACGGCGCTGAGTATGCGCGTCCCAAATCTGTACCTGGCCTTTATTTGTGCCGATCGCGATATGTGAACCACGCTGTATCCAATTGACGCTGGTAACAGAATCGTCCTGGAGTTCGCAGAGCTTCGTGACACGCCCACTACTCGAATTCCACATGTAAACACAGGATCCAAGACCGACACCCAGAGTATTTTGACTCCCCCAATCGACGAGATTGAGATAGAAGTCGTCGGCTAGATCTGGCGCATCAAGGACCTTGTAAGGGACCTTGGATACAGCTCGAGGCGCTCGTTGTGGGCTGAGCAGCATGCGTTGACTGCTGTATTTAATAGGTGATAGACTGTAAATATCTGCACGCGCATTCAGATTCAGCACACCATGCCGACTCGATGGAGTTCTCGAAGGTGTTGGCTGCCCCGAATAGGAGAAGAGGTTCTTGTGGGGAGTCGAGGGAGTGCCGCTCGGTGGAGGTAGTGAACTCGTCGTTCTCGTTGGTGGAGTATGTGACCTTCCACCAGACCGCATGGTACCACTGTCTGTGGGAGACAAGCGCTGTGAAAGAACTTGTGGTACCGAGTCCTCGAACATTTCCTGGCGCAAAACTGCGGAGTACGTCCGATTGGCTTCCTCAGCTAATCGTTAGGTTAGCCATCAATCAATTCAGCAGAATTCCGGGCCAATGCTTACTCTTCTGGAAGTGCAGCTCGTTGTGTGGTGTTCGCTTCGACTTTGATGGTGTCGCCGGTGAGGCATCGTCGTGCAGCAAATTGAAGCTGGCCTGTAAATCTTGACCTGCACGATTGGGGATGAATCTAATCTGCATCAGTTGCCTGCGTCATATGATCAATGACGTCGCCACACTCACCTGTCGCCCTGTATCCGCGGCCTCTTGCGGCTGGGACTCGCAATCGGCGTTCGCTCTCGAGCCTTGCCAGCCTGCTCAAATTCCTTCAAGGCTTTTGACAGCGCCGATGCATCTACTAGCTCTGAGTTGCGACTAAGGCTCTGGTTGCGCTTGTGCGTGGCGGTTGGCGGCGTCTTCGATTCAGGTGGTGAAATCAACGTTGGTGTCGCAGCCCCATCGTCATGCACCGTCTCTGTGGACTCCTTCACTGCGCCGCGCCGCGCCATGCTGTTGTATGCGCCGTGTTATGATCGTACGTGATGCGCCGGTTGGTGGGAGTGGTGAGCGAGCGAGGTGTTGCAGAGGGTGTCGAAGCGGGAGGATAGTTGCCTGGAGTCGCGTGATAAAGATAGTGGGGTCGCAGGCCTGGTGAGAGTGCAAAAGGAGTGGGAATCGAGGTGAATGCGACGGTGAGCTCGAATGACGATGGTGATTGTGGTGACAGGTGGGCCTCCAGGAGGTTTGTCTGGACTCTCACTGCGCGCTGGCAGGCTTCGATGCGAAAAGGGCCAAACAATGTCTACGCAACCCTCAGCAGGAGACGTGGCGCATCACAGAGCCGTAGATAGTGAAATGTTTGGCGGCAGATCGCGATGGGCGGGGTGGCCGGGATGACTTGTTGTGAGGTCGGAGCTTTGGTTCAAGATGGCCACAGCGCCCAGGGACCAGGGGAGCAACGGAGACTGAAATGCGAATTAATGAGCGTACAGACAAGGAGATGCTGATAACAATTGCCCAACGCAGGGCGGGCTCGAGCTGGAGAGTGCAGTGAATGTGAAGGATATGGCTGCTGCATGCGTCCGAAGGCAGCGCGTCGTCGTCGTCGTCGTTGTTGTTGTTGTCGCAAGGTGCCTCGTTCGAGGGATCGTGCCTTCTTTGTTTGGCTTGTCGCTGTTTTGCTTGCTCCTTCCCACGCGTTGCCAGCCTCGCAGCCAACCAATCCCGCCTCTAGCGCGCGCCCTCGCTGCATCATCGTGTCCCCTTCTGCCACCCCACCGCGGGGCCTGTTACAGCACCTTCCGAGCCAATCCTTATGCTCACCAAGCTTCAGCCGCTGCGAGCCACTCTGCTACAAACGACGCCCACCCACCGATTCCTTTGTGCTGTCATCTCTACTCCACTGCTACTGTCGTGTGCTCTACGAACCATGGCTGCCAAACCCTCTCTCCAAGCTGCCGAGGACTTTTTGTCCTTTGTGAACGCCTCCCCCACTCGTAGGTCACCGCTCGTGTGACGGTACCAAGCTATCGTTGACCTGTATACCAGCATTCCATGCCGTTAGATCAGCTAAGGAACGCCTGGAGAAGGCAGGCTTCGAACAGATCAAGGTAGGCATTACATAGCTTTACATGGCTCACTCTGTCACTTGAACTCATACGCTCTTCGTTCAAAGCAGTAATGCAGGCATCACGCTGTATAGACTTTGCTCATTCGCTCCAGTGAGTTTCGGAAGCTGATAGCTGCTAGGAACGAGACTCTTGGGCGCCCACCATCCAGCCCGGTGGCAAGTACTACCTCACGCGAAACGGCTCATCTATCGTAGCCTTCGCCGTTGGCAAGCAATGGAAGGCTGGCAATCCTATTGGTATGATCGGTGCGCACACTGATTCGCCATGCCTGCGCATCAAGCCGGTATCGAAGCGCCAGAGCGATGGCTTCATCCAAGTCGCGTGCGAGACGTACGGCGGTGGCCTGTGGCATACCTGGTTCGACCGTGATCTCAGTATCGCTGGTAGAGTCATGGTCCGAACCAAGGGCGGCAAGATTGAGCAGCGTCTCGTGAAAGTCGAGCGCCCCATCCTCCGAATTCCCACCCTCGCGATTCACCTTGACCGCCAAGAGAACTTCCAATTCAACAAGGAGACACAGTTGTTCCCGATTGCTGGGCTGGTGCAGGCTGAGTTGAACAGGCAGGGAAAGACTGAGGAGAGTAAGGACGACGAGAAGAAGGACGGTCCCTTTGAACCACTGGCAACACCGCTCCAAAGGCACCACTCCTACATCGTGGAAATCATCGCAGAAGAAGCGGGTGCCAATCCCAATGATGTCTTGGACTTCGAGATTGTGCTCTACGACACGCAAAAGTCGGTGATCGGTGGTCTCAATAACGAGCTCATCTTCTCGCCGCGACTGGATAACCTCATGATGTCGTACTGCAGTGTTGAGGGTTTGATCAAGAGCCTGTCATCCTCTTCAAGCCTCGAGAAGGACTCCACAATTCGCCTGATTGCCCTCTTCGATCACGAGGAAATTGGCTCGCAGACTGCGCAGGGAGCCGATTCAAACCTGCTACCAGCCGTCATTCGTCGCCTATCCGTCCTGCCGGGAACTGAGTCGAGTGTATCAGACAGATCGTATGACAAGATCGAGGCGGATACAGCCACTGCTTACGAGCAGACACTGTCGACCTCATTCCTGATCTCAGCCGACATGGCTCACTCGGTACACCCCAACTACCCCGGCAAGTACGAGGCACAGCACAGGCCTGAGATGAACAAGGGCACTGTCATCAAGATCAACGCCAACGCTCGTTATGCCACAAACTCACCAGGTATCGTCTTGCTGCAGGAGGCCGCTCGTCGCGCAAAGCCAGCATCATCTGGTATTAGCAAGGAAGGCGTGCCGCTCCAGCTCTTCGTTGTCCGTAATGACTCATCCTGCGGTAGCACAATCGGTCCTATGCTGTCAGCAGCTATGGGCACGCGTACACTTGACCTAGGTAACCCTCAGCTCAGCATGCACAGCATTCGAGAGACTGGCGGTGCGCACGATGTTGAGCATGCTGTAAACTTGTTCGATAGCTTCTTTGAGAACTTTGAGGATTTGGAGAAGAAAATTGTAATCGATTGACTAGATGCGAGGCTTTGAGAAAGTACAGAATAGAAAGAACAATAACGACCATTTGAGCACCATGTTGAGAATCAGCAACCCCTCGGCTTTTGTTCGGCATTCTCATGCTGATTCGGGGTCCAAACTTGGTAGGCTAGATGCCCCACCAAAGTGTCAACAACTGTGCTCTGAAGCTGCCGCCAAAATACATACCCCATCAAGTACTATGGCGCCCCAGTTCCTCTCCGGCGATAATGCCGCCATTGACGAGTTCTTATCCAGGTTCGATGTAAGGGAGTGCTGCTGCCCCGCATGGGCATTGCTAACGGTTGACACAGGTGTTCCTGTTCGATTGTGATGGTACGCAATGCCACCGATGTGCTTAGGAGATCTCCCAACAACATCGCAACGAGACACTGATTGCGAAGAAGGATAGGTGTTCTCTGGTCTGGCGATCACTTGTTTGAGAAAGTACCTGAGACTATCCAGATGCTGAGAAGCAAAGGTAAGATTTACGTATGGCTCGGCTTTGACAGCTGCTGACAAGGAATCAGGCAAGCAGCTTATCTTTGTGACCAACAACAGTACAAAGTCGCGCGCCGATTACAAGAAGAAGTTTGATAAGCTGGGCATACCCGCCGAAGTGGTGAGCGCAGCCAACCAAGCAGACCAGACTGCCGGCTAACCTTGCAATAGGACGAAGTCTTCGGTTCCTCGTACAGCGCCGCCGTCTATATCAACCGCATCCTCAAGCTTCCTGCCCCGAAAAACAAGGTGTTCGTGCTCGGAGAGTCGGGTGTCGAGCAGGAGCTGGAAGCCGAAGGTGTACCGTACATCGGTGGTACAGACCCAGCCTACCGTCGTGACATCGAGCCTGAAGATTTCACGAACATTGCCAATGGTAGCATGCTTGACCCAGATGTCGGCATTGTGCTGAGCGGTCTCGACTTCCACTCAAACTACCTGAAGACGGCGATCGCTTTTCAGTACCTGCAGCGCGGCGCGAAGTACCTCGCGACCAACATCGATAGCACCCTGCCAATGTCACACACACTGTTTCCTGGAGCTGGGTCGTCGGGTGCTGGGCTGGCAAAGGCTATAGGAAGGGAGCCTTTATCTCTTGGCAAGCCTAGTCAGGCCATGATGGATGCTGTTGAGGGCAAGTTCCAGTTCGACCGCAGCAGGACTTGCATGATCGGTGATAGGTTGAACACTGATATCCAGTTCGGCATTGATGGAAAGCTCGGTGGCACACTCGCTGTTCTCACTGGCGTAAGCAAGAAGGAGGACTTCCTGGCGGAGGGCGCTCCTACTGTGCCCACTGCCTATGTCAACGCTCTTGGCGATCTGCTTGTCTAGATAGACGTGTCCATACAGGCCGCAGCAAATGCTAGATAGACAATGTCTCATTCTGATACGTGCGTCAGTGGCAGGGTGTTTGAGCGCGTGCACGAAAGCGGTTAGTGCAAGGGTAAAGTGGCAGTCGCGACGCGCGACGCGCCTGCCCGCCATCATCGCGCACCACTTCAACGAAACACAACACAGTCATACCCACGCGCAACCATGATCCGCCACGAACACTCACGAATTGACACCAAGCGTCGCGCAAATCTGAGCCACAAGAAGAAGCAGTTTGCCAAAGCAGAGTTCCAGGAACAGACATACGAACACCGTCTCAACTTTTACATACTGCCACCAACGGCCGAGATCACACTCGAGGAATTCGAAAAATGGGCGATCGATCGACTGAAAGGTCCACACGAAATGTTTATCCCAGCAAGTTCGTGTACTGACCTATCATAGTACTGTCCGAACTCGAGGCATGCACGTTCCGCAACAAGGGCCCCGAAGAGACCGCCGAATACATGAAGAGCATCCTTGACAAATATCTTCCTATGCGAGCCGCTACATCGAAGGGTGCAAGCTTACAAGATGAGAGGAAGAAGGACCATTACTCGCATTTCATCCTGAGACTCGCGTTCTCTGCGACTGAAGACCTACGCCGGCGATTTTCGAGGCTCGAGACCATGCTATTCCAATTACGATTCAAGGACGACGACTACGTCGAAAGACAAAGGTTCGTAAGAACCCTGAAACTTGATTGGGAGGAGGTACAAGAGGCAGAAAAGCGGGAGCTGAAAGACCAGTTGTTGGCTGCAGCAGGCGGTGGCTTGAAGAGCCGCGAGGAGCAAGAATGGTTCAAGGTCGACTGGGAACGAGTGTCAATACTTGTAGAGCAGCGGAGAGTGTTCCTCAAGCGCGGCAAGGCCTATGTGCCGCAACGAGAGCAGTTGAGCTTGGTAGTTGCTGAGTTCACAAAACAGCTGGATGATGCACTTGAGGTAAGCGACAACTACGAACATTGCCAGTGCCCATGCTCACCTAATCGTCAGCTCACATCACGCGCTCTCCCCCGTCTAGACGAAGACGACCGCCTCGCCCCAATCCTTGCCCACCTTTCGCAGAACTTCACAGCGCCAGACGCTGCCTACTCCTCTTCAGACGCCAACATTGATGGTCTGTCCACAATAACCGCCCATTCGATCGACGCACTCTCCCAGAACTTCCCCCTGTGCATGCGCAACCTGCACATGACACTGCGGGATAACTCTCATCTTAAGCACTTTGGGCGTCTACAATACACACTGTTCCTGAAAGGTATTGGGCTGGGCTTGGACGAATGTATCATGTTCTGGCGGCGAAGCTTCAAGCTTATGACAGACGACAAGTTTCAGAAAGAATACCGCTACAATATTCGCCACGCCTACGGCGATGTGGGTGGAGATAGCAATCGGCGAGGCAGAGGCTACACTCCCTACTCTTGCCAGAAGCTGTTGACAGAGCCGCTTCCCGGCCCAGGTCAGACACACGGCTGCCCATACCGCACATTTACGCCAGACAATTTGATCTCCGTGCTACAACGATTAGGCGTGAATGAGAGGGATGTGCTGAAGACAGTACGAGAGGATATGGGCAAGCAGAGGTACCATGTTGCATGCAATAGGGTGTTTGAGTGGAGTCACAAGAGGGAGATCAAGAAGGTCAAGGATGATGGGAGCTGGAGCGCGACCGATTTGGACACTATTGTGCATCCCAATACGTACTTCAAAAGGAGCTGGCTGTTGAAGCATCTAGGTGAGGGCAATGCTGGCATAGTCAATGGGATGCCAGATGACAAGATGGAGGAGTAGGAGGCTTTTGGTGTACACGGTTTTGGATTCCGGGTTTGGGTAGGCTAGCTTGATTTAAGATGATGCCTGGAGTACGAGCGCGTCGTTTCAGACCTGATCGTAAGGGTTGCTGTTCCGATGCTGTTGCGGTGGTATATACCTGATAGTTCACGGAGTGAAAGATGTCTTTTGCTCCGACAAAAGCATACATCGTCCGTTGAAGTAACATCAACCTTTTTCCGCAACGTTCGTTTGGTTTCATGATCACGACTGCAGATCTGTAGCCGATGTGTCTTGCATGTTACCGATGGTGTAAGACGAGATGTAGACTTGATGGTTGTGGAAACTTGAAGTGGTTGGGAAGGCTGCTCATGATGTGGTGCCAACAGTAGCTGCATTAATTGCCAGGTCAGTGATCTCAAGCAGCGAAGCGTCTGTAGACAAGCGCTACGGAATTCGTGTGCTGTGGCGTAGATGTAGCTCTGTGGTGTGCGAGCTCCTTCTTGCCTGGGTGGGGCGGCCGTCGTTGCGTCGGCGGATCACACCCAACAATCCTCGGCGTGCTGCCCAACAACGCGTCCCACGGACATCACTACGATGCTTATTTCATCATTGCGTTGATCGACTATTTCCTCAATTGTGCAGCTTTATCTGCGGCAGCACCATCTACATCCCTTAGGGCATCTTCTTGGGTTGCTTACAGAGCACGTTTGTTTTCGACGACCAGGATGTTCTTTCACTCCACAACATCTAAATACGCCATACAAATAAAGCTACTACTCACCACAAAGTTGGACTTGACCTGACAGTCCACGCCTTACGCATTGAGATCGCCCGATCTGATTAAGAAGAGGACATGGAGAGGAAAAGCGCCATCAAACAGCGCGCACCAAGTGACACAGCCGCAGACAACAAACAGGCGCAGCCCGCGACTGCCCTGAGATGCAAACACTGCAACTGTGGCTTTGCGACCGTTTCAGCAGAAGGGGATCTAAACCCGACCATGCCACGTGAGCAGGCTTGCGCATCATGTGAGCCCTTTCTTGGCCTGTATGATACGTTGAGGACTGGAGAGCAAGAGCACACGGCATTGCTTGACAGAGGACCTAAGCATCATGGCCGCATCATGGCGCACGAGCAGTTTCGAAAGGCTAGGGTCGCGCTTGAGAATTTCCTGGTCAACATCGAAGCGCCCAACGACGTATCCTTCGATATAACGCAGGCGGGATTTGCGAATCACACAGCGCCCGTGTCACTCAAGTGCGCACAAGAGCCGGAAGAAGGCCCAAAGCATCCGGATGACCAGAACAATCTGCAAGGCGCATCACCGCCAGTCGACTGCGTATCGTCTACAGCACCCTTACCCACAATCAAGCGAAAGTTAGCACGTAAATCTAGCGCTTCAACTCTCGGGCGCAAGCGGATCAGATTCTGCGAAGATGTCGAGGAGCGTCCTGAGTACAGGGAAACTCTGGAGTACTATCGTGGCGCGAAGGAGTACGTCCCAGGTCGCTACGCAGTGACAGAAGGCTCCGAGTATGAAGATACGAGTGGCTCTACTATATCATTCGCCAAGTTCACGGGCCAGAAGAAAGTAGGCATTAAATTCGTCGACATTGTACCGAAAAGGAAGACACAGGATGGCGAAGAAGGTATATCTGTAGTCCAAGGGAAAGGGAATGACGGCAGCAAGAAGATGCTAGGTTTGCCCGAGAAACCTGACGCGCCAGAGAAGGATGAGACTCAGATGAACAGCCGAGAGTTGAGACTCTCCCGGCGGGCTAGATCAACTACTCCACCGGCAGAGGTGAGGCCACGAAGGATATCCGCCCAGTACGACGGACAAGAAGTCAGATTTCCAGAAGGTTCGAATGATGCACCATCCTTGGTCGTTGCACTGAAGGGCTCCAGCCTTTTCGAGACTCACGCGCTCCCCAACGGTGATCAGTCAGCCCCCGTCTTGGAGGATACACGCGGAACTGAACGAGTCATTCGCAGTGCTGATCTCAACAAGACTGCACTCAAAGCAATTGAGCCTGCAGCCATCGGTCAAGTGGTTTCGAATATAAGACGTGAATTAAGATATCTCCAGCAAACCACAGTCACTCCGAAGTATCAAGATATGGTATCGGAAGCTGTGCATGGCTGCTACGAAGCTCTGAAGCCATTACAGCACCTCGACTGCGTTCGTTCACTTCACTTTGACATCGTTGAGAGCCTGCAGGAAGAAGAAGATAGCATCTATTTCGAAGCCTTCGACGGTACTGGCGAGCCAACCTTGATAGCTGTACCCGAGCCTCCACCGAACCCAGACAAAGTTTTTCCCACATGGAGTGAAGTAATAGCTCACAATAAAAGCTCACGCAAGTCTGATACCAGCCTTGCACCAGACGCCAACCTTCCCATCGACATGCCTAAGGGAAACAAACAAAATTCGCATGAAATTTCAGATCTTGAGAGATCAGACAATGATAACGGCACAAATACCAGGCTACCGACACTCTCTACCGACGCTGTTGAGAAGAGAGCCAATCAGACCGAGACGGAGGGTGTGACGAGGGTTGGATCACAAGATGAACATTTAGATGGCCACTTCACAAGACCTGCTGCTGCTGCCTAATCGCACACGCCAGAGAGTGTGGATATGGTATCGAGGAGGGCCAGCTCGACAGCGCCTTCAGACTACCGCTCACCAGATCACGATCTCAACAAGGCACCTGCTCGCACATCCCCCACAAGGCAGCGGAAGCCTCGAGTAGCTCTGCCAAGGTCACCAGTATATTCGTTCTCTACTGTCCCGGATCCGAAAGATTTAGAGGAGCACGGGATAGGAGCAGATAGCGGCATGGAACAAAAGGCAGATAACCGTCCTGCCCTAAAGCTCGATGGGGATACGGATATAATCGAGTGTCCACAGGGCAAAGATAAAGCTGTACCTGCAAGTTGTCCTGGCCTCCAAACAGCTAATATTGACGCAAGCCTGCGCAACAATCAAGCTGCATATCAAGATCCTGTGAGCCCTCTGGAACCAACGTCAGACACCTCAACCACCCAGCCACCTCAATGTGGAGCGGCTGGAAGTATTCGTCAAGGCTTCGGCAAATTAATCAATGGTCGAGACAAGAGGCAGGGCACCCAAACACAAAGTAAAACCCACATCTTCTGATCAATGACCAGAACCCCGGCATTGCAACCTCCGGTAAGGCCGGCCAGGAATCCGAAGCTGATGTTATGGACACGGACTAGCACGGGGCAGAGAAAGAGGTTCAAGTGGATACTGATACGGCTCATAATTCAGCTGAGGTAATAACGACTGACGACCACTCCGTGGATCGCAGAGTTGAGACCACCATCGGCACTTCAAACATAGTGCTGCAAGACACCGTAAGATCTTCATAGAGTCAGCGAAGTACATTCAGTGATAGCGATGAGACAGACGTCAAGATAGCCGATGAAATTCCTCGGGATGATCGCACCGCTGCATCTTAAGTCGGAGGCCAGAATGGGTCGCTGCACCTGATCGTACCTGGGAGTAGCGAACTGAACAGCGCAGACAATTCCCTCGGGCGCTCCGGTGTAAGGGAAGTCAACCTCCAACAGCACAGTCTTCACTTCGCGCTAGCAAGGTAGTCAGCTACTTGTACGAAGACCCTGACGCACAATTTGATAAGGAGAACGTGAATGATGACACGCGGCCTGCGGATGCTGCCTCTGCGGTCCCGCAAGTCAACAAGGAGTTTGCATCGGCAGCACGCAAGTCAAGCGACATCGCGCAACAAGCGCATCGATGAGGCCGCCAAAGGCCCATTTCTAGCCTGAAAAGCCACTGAAGTTCCCGGCATGGAGCCCGCGGCTGCGGCCTGACGCCGAGTCGCGGCACAATCAGGTGATGTTTGTTAGACAGGGTAGGGGAATGCTTGCTATGTTTGGGACCCATTGCCCATGGTGCTCATGGGGCATGCGCCGTGATGCGCACCGAAAGAAGGGTCCGGCGATTTGTTTGCAAATTGATGGTGTTGAGGCTGAGGGATCAACGCTAAATAACTAGACAACAACCAGATGATATTCTGGGGCTCTGATGAAGCACCTTGGTGTTCCACAGCACGACTGCTATCTGCATCTCGGGTACAGCAGGCATACAGGAGACGGCGAAGCCGCCCAGTGACCATTCACCGATCACTGCAAGCCCAAGCCCAAGCAAATGGCCCTCCTCAATACGTATGTAGCATTAAAATACAAAGCACCAATCAAGACGCAGGAGGCTGTAATCAAGCCTCTGCCAATACCTGACGTTTTCATCCAGCCTATGACATCCTTCCATACCTCCAGGGTCCCTTCTGCGCACCTTCCATGCATCGAAGATCTAAAAGCGTTCCACGGCCTATGCACCACTCTCCGGTCAGGATCGTCGCCACAACCGGCTTTCGGCATACCTGAGTTTTGTAATTACAGAAGCAGGTTGTGCGGGACCAAGGTTGCCTGTTTCAGTATGAAAATTGGCAGTCGATTGCGGTGGAAGGGTTCTTCCGCTCTGATTGGAAATGACGAGGTACCTACGTGGGAGGTGCAGGATTCGTCCTTGTAGGCGCAGGAGGGATATTGTACAGACACGACTGGAGTGGGTGACAAGGTTTCGCTGAAGTCGCATCGGGCGGCCATAGTATAGAGAACGAGGCGCAGGCGCATCTGGATCGCAACGGCAAGATCTCTGTGAGCAGGCAGTCTCATGATGCATCACTGATAACAACTGATCAGCAGGTGGTACCTATCGAGTCACAGCACACGCAATGCGGCAGCCACGCGGTGAAGGCAAGATTTACTCTGAGTACATGCAGGCACGGCTGGTGGTGCATGGAAGATGAGTCGCGAGCTGCATGAATACGAGGTCTGGCTTCTCGAATCTGCAAAGAAGGCGTAGGTAGGCTGTCTATGATTCCAGAGGAGCGCTGGTGGAGGCAGCAGATGGTATTCGGTATGAGAGTGGCCATGAACTTAGCCTCGCCATCCATTCATAGAGTGGCAGCTCGGGGTACAGGATACAGAATTTCCTTATCAGGCTCATGAATCTAGTGCAGCGGACGCAATGATAATGCAGGAGATTGAGTCTCAACTCACAGCGTGTGCTGAGAATTCTCAGCGTCCTCCACGTCATCACAAGATAGCCTGAGTAGTAAAGAGTCAAGATCCTTAAGGATGTCACTCAGCGATTGCACCCGTGCAAATGAACCTCGTACTCTCGATGTAAGATAATGCAGGGACGTGACTCTTTCCTTGAGCACATGCACATTGTTGAATCCGATAATGACTATGTTGACTGCATATGGAACTGGAACCTTATAGGGTATATGTAAGGTATATTGTGCGGTTCTACAGTAGTGCGTTCGTGTTGCCGTGAAGACTTCTTAACAAGTCGGCATCTGAAAGTCAAATTGCATGCACTCATCGTACGACCTAAGCAAAGGATACGAGACCCGATCTTCCACGTGGTTCCCCAACAAATTGTACGCTGACGACTGGACTCGCATGTCGCCTCCGGCGACGCAGGTCTAATGGCGACGTGCATCGGGGAATAAGGCCGTGACATCGAGAATTCGTGTTCGCCGATGACTGATATCATGTTTCTGAAGGCTGCACAGCGAATCCGGGCGTCACGCGCACGGACACGGTAGCGGTTCGGAAGGATTGTTCCTGACCCCAGATGATCGCTGCGCGGAATCCTACCGTACCCGCGCATCACAAGATCACAGCCTTCACGCCGGACGCCCCGTTTGACGATCGTTTCCGTGTAGACATTTTGAACCACAACACCAAGTGATTGAATGACATAAATCGGAGATATAGGCGCTCGCCCATGTTGCCCGTAGCACTTGATGGCCCAGATCGACGAGATTGGGCATGCGGCAGCTCGAAGTCGTCCTGCCTCTGAGGGATGTACTCTCAACGAAAGCTCAACGGAAGCTCAACGGAAGCTCAACGGAAGTTCAACGGAAGTTCAACGGAAGTTCAGAATCGCCACACAATACGTCCCTGAGTCGTGGGGCTGGCATAGCAGCAGCGGTGACCAAGTAAGTGCCTGGAAGTGCTTCCGGAGTCCAAGGGCCATTTGAAGGACGCAACGGTCGGGCAAGAGGTGGGGACGCGTTTGACTTGGAGGTTCTGGCAGGAGGACAGACCCACCTGCGGGAATAAACCCTCCAAAATGACTCAGAAATGGTTCCTCCGGTATTGACAGTTCCGAAGGATCTCAATCATCTACATAGCATCGAAGCTATGCCTTCTGAAGTTCTGATACCTACTGTCAACATTCGGAGATTTGGAGTGAACTCGAGACTACATCAGGTTTTGGCAGGCTGTCTTCCCACAAGTAAGCAATGTGACTGCCCTCATCTGGGCTAGTACCGGTGAGTCGGTGACACGTCGGCGAATGTTCTCTTGTTCTGCTGCCAAGCTTCGATGGTAAGCCACGAGGAGGTGTGCACGTTGGGGCCCGCCTTGAGCCGCATTAATTACAATTAGTGAAGCTGTACTTGAGGTCAAAAGCAGCTGCGAGGTAATCTGTGCCTTACGAGAAGCGTGTCTTGGATTCTGCACGGAATCTTCGTGGAAGCTTTGAAAACGCGTCAGTTGGTGTACTGGGCCCAGGATCAGAGTGGGGCAGCTGCAGATGCCTTCAAGCTATTGATCAAGCTGCAGGAAAGGTCAAAGGTTCCAAGTGCTTGTCAACCTTTTGTCGACTATCTCCAGATATGAGCAAGTGCGAGCCGAATCGAATGAAGCGACAACGTTCGCACCCTTGCTAGCGCAATCGTCATCTTTGGCTGCGACTTTCGATTTGCTGACAGTTCGCTACTGAACACTAATGAGACGATCATGCATTGTGAACTTCAAAGGCAAACATGCACGGGCAGATTATCATTACAGCTACTGCCGCACGTCTGCAGTCTAGCAGCCACACCCGCATACCTAGCTCACCGGATTCACTTTGACCTCCTCGAAGACCAGCACTCATACAAGCTTTGAAACCATTTGTTGCGGCCAACGACAACGCAAAGTAGCCAACCGCCTGTAATTTCTACATGGCACTACAAGCTTCAGACGCAGCCATAGCTCACTATCGAAAATCAAGCGGCATGTTTTGACAGCGCAGACCGTCAAAGACACCGCGCTCGCGCTCCCGCATTCCTAAGCTAACAGCAAACTGCATAAGGTTCCCGGCAACCATCAAGCTCGAAGCCCGAGCGTGCATGCAGTACCTAGAAGCATCTTGAAGCTTTGCCGCTTGGTGCCACCACTTCAGGGGCCAAAGCCTGAGACGCCGGTCTTGGCATTGGATTCCAGAACCAACAATACTACAACAACGCAGTAGTAAAGCTATGATGTGGCACTACTCTTCCAATAATACCTGGGCACCATTCCTTAAATGTGCTCTGATACATGATAGGAGAAGCTACATAGTAGTATCTCAAAGTACAATCATTGTTGTTGTTACATTTAAAAAGCGGGGTCAAGCCATGGGCCTGCTAAACCTCTAGCATCCCCCCGTGGTCGAAGCGCGGCATCGTTCCCGCAGCATACCCATATATCCTTCTAGAAAGCGTACCAGTCAAACCCAAGGATTGAGAGAATAAGCGACCAAGTTAAATCATGCGATTGATCTGGCTGGTTAACTGAACGTCCGACACTTCACGATAGGTGTCTGATAGCCCTGATCTGTGTTCACCGCTAGAGTGACCACCCGTTGTCAACGTCGTGGTCCATGGTGGTATGTGAATGCACCGCACCTGTGCCGGAATGCGATAACCTAGTTATGTAAGGCTGCCTGAGATTCAGGGCCAACTCACGTAAAGAGGCCGGAGCTGATATCCGCACCCAATTTCACGTGCACACCCATGGTCCATGGATGTCTTAGGTGAACTCGGATCTCTGCCCACAATCCAACATCTCTCCCTATTATCATTTACGCTTCGCATGCAGACCAGCAACATGGGTGAAAGTGATGCCTGTCTGACGGAGTCTCGCTGGGATAATGTTGAGTTTCGGATCCTTGCAACCGACACAGCAGCGCGGCGCGCGCTGATGCAGGTTCCCGGAAGGATAGATTCGCAGGGCAAATGATAAGCGCGACCACGTGCTGCACGCCAAGTCTGCAGGGACTGCTCTGTTTGATCGGCGATAACACAAGTGATCTTTGGTCTTTCGCCGATATTGAGCGAGTCGGGCGGGCGAGGGAGAGACGTCATGCGTTTCCATGCAGCGATTGACACGTTCATCTGAGTCGTGAAGTTGGGTGTGTTCTAGATGAGGGGGTGCAAGGCTAAAAGCTTTTATCTGGTGGTTGTAAGAGTCTTGTGTTTGGAGTATCTATGTTACAGGTGTATTGTTGATTGTATGCTACATGATTCGTGAATTCGTGAATTGAGCGTCTGCCGCATTGTACGTGAGCCTTGTAAGGTCTCTAATTCAACAATATCGTTGCAGTCTCCATGCTGTGCCTGGCTCACCGATTTGTGTGGTAGCAGTTGGTATCCTCCCCTCGTACTCTGTATCGTCACCATCTCTCCGCTAGCACGGAATGTCGCGCCGAAAGGCCGCGGGGAAATGCGTGCATCTGGCAACGCACTGGGTATCATATTGCTGGAAATTTTTCGAAGGATTTAGTAACTGGAGACATCGTTCAAGGGACAAAGACGTTCTGCTGAGCGGCCTCCCACTGCCATTGCTCGGTGAGCTGGCGAGCTCGGTATTCGGTAGCGTAGCCAACGTCGGTCTCGACATCGCGGAGGAGGTCGAGAACGACCTGACGCTCGCGGGCATCACCGAGGCACTGACCGGCAGTAAAGAGAGCCTGGACGGAACAGACACGGGAGGCATCGTCTAACTGTGCGAGTGAGATGCCAACGATCTCGCGGCTGTGCTTCTGGCAAGCAGCGAGAACTGACTGGTAGGAATTGAGGCGAGCACAGACAGTGCTGCGGCCTTGAGTCGATTCGTGAGGCTTGTTCATGAACAGAAGGATCTGGCTCATATGGTAGGCTTGCATTACTGAGGCGCACCTCGGAACATCATACCAGACTCCAGGGAACATAGCCTCGTTTTCTCCTCGGAGAAGTCGTCCAGGGGCAAGTGTAGGCTCCACCCGGCTAGAAGGCTTGAAGGTCGCTGGAAGACTGTCGTGCCAAGCCTGGAACTGCTTGCGCAGGTGGTACCAGTAGTCCAGAAGTGTCGACTGAGGAATACTGGCGTAACCCATTCCCATATCCGCCGGAAGCTGATCTCCGGCCGCCATGAAGTTGAACAATTTCGACATGAGCCAGGTGAGGGCCTTGCAGATGAACCCATCGTCGGAGTAGCCGTTTTCAATGAGGTCGTTGGGTACTAAGAATCCTTGGTCGTCAATGAGTAAGCCCGCTTCCTTCCACAGCGAAAGATCTTCGGTGTCAAGGTGTGTGTGAGTCTTGTTGATGACTGCACAGGAGTCAGCAGGGGTTCAACGGGTGTGGTAATTCAAACTCACAAGCTGCATACATATCTTGACCTGCAATGTTCCAGAATATGGATCGCCTAGCCTTGGAGATGAAGCTGAGGCTTGAAGTCGAGATAGGTGAACCAGGCGACTGCATCTGGTAAGGCATCATACGCTCCTGTGAGTGGGCCAGAAGAGACTTAGCCCCGTTCAAGTGCTTGGCCCATTCTGACATTGATGCGTCGAGGTGTTCGTATATGCAAAGGATTGCAGATGCAGCAAGGATCTCGTCAGTGCCAGATTTGGCGGAGGCGTTGCTTGATGTCCGGCGTCGCTTCGTTGGGTGCACTAGCTCGCCACTGTGCTGGCGGAACTCGCAGTCCGAATCATCTGGGGTGATGGTGGTATCGGACTTCAGAGCCTGAAGCATACATGAGACGGCATTATCGTAATAATGTGCTGCCTTGTGCTTCCAATCCACTGACGAAGACCCAGGGTAGACCTCCATTTTTGGTTGACATCTTCCACCAGACTTTCGGCCTTGAGTCTGCGAGAGAACTTTAGCAGCGCATGCGACGGCAGCATACTTCATGAGGGTGTTTTCCCGTGCTTGTACTGGTACGTAAGAAGCGAAGTAGGCGTCCATGTCGAAGAGGTCCATCCATCGCCCAGGAACCTCGGAGAAATACTGCAACAGGAAGGCGACTTCGTGATCCTTTGACATAAAAGATTCACTGTTGGAACGGGGCGGTGACTGCCGCAAGCTTGTCATAGAGCATGATCGAGGAATGTAGTCTGAGGTGGCATCGAAGGGTGAAGTGAGGCGAGGGTCAATAGGTGGAGGTGTCATGGCGCCAGACCAGTCCATGATTGGATGGATACGTCGATTACATAAAGAGGCTGGCGGTGAGATGGGCGTGTTGACTGACGATGTGGGAGGCGATTGCATCAGAGGTGGCAAGGCATCGAGCTCTGGAGTATAGCACATGGGTACGCTGGTAGGTGGTAGCTCAGGTCCCATACTTGAAGGTGTGCTGGTCAGCGAGTGGTAGTTGTTTGAGGTTGGCCACGAGCCGATTGATCGAGGCTGGAAAGGAGCAGGCGAATCCATTGATGTGACGGACATGGTTTCGATATCCGGTGTTACGGGGTCCAAGTAGGGATTGGTTGTGTTGATGAAGGTGACTGTCGCGCGTGTTAGGAAGCAAGGAATCACCTCTTCGGGAAGTCACCTACCGTTCTTGGGGATGTCCAACCAGATAGCATCATCCTCAAATGTGTTCTTGTAGGAGTAGAAACCTTTCAGTGAGTTCTCATCTCCGGAGTCGTCGCCGTTCATGGAGGCATTGTGTTGGTGACGAAACACTATCCCTGAGCTTGGTACGCATTCCCTCGATGCCTTGATACATTGCCCACAGACAGGCTTCTTCTCATCACACTTGAGCTTCCTTTGCCGGCAAGTGAGGCTACAAGAGGAATTAGAGGACGTGAAGTAATAAAATCGCTTTACTTACCATCCAGTACGTGAACGCATCTCAGTAGTTGTGCGCGTGTGTCAGTGAGGCTCAGGTTGTCACGGGTACTCGAGTCGAGCGTAGTGGGTATGAAGGATTGTCCACATGAGTCGGCGGACCTGGGTCATAGATATAACAACATAGTCGCGGGCGATACAGCGGTCTTGCTGAAGGTTGGATGCGGGGTCTAGCATGGTTCGCGCCAGCGCCGGTCCACCGTCACAATCTAAACAGGGCCTGTAGGAAATGGCGAAAGGCTTTTCCTTGCTCTAGGTGCGTCAGCATGAATCGCATTCGCGTTGCTCGATCTGGGGTAGTCTGAGCATTGAGCTAAAGTTCAGCTCGGAAGAGCAGCTGCGATAGTCCCGTTCGGCGACTCGCGTCAAGCGCCGTAATGATGTGCTTCTCGCCGAATCCTGACCGAGCCGCAGAACGCACATCACTCAGATACCGCACACGTGAAACTAGTCTGAATATGGCCACTAGCTGCCACCTTTTTTTAAGTTTTCTCCTGGCTCTTTGCTTCCGCATAACACCGCCATCGGACCGTCTCGACAAGCTACTGCTCTCTTTAGGGCGCCCATCCCTGATCCCAGCTCAGATCCGGAGTGATCCATCCTGTCATCCCCTACGTTTCAGTGGTTGCTAGGTACCTATGATAGTTGTCGGATGTAACTCCAGCCTCCTCGAACAGTTCGTAACCGGAGCACTGATTGTGTTATCCGCGGGAAGAATTAAACGCGCGCGCAGTGCATGGAAACATCGAAAGATTGTGGAAGCATTCCGGAAATTCTTCGGGTCTCTCACCGCCTATGATGACTTCTATAGCCCCGTGCCACGTTCTGTGGTGGATCAATCAGTTCGAGGTCTTCTGTTTCTTTTTCGGTCGTTGCGCATCATTCCCTGCGTCGCTGGCGTCCTCCATTTCTGCATCGCTATCACCGGAACCACTGTCGTGATCGGAATCGAATTCTTCTCCAACTTCAGATTCAGACTCGGTCTGGAAATCTTCATCAACGCTCTCGTCATCCTCGTCGGCACTACCGCGATTTGCAACACCTCCATCATCACTAGAGGCAAGGTCGTCGTCTTGGAGAGCGGCTGCAAGAATTGCTCCTGACTTTCGAATGCATTAGTGCAGTTAGGTGGAGACAGTTGAATTACTTACGTCGTCGTCCATCTCATTCACAGTCTTGATACCTTTAGCACGGAAAAAGTTCTCAAGCGGCTGTTGCTCCTCACTGTAATCAAGATTTAGATACGCAGTCCTCTTCTCGTGCTGTGGCGTGTACTTACCGGTTGATGTTGGAGAACTGGTGCTCTGCCATTCCTCCCTTCATCGTGAAGGTGATGTCAAATGTTCGACTCGCTGCCATGGCACCACCAACACGGGACATTGTGACGGACGCAATGTTATCCATGGCAATGTAGGTTGCCGGCTTGGGAATGAACATGAAGGCCTTGTCCAGGCAGTATAAGTGACCCTCGTTGGCCTTGATTGAGCATTTGACACCAGACTGCTCGTGATGACTGATGAAGTCACGCGACGGCCTTGTGACACGTTTCCCACTGAGTCCTCGGAAAATGTCAGACACCACTACTGCAATGGGTGCCTCGTAGTGTGACTGCAGCTTGTCTTTGTATTTTGCTTCCAGCAGATCCTCCTTCATGTTCAGGTCGAGGTTAACCTCCTCATCACGCTTGAACTGCATGACCAAGAATGGATAGCGTGTCTGACCTTGCCTCAGAGGTGGATCCAATCCTATTGTGATCAACGTGTGCATGTCGTCGGGCTTTGGTAGTACCATGAACTTCTTGACCGAGTCGAATTGAATCTTGTAGTCGTATGTCTTTCCGCGCAATCTGAACGAGGTTTCGTACATATCAATATCGAAACGACCTCGAGGTGTTAAGTGAAGGATATCCAGGAACGTGGCGAATGTGTCACCGGCGACCTCGCCAATCTCGGCCTTGTCCATAAGCGTCTCATAGAACAAGTTGGCAGCGTTCGTCTCCTCGCCATCTTCTGCGCCAGAGATGTCTTCACCGTCCTCGTTCTTCTCCTTCTTCGAAGTGACACCGGGAATGTAGAAGCGCATCTCAACCAGCTGATCGCGTGCTCCAGCCGACTTCTTTCCGCGAAACCGAGCGCCCCCAAGACTGCCATTTGCGCCAGAATCTCCATCAGCGGGCAGTGAGAAGTCGACTGCAACCTCGTTCTTGCCAGCCAAGTTGGTGTTCGATACTTCGGTGTAGGGTACCTCGAATGCAGGGCGGTTTGCGACATTGAATGTGAGCTCAGCCTTTCCGAACTCAGCTTTGCCCCAGTTCCAGCCACGGAGAGCGTGTTCTCGGTTGTCAAGATTGATGCCGTACCAGACCTTGAAGAGCTTCGCCGCACGATCGAAATCCTGATCATCTTAGTATTTGTTGATCATGTGCTTGACTCGCGCAATCTCACCTCTTGCTTGAAACCGTCGAGCTGGATTACGCCATCGCTGCGCGAAAGAATCTTGATCTCATAGCCGCGCGCTGCACGGCTCCACTGCGCCTGGAGAATCTGTGACTGATCGCATGTGTATGTTTCGCCATTTGCAGGCTTCCAACCAAAGCCAGACTCGGAGAATCGAGTCGCGCCTGACTTTCGGGAAAGATTTAGGTAGATGTCGTTGAAAGCCTCCCTGCTCGTTGTCAGCATATCAAAGTCGATAAGCATGTCTTCCAGGAGGAGAGCAGTATTGTTTACATGTTTACAATTGCCAGAAACAGCCGTTAATGATGGTGGGGGGTTCCTGGCGTTGACTGTGGTGAGTGCGCTGCAAACAATCAACCGACTGAGGTCAACGCGCCTCCAAATTACCAAAGCTCCACACGTGACACGCGTCTTAGCGCGTTTAAGCCAACTTCGCCAGCCTGTCTCTACTGAAAACATCAATCTGCAACTCAGCGGTAACATACCGTCCAGATCGTCCACAATCTCGATCAAAGCAGTGGTATGTCCTTCGTCGAGACTAAGCTACGGAGAGGATTGTGCCCATTACCAGACAAGCACTGCAAATATAGGGGTCATACGCTGGTGGAGGGTCACACATATCTACGTGTCTTGCTTCAAGGACTACAAACTCTACTTCTACTGGTCTCGATGGAAGGTCTCCAGATGAGTTTGTAGTATCCAACCTTCGTGGGAGCTCTGCCATGCAGCATCCAACCTGACTGAAGCCCTTCACCAAACGTCGTTAGTTGAGATCAGCCATGTTCGCGCTTGATAAAGTAACTCGCACTCAAACAATCTTGGAACTTCAAAGCTTATCTACGGATACAAGATAGGAAGAACATTTTTGAGATGCGTCCCACTCCCGGACTTATCAGGTTGCAAGATTGTGCGAATACCTATCGACACTTCCTAAGCGCAACGTCCGTAGACAAGCCCGTACTCTACCCTTCACCATGGATCATCCTGGATCTGCTGTCAACGCGTTAAACGGCTATCAACGCCAGTCGACCAGGTTTTGTCCAGGGTCCAATGTCTGCAGTGGGAGCCGCAAATAAGGCCGAGCGTACCAGGGTCCTGCCGACTGACTCGAGACTACAGGGATACAGCTGCACGCTGGACTTGAACGACGACACGGTGCATGCAACTCACATCATGAAACACTCGAACCAACGCTGCCGGATCGTCACATCCATGAAGATATTGGACTCTCTCATCGCAATACCCACATCCTAATTGGGCCCTCTCGAACATTATCATGACATCTCAATCGTACCCTTGACCCTTGTGCATGACCCATGGAAGTGGTCACAGCGCCTCGTGACAGGTCCTCAAGCTCGTGCTGTCACGCTGCGGCCAATGCTTTATTGCTTCCGTCGATAATAGGCAAGAGGAATGCACACGAGTGCGAAGATCTCCTGTAACCAAGACATGGTTCAAGGCGTTTCTGTATCCCTGAACCAAGTGCTGGGCAAGCATGTGGGTTCGGTGTGACGTACGTGGATACCTAGTTGGTTTCGGACAACGAGAACTTATAGTCTCAAGTGGAAATTACGCCCTGCAAGAGTGTCTGCCGGGATGCTTTGGGCTCAGTGGATAATGCTCTTCACCATGAAGGTAATATTGATACGAACATTATCAACACTGACAACATACCGCGGCACGGTGCGGTCGATAACATCACAGCATGCACTCTGTGGACTTTTCTGCATCTCCCACACAGCTTGGTGGGGAAAATCGAGACCGGAGGAAGCCTTGGTTCTACATGTTCGCCCATGGCTTCGGGATACCTTGATGAACTAACACGCAGCGCAACATCCCTACAGCTTGCACGTCTATCCGACTTTGGATCCGATCATGTTAAGTTTTGACGCTTTCCATGCTGGTCCACATTGCACCTACCTCAATGGGGATAACCGGGGAACGTGTTCCTTGGGCCCGGCAGCAGGCCCAAGTGACATGTCACCGGGCCTTCTTGAGCGGGCCCATGTCGCGGTCTGGATGCTCCCGTCATGTCTCCCGGATAAAAGGATTGTGTTTCCACGAGAATATGCATACGAGGCCGCGGATGAGTTATCGTGAACATTGCGAAGACGTCGAATTTTGACAAGACACAACGTGGTCGAGCATCTTCAAGAAAGGCCTAAGATCATGAAACTTTCGGCACTGACAGTGGCGCGTCGTGACAAAGAGTGAAGTGACTTACTGTCGACGGTGCAGGTCAATTGATTCTCTTGTCGATCTAGACGGCACCTGGGTTGAACCCAAGATGGATGTCTCATTGAGACTGCGATACTAGTCGTTTCAAGACCAGCGCAGCTGTACGATCCACATGCATCCAGTACAGTCTCCGCTTTGACGTCAAACCTTAGGACGATACACCTGCACGGACCTAACGGTTACACGGTCCCCGTCCAATCGCCATGTACCTATTCTTCAATCGAGACATCCAGTTCGGACCCGATGCGCAATTCGATGCAGTCAATCCTCTCAGATAGACCGTGCAGCTGCACCGCGACATTGCAAGCCCACAGCGGCAGCCATGAAAGCCAGTTAACGTCTAAACACTGTGAACTATTGAACTCTGTCAGATAGGGCTTCTTGGTCGGCGTTTGACGCGCCTCTAGCTCGACGCGGACACTAAGGGCTACCAAACTTCCGCTGCGTGCCGGGATCCGCGAGCGCGCTACGCCCTATACCTTCGGGCGCCCATAATGTGTACGCCTCTGCTAGACTCATGCGTACGCATGGAATGCCTGACGCCAGCTCATGACGTCTGTGCTGCTAATGCGTAACAGCAGACCCTGAGTTATAGAATGTGTATTAGTCCACCACGCCATCTTAGTACGTTGTAGATGTGAGCTAGGCGCCTGCAGCGGTAGAACTAGATTCCGGTGTACATAGATGTGAGTGCGTTGTGGCTAGATTCGAGGCTGATCTACGCCAGGGTGTGCATGAGCTCAAACGCTGACAAAGTGAACGGTGAATTATGTCGAGTGCAGAGCCTCGAGTCGAGGGTGCAGGCTCGTGCGTGACGAAGGCCATGTGCGGGGCACAGCTTGTTGGATAATGGAGAGCGGCAGTACGTCGGATACAGACAGGCGGTGAAGCCCTAAGACAACCCCACGACGTCTGGTCAAGCGACATATTCACGACCCGCATGCATGCATGCGCAGATTTTGACCTGGACTACTTGTATCCTTAACTTGGGCTACTCACGGTACGGCAACGTTGCTAGCTTTCACGTGTGGTTCAGCGGGCGGCACCCATTCGCTTAACGATCTTTCCGAAAAGGTGCCTCTGCTCCATCGTAGTCCTGACAACACTCAGCCTCGACAATAGACAACGCAGGATGCTGTCTATCAGATGTGGAGAGCTAGGGACTGTGCACAGCTGATCTAGTAAATTTCACGATGTCCGAACTGGTATAATTCGCGATGTCCGATTGTGGATTGGATAGCGATGCCTTCGCCGACTCTCCACAGCAAACATGCTCACAATCGTGCTTCCAACGACCAATCGCGATTAGACGACAGTAATTATCCGAGTCCTCCAATCAGCAACTGGGCGAATTTTCCGAGAGCACCTCCTTGGACAGGGCGAACACGCTAATACAATCCGGAGCCGAACCCACAAGTGGAGCTGGCCCTTTTCGCAACCGGGGCTGGACATCAATCACCCACAACACGTGGCCTACAGACCAGGGACAGTGCGGACACAGTACACGATTCAAGCAATGCCAGAAAGCTTGCTTAATCGTCTCTTCTGTGTTACCTTGATTTCGTATCTATCCACACTTCATTATTGTTCCACTCATTTCCAACCCACAATGCCCTGCTCACACGCCGCCACCAGCACCGGAGTAATCATGTTGCTCGTGTTCGGAGTGCTTGTCGTGACGTTCCTCCGTCCCATCTTTTTTCTTGCGAATGATACTGAGCTAGAACCTGATCTTGAGATGGTAGCTGAGTATGTTGAGTATGTTGCTGTGCGGCATGATCCACCGCCTCCGTGCTGTGAGCCTTGAGGTTGATCCAATAGCCTGGAAGTTGTTTGGGTTGACATTGATGTTGATTACAATGGGTATACGGAAGTGGACTGGTGGTCAGATCCTGCTGGAGCCTTTTTGTCATAAAGGTAAAGTTGACAGTCATGCATATCTTTCCTATAATCATATCAAATACTCTTACACAACCTCCTTAATCACATCATCGCACCTCTGGCAAAGCTCCTCCTCGGCCTTCTTAGCAAAACGCCAACACCTCGGACACTTCTCCAGCCGGGGTGGATGCACAATCACCCTTGCGCCTGCCAGAACACTATCCTCATTCGTGGTCACAACAGGCTCACACGCCGACCTGTCCCACACATCTGCTTTGTCCGGATGTGTAGCGCTCATCTCAAAATCGCTGACAACCAAGAGCCCTGAGAGTTGGGTCCGCACGTCGAGCTCGACATGCGGGACACATGACTGTAGAAGGGCGTTGAACTCGTAAATCGCGTCAGGCGACATGACGAGTGTGACTGCTGTTTCGAGGCCAGAGCCGATCTTCTTCGACGTTCTGAGGTGCTCTTGAGCGACTTTGACAGCGTTGCTGATCTCGTTTATTCTGTCCAGTGCGCCATCCAGGGCTTTACTCGTTGCTGCATTTGTTGTGGGTAGCGCTGTCCAGACGGCTTGTGATGGATGTATACTCTTTTCTTTGAGAGCAGCGGGTACGTGATCCCACACCTCTTCGACGAGTAGCGGTGTGATCGGGGCGAGGATTTGCAAGAGCTCGTAGAAGATGAGTCCCAGGTGTGACTGCAGAGTGACGCAATCAGAGGTATGACCGGTGTAGATGCGGTCCTTGAGGGTCTCAAAGTAAAACGCGCTGAGATCAGCAGCGATATATCTGTTCAGCGTGCTCAGAGACTTGAAGAATTCATAGCGGGCGTAGTATGTGTGTATGTCTGCTGAGATTTGGGCGAGTCTATGCTGCGCCAACGTATCGGATAGGAGTGAAGAAGTCGGAAGCTCATCGCGCAGAGCGTTGAATGATTGGAAAGTAGGTGGGCAGGAGGGCAACGAGAGCACGCCAAGAAGCCACTTGAAGGTCACTCGGTATTTGTGTAGAGCCTGGTTGACGGACTGCAGCACAGGCTGACCAATGGTGACATCACGCATGTAGTCGCTGCTGGTGGCCCACAGACGCAGTGCATCAGCGCCCATACCATCGTATGTTGGATACGGCAGTGCAGCTTGTCCCTTCTGCTTCTTACGCTTGACGGGTGGGAGAAGCTCGCCATTCATGATCTGGGAGGGTGAAATGACATTGCCTAATGACTTGCTCATTTTGCGACCGTCTGAGTCCAGTGTGAAGCCGTGTGTGATAAGTGTCTTGTATGGTGCATGTGCAGTGCCGGAGGAGTAATCTTGCGTGGCAATGCGGGTGAGGAGCGAAGATTGAAACCATCCACGATGCTGATCGGTGCCTTCAAGGTAGACATCTGCGACCGGACCGTCCTTGAGTTGCGGCAGAAGCGTCCAGGATGTGCCACTGTCAAACCATACATCCATTGTATCGCGTCCGCGTACGTATGTCCCTGTTCCAGCGAGATGAGAGGGTGTCCATATTGGATCTGAGGGAGCATCTGTCCACCAGGCATCGATGCCACGCTCTTTGATGGTGTTAATCAGGTGCCCGATGGTTTTCGCATCCATAGTGGCCTCTAGTGAGTCGCCTTGAACCTTGTACAGCGCAGGAATTGGCACACCCCATGCGCGCTGGCGCGAAATACACCACTGACTTCGGCCCTGAATGAAGCTCTCTAGTCGTGGTCGGCCAGTCTCAGGAAGGAAGTTCACATCAGCAATAGCTTTCATTGAAGCATCTTTGAGATCGCCAACATCAGCGAACCACTGTTCGGTCGCTCTCACAATGACTGGCTGTTTCGTCCTCCAATCAATGGGGTACTTGTGTCGGTAGTTCTGTTTCGCGCGAAGCAGGCCTTGCTTCTCGAGGTAGTCGCAGATGGCTCGTGTACCGGTCTTCTTCTCGTCAGAGACAGGTAGACCTTCAAGGAGCTCTGGCTGTTCGGGGAAAGCATCTTTTGTGAATGTACCAGCGTCGTCGACCGGCGCAAATGCCGGTATTCCCATGGCCTGGCAGACGTGGTAGTCGTCCATTCCGTGACCAGGCGCAAAGTGGACTAGTCCAGTACCAGACGAGTCGGTCACAAAATCTGCGTGAATGATTGGCTGTGGCCCGCTAGCCTTCTGGAAAGGGTTCTCGTACTGGAGGTTCCCAGCAAGGTCTGATCCCCGTAGCCTAGACACAACAACTTCGAGCTTGCGCTCAAGTACTTTCTCGTACTCTGCCACTCTTGTTGCGGCGACGAACGTCAGCTCGCTGTCTTTTCCTGCATCCCTGACAACGCAGTACTCCATATCCCTATGCACAGCGATGGCCTTATTCGCAGGCAACGTCCAAGGTGTAGTGGTCCAAATGACCACATTGACATTGCCCTTTACACCCTTGTCTTGCAGCTTCGCCATCAGGTCCTTCGTGATCTGCGTCGGAAACCTCACAAACGCAGCCAGACTCTTATACCCCTCATCATACTCGAGCTCCGCCTCCGCCAGCGCCGTCCTCGAGCTCGGACTCCAGTAAACAGGCTTGAACTGCCTGTACACCAGCCCCTTCTCCCACATTTTCTTGAAGACCTCAAGCTGCCTCAGCTCAAAGCCCTTCTCCATGGTCTTATACGCATTGTCCCAATCGCCCATAACGCCCCATTCTCTAAACCCATGTTTCTGCGCCTCGACGGTGGTAGCAGCAAGTTCGCGCGCAGCGCTACGAATAGCGACTGCATCAGTGTCGCCTAGGGACTTCTTCGCGGCTTGTAGCGCTTTAATTTCGATAGGGAGGCCGTGGCAGTCCCAGCCGGGGATGTAGGACACTTTGTTGCCTTGGGAGACGTGGAAGCGACATATGACGTCTTTTGTAATCTTGTTTAGGGCGTGGCCGATGTGTAATGGGCCATTGGCGTACGGCGGGCCATCGTGGAGGGTGAAAGGTTTGGCTTTGCGCGCACGCTGCCAGGCGTAGAGGTCATCAGTGCATCGTTGCAAGTAGAGCGGTGTCTTCTCCGGGAGTGGACGGGGCGGGAACGGTGATTTGGGCAGGCGGAGAGTTGATGAGTAGGATGCGCGGAGAACGCGCGTTGGAGTTAGCATGGCATCGTTAAGCGGTGTTAGAACTTTGGATGGTTTTTTATAACTTGAGGCTCGGGGGTCCGCATTCGGCGATGCCTCGGCTACTGGTGGAGATCGGTCGGTCGTATCACAAGGAAAAGTAAGAAAATGTAAACTTAGTGTCGTACTGTCAGCCGTTCTCATTAGAAGTAGTTTCTTCTACTGATCTATATCGCGCTTTCCTTGAGTCACTTAGGCATCATAGTACCTTCCACGACTCATACTTATACCTCAGTAAACAGTTAGAGAGCTTACGGCACCATTCTTTAGCACCTCGAATACCATGCCGGGAAATCCAAATAGTTCCACATTACCGACGTCTGTAGTACCATCCCCTGTGACGCTCCCAGCATTGGCAAATTGGTTGCGTCTGCCGGATGCATCTTCCCATCCTCCAAGCAGCTCAACGCTGCTGCCAGGACTGTCACCCCAACCTCTGTTCAGTGCCATGCCGCGCTGTTGTAGCCTTTCTTGCTCTTCGTTGTCATAGAAAGTCTTGAAAACCTCTTTGAGGCGTCCCGAAATATCACTGAAGCGCATCTCAGAGTTCAGTGCCTCGCGGTATTGTGCCGAAGGTACGTGTTCTAAGGTCCATCTGCTTCTCCTGTGTCTGTTGAACTGGTACGAGCCAGGAATGTTACCATGGAAGATGATCTTCGTTGCCGTAAGATGATTGAGTGGTTGTGCGCTCAAATTGCCTTCAGCGTGCAGATCTGGTTCTTTGCGCTCAACTGTTGGCGACGGAGGTGAGATTTGTGTTGGTTGCGAAATCAGAATATCGAAGCCGTGGTGGTAGTAGTTGTAGAAGTGCTCCGCTGCCGCGATCTCACGCTCCTGAGCTTCGAGAACTGCTTCGTCATCGTCCTCCCAATCATCCTCGTTATCTGTGCCGATCGCCGACCCCCTGTCTGAGTCTAGCATATCATCTGGTGTCAGCCCACCAGGCGAGTGGTCAGATGCATCACTTGTGGTCCGGTCTTTGTGGATCGATAGGCGGTGATCGTTCTTGCGGTAAATAGAGTCTGGCGCTCCAAGCTCCATGATGAGGTCCTGAGGTGTTGTTTCGCTCAGGATGATCCAAAACGGAGTATTTGTTCTTCTGACCAACTCGACTCGCCCTTCGCCGTGCACTTTGACAAGCTCAATCTCATCAGACCCACCTCCTGTACCCTTAGTACCTACGAGCGCTGAAGACCTTGGAGTCGTAGGATTTGCTGTGAATAATGTCGCCCGTGCCTTCTGCCACGATTCACCGCTAAACACTGCCATGGAGGTCGCCGGCCCCGTCGCAGAAGATGACAGCAACGAGATGAAGTCATTCTTGGGCGAGTATACAGAGTGCTGTACTGGGAATTTGAACGCAATGCCTGGGTATGACAAGTTGTATGTCCCTCTTGCATCCGGGCTCTCAAACTTTGGCGGTAGGTATTCTCCTCCGTACGTAGGCCCCAGCAGCTTGTCATAGATGTGCCTAAATCTGGGTCCTGTCGCACCACCATGCATATCAACAGGTCTGAACACCTCGATATCCTTGTACACAAGTCGCGCTTTTGTGAAGTCGAGCACCTCGATCAGGCGCAACCGCTGGTCAGGGCCATCGAACTGTAGCCGCAGGCCGTTGTCGGGCAGGACTACTTGTACAGGCGACGAGATAGGGCAGAGGTCATCGTGATAGAGCTGGAATCGCGGAAATGTCTTGACTTCGGCCTTGATAGTAGTGAGGATTTCGTGCAGTGAGCACCCCAGCGCTGTGGTGTTGTCAGTACGAGCCTTGCTTATATAGATAAGCTACCAACTCATGAAGCCTATACTGCGCCCCGGCTGCAGTTGCATAGTACTTTCCTCCATATTCCGTGAGTGTTTGGAGAGGAGAGTGCTTCTGCAACGCAGTCGGCGTTCCGGTCTAAGCACAGGCACGCGCAGTGGGTGTGATCTTGTGCTCCCTCACGTGGACACGGTGAAGCGGCTGATGGGCAGTCGATCGACCTTCAAAGGTCATCTACTTGCAGCGCCCACGTTTCCCTCGGTATAGCGTATACGAAGTATATGGTCAAGATGTGGAAATAGACCTCGACAAGCAGCTACGTTGGAAGGAGGGGTGCCTCTGGCGGCCCGTGGGGGACCTTGCAAATTGATGGCGACCTTGTCTACAGCGGAGCCTGGAAGATATATCAAGATGGAGCAAAATGCACGAATACGGATGTAATTTGCAAAAATAAAGCAAATCAAAGATTTCTTTGGTAAACAGGTCAGGTTGTTGAAGTTGCAGCTGTTGAGCCGCCGAGCATGACGAAGGGGAGCTCGGGCGCGCCTGCCGCAAGCGCGTTTGGACCCCACTGGGAACCCTGCCCTTGTGTTTTGATTGTTTACGTGCATCAACACACGACGACATCACCACCAACAACCTTACTGACCACTACAGCCAGCATACTTCGACATGTCTGGCCTTCCGAGACCAGGTGCGCCGGCGGTAAAGCGCACAATATCCACAATGCGCCCGCCAGCTTCGCGACAGGGCACAAACAACCTCCTTCGTGGCCGCTCTGCCACTCCCATGCTTGATGGGCGCACATCTCGAGCAGAATCAGTAGCTTCGACTAGGACCCGAGGAACACCACGTTCGTCGCCACTTAAGCGGAAAGCCACAGATTTCGAGGATGTCGGCCAGGAGACCAACATCAACGTCGTTGTTCGATGCCGTGGTCGCAATGACCGCGAAGTGCGCGAGAACAGCGGTGTTGTTGTCTCTACGAACGGAATCAAGGGCAATACAGTCGAACTCTCTATGGGCCCCAGCGCGCTCAGTAACAAAACCTACCAGTTCGATAAGGTCTTTTCGCCAGCCGCCGACCAGGGCATGATCTTTGATGAGGTTGTTGCACCCATCATTGACGAGGCACGTATACAAAGGATTTCTTTGATATGGCGCTTTCTGACGTGTGCAGGTCCTTGACGGCTTCAACTGCACAATCTTCGCATACGGTCAAACCGGTACAGGGAAGACATACACCATGACCGGTGACATCTCAGACGTTCTTCCCCTCCCCGACGCCGCCGGTATCGTTCCCCGCGTTTTGCATGCGCTGTTCGATAAACTCGGCCAAGAAGAGACGGAAAACTCCGTGAAGTGCTCCTTCATTGAACTGTATAACGAAGAGCTGCGCGATCTTTGCGCTGCAGACGACACAGTGAAGCTGAAGATTTTCGATGACAACAGCAAAAAGGGCCAGACCACAACAATGGTTCAGGGTATGGAGGAGTGTCATCTGAGGACAGCCCGAGAGGGCATCCAGCTGTTGCGCTCTGGTTCTCACAAGCGTCAGGTGGCAGCGACAAAGTGCAACGACCTCAGTTCTCGATCGCACACAGTCTTCACCATTACAGTGTACATCAAGCGCACTACGGAAGATGGACAGGAATACCTGAGTGCTGGAAAGCTCAACCTTGTCGATCTTGCTGGCAGCGAAAACATCCAGCGCAGTGGCGCAGAGAACAAGCGTGCCGCAGAAGCCGGTCTGATTAACAAGAGTTTGCTCACGCTAGGTCGCGTTATCAACGCGCTCGTCGAACGCAGCTCCCATATTCCGTACCGCGAGTCGAAATTGACACGACTTTTACAAGACTCCCTCGGTGGTCGAACGAAGACATGCATCATCGCGACTCTATCGCCGGCGAAGAGTAATCTCGAAGAAACGATATCGACGCTCGACTACGCTTTCCGCGCGAAGAATATTCGAAACAAGCCGCAGATGAACCAGGCGATTAACAAGAAGACTCTTCTGAAAGAGTTCACGGTCGAGATCGAGAAGCTGAAGAGCGAGCTCATCGCAACACGGCAGCGTAATGGCGTCTACCTTACCCAGGAGAACTATGAGGAGATCACAACAATCAGCGAGTCGAGACGCATCCTTAGCGAGGAGCAGCGAGACCGAATCGAGACCATGGAGGTCAACCTCCGCAATAGGGTCGAAGAACTCTTCAAGATCACAACGAACTTCCAAACTCTCAAAAAAGACAATGAGCAGACGCAGCTAGCTCTAGAGGGCACTAAGGGCATACTGGAGAAGACGGAGATCGTGTTGGAGCACACACGACAGAATCTCGCAGAAGAGGCCGAACTACGAAAGGCACACGCAAAGACCGAGGGTGTGCTCGCAGAGATCGGGTATGGCATGATCTCGACACTCGGCAAGACCACCTCAGATCTTGATGGGCTGCGATCCAAGATTCGCCGGAAGTCAGAACTGCAGTCGCAAAATCGCCGCAACTGGGCGACTTCGCAGAACCATGTTCTGGATACAACACGCATAGTGGAGGATCGGATCGAGGACTTCCAGCAGCAGCAGGGCCAGATCATGGACCTGTTGTCGGCGCGCATGCAAGATTTTGTCAACGACGAGCTCGAGAAGCTCGGAGCGTCCCAGTCTTTCTTGCAGGAGAAGATGCAGGCCTACGAGACCTCTGAGCAGGAGGTCAACCAGCAGACCGCCAAGACTCGTGATGACATGAACGTGGTCCTCGAGGAGATCAAGACGCTACGTGAGGACGTGAAGTCGAAGATTGGCACTGGTCTCGATGAACTCTCTTCTGCAGCCGAGCAGATTTCAGCAAATATCATCACCGAGCTGGATGGCTTCAGAGACGAGCTGCACCAGTCATACGCGAATCTTGGCCGTGAATTCAAGGCTACTTTCGATGGATTGGTCAAGAGTCTGAGCGCACAACAGGCAGAGAACGACCGACTGCATGTACAGGTTCTTGATGCAAATGCAGCTCTACTGGCAGCGAACAAGCACACGCAGGGACGACTGGCACAGGTCGTGGATGAGGAGAAGCAAAAGTCTGCAGAAGAACGTCAGCAACTGCTTCAACAGATCACCACGCTTATTAGCGCCAACGCAGATGCTCAGGACCAGCGCATGAACCAGAAGCTCGCAAGCGTTGGCGAAGAGCTTGGTGTTGCAAACGCAGCTTTCGAGTCACAGCAGAGCGAATACGCCGCAGGCATTGAGGCTTGGAATGATCAATCCAAGACCGTTGCTGCTGGCGTCACAGCATCGCGCGACGCCATAAAGACCAAGCTCCGCGGTGACTACGAGATGGCGACGAAGCACTCGGACTTGCTGAAGGATACTACTACTTCAGTTCACGCGAGCACTGTGAAGACAGTGGAGGCCCAGAAGGGGCATCTCGACACACAATTGCACTCACTTGACGACATTGTCTCTCGTGTCCGCGAACAGAACAACGTTCACCACACCGCACATACTGCTTCGCTCGCTACACTCTCATCGACTGTACAGACTTCCTACTCCAGCATCGGCGAGCATCTCTCCACATCCTTCGAACGTGTCCAGTCTCTCGAGGCCGACGTATTAGCTCAACAGAGCACTCTCAAGGAGACGCTCTCATCATTGTCTGCTGATGCTACCATTCGTGCGCCTCTTCACGAGCTCCGCGAGACTGTCGGCGCACAGAACCTCATCGAATACAATCCAACTGGCCAGACACCCCAGCGCGTCAATTACCAAATCCCGTCCAACCTTCCTCGCACCGAAAGCCACGAGAACATCCTCTCTCGTCTCCGCGATCGCCCGGCCCCTGCCGATGATGCCACCCGTAGCCCAACTAAGCAACCCATTTTTGTTGATGCTACCTCACCCACCGACTCCACCACTGAGCTCTTTCCACCCGCCAAGCCTGACTTTGGACGCTCCATCAGTGTGCACGCCCAAAATCGCACCGCGCCCATATCCCTTCGCGAGCTTGACGTTAACATCGTCGCTCAGGAGAGCGCGCACACTCAGCCTTTGCCGCTTGTCTCAAGGTCCAGCGATAGCGTCGTCATGGCAGCGCCGCCAAACAAAAAACTCAAGGCCGAAGAGGGCAGCAAGTTGCCAATGAAGAAGACGCTGACGAAAACTGTTGGCGGTGGCAAGGACGACAGGGAGAATATGAGTCTCACAAACTTTTCGAGTTCGATTGGACCTGGGCAGACTGCTGGCAGAAGGTTGAGGAGCCATGGTGGCAGCTAAACTTCTTTTCGATCTTCGTTTGGTATAGTCTTTGTTGTATAGGCGTTGTTCATTTTGGTCTGGGCCGGTCTCTCGGTCAATGGCGTTTGGATAGTAGATGCATGTGCACTACACACTGTCGGTTGAGTGTTCGAGCTCCCTCTCTGCATTTCTTAGGTGTCGGCGTAGTGTTTTGAATGAATTACTTTTCTCTCTATTCGAAGTGAAATCTGCACAGTACGTGAATATGGTTATTTACACTTGTCTGCTGCCCACTCCGCATGCACGAAGCTCACATATACCTATCTCGAACATCTACTCAGCTACAGTTCCGGCTTGTAATTTGAGATTGCCGTTACAGGATTGATCGTTGCGCTGCCTGATTTCCCAATCCTCATTTCCCAATGTCTCCCCAGCGGCCTTCGTGTCAACAAATGGCCCTGCGTCCATGTTAAGACAAACGCAACAACCTCTAGCAGTTAGAGAACTGTTATTGCCACACTTAGTGGCTGCGGTCTTGCTGATGTTGTCCTAGCTGGAGAAGCAGGTGGTGTCTGGTAGACAGCCTGAGCTCAGACTGGCCGCCGCGTAAGTACGTAGTCGAGAGGCGAGCGTGCGTAATCATAAAGGCCCGAGGCTCCCTCTTTTCCGAGAGAACATCGAGGATGCAGAGATCCACTCGATATCACTTGAGCTGCCTCACCGTTCACAACCAATCTTGGCCTCTCCTCTGTCTCGCCGTCGTCGAACTCGCATAAGCCCCTTTCTTCGCAGTCTTGACACCCATCCTACAAAGCCCAATGAGGTGATGAACCCCAGCCACAACTCCGTCAATGACCTGAACATCCTCACCGACAGCTTCCTCAACTGCAGACTTCAGGTCCGCCATGCCCGTACAGCCAAGCAGAATCACGTCTGCGCCATCCCCAGCTAGCTCCCTTCCAACTTGACCCATGATGCGCAGCACTTCGTCTCTGGGCCTCTCTTTCAATCCCAAAACACCCAAATTACAGCTCCTCACCCCAACGCAGAAATTGTCAAACCCAGAACTTCGCACGGTGTCTTCCAATGTATACTTGGACCGCGGTCCACTGCAAATAATCCCAAACCGCGTCCCCAGCGTCCGCGCTGCAAAAAGACTCGCCTCCATGATCCCAACAACGGGCTGCGTCAACTCCTCTCTCAACATCCTAATCAGCGCGTGATCGCTGTAGCACGCAATCAGAAACGCATCGAATTGACTTGCATGCTGCAAGATCCCCTGTACAGCGACCGCCGCGCTCATCACGTCGTCAAATTTTCCTTCCACGGCGCTGGGCGCAGGTTCGAGCGCTGTGCAGCCTACCAATACTACGTTGGAGGAGAGCGTGGGCAAAACCATATCCACGCAAGCGCGTGTCATGGCGGCGGTGGAGTTGGGGTTGCAAAGTAAGATGCGGATTTGCCTTGGTGTTGCTTGCGCGCCGCGCGAGGCGGCGGTTCTGACGATGGAGTTTGCGCGTGGGAGACGCTTTGAGATTGGGGACGATTCGGTTGATGAGGGCTGTGATTGTGGGTTTTGTTGTTGGGCTGCAATGACCTGGGCTTTGGTAGGCATGTCGAAGGGGATTCCGGCTTGTGACATTATGACTTGAGTTTTCCGAATTTTTGGTTTGATAGAGGTTGCCGAGGGTAGTACGAGCTTTTGGGATATGGTAGGGCTGGACTGCGGTGTTCAGTTGTCTTGTTCTCGGCGGCAAGGCGTCCCCGCAGACGTTTTGTGGGGAAAATTGAGGCCACTTCGGGTTGCTGCGTCATCACTCACCCTCATTACCGCATCTTTTCAACGACATCAATTTGGTATCCTCTCCAATGGCTTTGCATTGACGTTCAATTTATACTACTAGATCTCCATCTTTTCCTACTTTCCGCAAGTACTTCTGCCGTACCCAATTTCACGCTGTTTCAAAGTTGTTCCCAGCGCTCAACCCCCCCAAGAAAAAAGGTCTTTGCCGTTCTCATATATACCATGCCTACTATATGGCTTATACATGCATCTGGCATTTCGAGCAGTTACTCAAACCATACAAAGTATGCGCGGCTCAGTCGGCCCTCAATCCATTGGTGCCGCGAATTTATAAACGCAACCAGACAGAAGTCGCGCACAGCACACCAGGGCTCTTCAACTGCCTCAGCCTGATCGCAGATTGCGCTTGTTCATTCCTTCTGCATCTCAGCAAACCCAAAAAGCTTCAGTATTCATCATGACGTCTCTACCTGTTGACTTTCTTAAGATCGAAGACCAGGGTTCTCTTCCCGTTGGCCTGTGGGACCATCACAGTGTCTCGCCTCCACCACATGTTTTCGGAGACGCTTCACAATCTACTTTATCTCGCCAAGGCCGTAGAGGGAGACGACGCTACGAATCCGAGCAAGCCAAGGGCAGCAAGGCTGTTGACCTCTTCAGCTTAGCTTTTGAATCCCGTCAGAATGTTGATCGGAGACGAATCAACTCAGACTGCCCAATATGCCAGCATATGTTCTCGGAGAGGTTTTGTAAACGCAATTTAACGAGACACGTACGATCGATGCATGCCGCGGATGCGCCCCTAGCTACTACATGTGACGTGCCTGGGTGCGACCGCACCTTCAAACGTCCAGATGATTTTCATGTGCATTGAAGGAAAGTGCACCTGAGCGACCAGGCGACGACATCGCGGCTCAGACCACAAAGAAATCTTATGTCTTTCGAAAAGGGATAGTCGGATATTGATGAGCAATTGGTGCATTCCAACCATTTGGAGGCGCGCGCGAAACAGGACCTAGCTCACACACTCCTCGAGTCAGACCAGGGGTCAAATGCAACGAATTCGGGGCTACAACAACACTTTTACCAAGTCTATGAGAAGCGGCGGAAGATAAAAGATTCGTGGGACTCGTGGCAGACCCAATTGCCCTATATGAAGATTCAGCTCCCGACGCCTGGCATAGACTACTCCTAGTCACATCCGATGATGGCGCATCAATGACCACCTCGCACGCTTCGTCTCGATCGGATCAATCATGTCAGGTGCAACGGATCTATCGCGAAGTACTGAGTGCTCCGCCACACAGATTGCGATAGCCACCAAGAGCTTCTGAATATTCCCCAAGAAGACGAGGATTTAGTCACGCTGTACCAACATGCTGTGGCCGATGCTTCTATCGGCCCAAAAGACTACAACGAAATCTATACCAGGTCTTCAAATCCTATGCCAGAGAACTCAGCGAAGAACACGTAGAACGACTAGAGTTCTTTGCCTCACGTCTGGTAGCCATGAGGGCACAGCACCTAGCCAAGTCATCGTCGACAGATATCGACCCCAAAATACTCAAGACTCTGACGACAGGTCTGCTGACGACGAGCCTTCAGATGATAATATTGGGACATTGATTGTAGACGATAAGGATTTTGACGATCTGCAGATGCTCCGTCAGTTTCTGATCGGAAGTTCCGCTTTTGTGACACTTCAGACGCGCGTGCAGAACTTTGTCATGCCAAACGCGTCAAGAGCTATAATGTTAGGACTTCAGAGTCCATTGAAGGAGACAGAAAGGTCGACAGAAGCTGCGGACGTCAGTAGACCAGTAACAAAGCCCCCAAGGACGTGGCAGACGTGGCATCAGGGTTTGACCCTCACAATCGACATGATGGGCGACGACGTGTTCGTGATACCGCATGACCGAGCGTGCGTCTTGACTAGTGGGCCCTGCCGATGTCTTCCACCGAGGACAAGAAGAAGCCCTGAGACCGCCGAATACAGATGCCAGTCAGTTCCACCGATAAAATTACCGCCAATACCATATCAGTGCCTCCTCTCCCTGTTCACCTGTCAGAGTGGGCCACACGAGTCGAGCAGATAGATAGTTGATAGGTTTCCAAGACGTACACGGGGTCCTTCATTTGGGAAATCTGAGGGGTCCGTTGAGGGCTGGGGCGTCTATTACAAGGAAGACTGGAGCCCCAAGATAATGGCAAGATTCGTCTTAGACCTCTTAATGACAAGTTCAATTTACGGCGTGGTATGGACCAAGGAAAAGGCTTACATACAGGGAGCGTTTGGAATGGATTTGTGGATTGTGGGTGTCGGTGGAGCTCTGTTGGCTGTCATTGTGACGCTCGTGAACAGTTTGTAGCGAGATTGAGAAGGAAGCAACGATGAACGTATTGCTTTGTTCTTGCACGTGCCTAGTTCTATTCTTGGGAAGGAGCGCCCACAGGTCACTTGGAGGTGGCCTAACACGCAGCAGTACAGTCTCGCGATTTTTGTGATTCTTCTGTTCATTCTCTGTGCTTACGCACTCTGTAACACAACTACCCCCGCCCCACCAAAACATCATAGCTCTTCAGCATCGGGTATTTATCCCAACCCCCAGGTAAACATTAGATCCAGCCCAAAAAAGTCAAAGATCGTCTTCAAGACGGGTATCAAAAGGTAAGTCGTGTGAGAGACGCAACGCTATATCGTACATGCTAGTGGTAACGAGTAAAGGAAACGCGATAAGGATGGGGATGCATGTATGCGGGTATCGCTGTGCTGGAAAACAAAACCGATGAAACAACTTTTACGACTTGGCGCCGATGGTAGTGCCGTTGTCGAACTTGATGGTGAGGGCGACGAGGTCGAGAGTGAAAGGGCCGATGTCGACAGTGTTCTTGTTAGTGTTGCCGTTGCGGTTGCCGGTGAGGAAGTCTTGAACGCTCTCTTGTGCGGTGGCGGCAGTGTCAAGTTTACCGTCTTGTTGCAGTGCGAAGAGCACACCTACCCGGGCGAAGTCGACAGCGGTCGTGTTGCTGGAGATAGGAGTGGCGTCCTGTCGCGCCTGGACTTGGCCAGCTAGGTGCGGCAAGAGCAGGGTGGGTAGCGAGCGGGTGGAAAGTGGAATTCCGAGCTTGCAGTACAGGTCCGCAATCGAAACAGAGCGGGATGTCAGGCCATTAAACGTAATGAGGGCATTCTCAGCCGCGCAGCTGAGTGACAGGCTCGAGAACAACGAGAGGATGCGAGTTGCATTAAGAGGCACGTTGAAGTCCTCGGTCGCGCTCTGAACAATTCGAGGGATACCGGAACCGACGGTCGCGTTGTTCGCAGTACCCATGATGCTGGTTGTCGTACATCCCGTCTGATCGTTAGTACTGCAAGTGCTTCCGGTGAAGCCGTTGATGCACACGCAGGTAGTCGACTGATCTCCGTTCTGGATGGCGACACCCCCATTCTGACAATTATCAGAATTGCCGCCAGCGCCCGATGTTGGAGCTGGGGCGCTAGGAACGGTGTTGTTACTCTGACTGTCCTGGGCAGCGTTGGTGCTCTTATTCTGGTTCGGAATGACCACGAGGACAATTGGAATAATAACAGCTGCGGCTATGATGACTAGGAGAACGATCAACAACGTGATGAAGGTCCATAGCGGAAGACCGCAACATCTCCGCCGATTCTTGACCGGCTTTTCGTTACTGTAGCCTTGGTCTGCGCCTCCAGAGCGTGTTGCTGCTCCTCCTGAAGACGGCCACTCAGCCATCGCATTGCCAGCCGGGGTGTCTGATCGTTGCGGGGTCTCCTGACCTGGAGGAGGAAATGCTGCAAGCATGTCCGTCAACGAGTTCTGAGACTTCCGAACGTTCTTCTGCTCTGGCGCACCTGCCTCCCAGAAGTCTAAACCCAATCGGCTGGCTGTCCTCCCTCGGTCGAGATTAGCTGCTAGCCTTGTTGCTCTGCGGATCAAATCGGGGAGACTCGTCAGACTGCCTCGCGCTTCAGCGTCTCGAACAGTGTCCATGTCAAGCCTGGGCGGCCGCCTAAACCCGACACGTTCGGCCAGGGTATTCGAGCGGGGTTCTGGCTGGAATGGGAAGATGGGTGACTCGGCGCCTGTGTAGCTGGGAGAGGTGGATTTGGTGTTTCGGAAAGTGCTGTTGAGCGAGCCTCCGGGGGAAGATGGAGACGGGTCGATGAGTCCAGTACCACTGCTCAGGATCGAGCTTCGAAGAGGTGAACCTTGTGCCATATCTCTTGCTGCGAAAAAGCCACCTGCTCCAGCAGCACCGATACTGGCGCCGGCCACTATTTTTTTGATATTGCCGTTCTTCTTCTCGTTGATACCATCAACAGACTTGATTGTCATGAGAGAAGGCTTAGTCCTCCGGCCCAGACTTGCCTGTCGAACGAGCGTAGGCGACTCCTTAACAAGGCCACTTTCGTCGTTATGATCACTGGCAGGAGACATTGTCCCACGGTCGCTTAGTATCGTTTCATCATCATCCGACTGTGGGTAGTCTCTCTGGTAGAAATCATCGCCGTGCATGGGAAAGACATTACTCGAGGCGTAAGAACCGTGGCGTGATCTTATAGTGTCCGAACGAGCCTCTGACTCTTCGACAATAGGAGATACGTAAGACATCTGCGTGTAGTAAGACGAAGGACCTCTTCGTGAAGAGGGCGGTGGGCCTAAACTTGGAACACGACGAGGAAGCGGTTGCACGGTAGGCATAGGCGGCTGAGGAACGGGAAAGTCTGGGATGGACCCGAGTGACGATGCTTCTGATGCACCAGAGAACGGCCGCGATGTTGGCGAGTACATGTCAGTACTCTTGTTGGATATGCGCAGGTTGAATTGAGGAGGCTGGAGGTAATCCGGAGAAAGCGGAGGTGGAGACCCAGGGGAGAGTTGCTGGATAGGATAGTCTTCTGATATAGGACGAATGGTGGATTGCGGCGGGCGTAAGCGGTGGGGCGAACGGGGCGGTATGGTTGGACTGGCGTCGTCAGGGAGAGGCCACTGAGGGGGCGGAGACGGCATGCTCTCATCATCTCTGCGGTCTGTAGGCGTTCTCGGCTGCGACACATTGTCCCTGCTGGTGGCATAGTGTGACACGAGTTGGTTAGGTCGTTGTGGTAGCCCTATGATCTTCGATGTGTCTGGTAGTTGAGATCGCATTTGCGCGGCCTGCATCCTCTCTCGCGCTGCCCGCACAGAACCCTTCTGGGCGGTCCCATCTTGCGCGTCGCCATACGCCCGCGGCGCTAAAGTCGGTTCGAAGCTCATCTATCGTATGGCTGGAATGTTGGCGGCGGATGTGTCTGTAGACTGACACAAGTCGATGTATGTAGTGTATGGAGACTGTCGAACGGGGATCGTTTGTGTGCGTGAAAGTTCGACGTGGGTTCCGATCACCGGCGCAATGCATACGAGAGCGGCCAAAAGCGGTGATGGTGCGACTGTTGAAAGAAAGAAGCCAAACTGGAGACAGCGGCAGGTCAATGCGCAGGCTTGGGACAGGGAGCGGTCGATGATGGCGGTCGATTTCAAATCGTAGAGCTAATCCTCTGAGTGAAGAGGGAGAGGACCAGATGACAGGCGGGTGATCAGATGATGCGCGTGAAGAGTAATGGTCGAAAGCCTGGCGGTGGTTCCGACAGCGGAAGGTAGATATTCCTTGCCTGGGAGGTAGCTCGAAACCGCAGTCTTGGCGACACGATACTAGGAAAGGCCAACGAACTGATGGATAAGGTGTACTAAGATTTACGGCAGCCTGCTGTCTCGACTTGTCAGTCTTGCCCCTCGCATTATACACAGGTACTGGATTAGCCAGCAAGGGCATCAAGGTCCGTGGCGCAGGATAAGCCGAAGTACACAAAACGTGGTATACCTTTAACCGCAGTATGAGAGAAGCTGACAAAGGGCGGGAGGCTGGACCGGAGAAATGCAAGCAAGGGTGACGGAAAAACTTGTGACGTTGCTCGTTGCAGCAATGTGAGGACAACTGACAGGCCGGGTTTCAAGAGATGGAGAGCTAGGTACGTACCGTGTCAGCTTGTCCCGAAAGGTGTTATAAGTACGTCGATTGGTAGGGTTGATTACGTCAACCAAAAGAAACAAATGTTGATGAACTGTCGATGGCAATGGATGCAAGTGCTTCGTAAGCGTACTATTGACCGTTAAGTACAGACAAGATAGTTTCGATTCGATCGTGGATTGATTTTGCGGAGAAGTAAATTGAACAAAATAAAGTGGATACAAGACGAAGCATCAGGCAGGCTGCGCTGGAAGAGCGTCAAGCTTGCGAACGACACTCAACGTGCAGCGGTGACAACAAAGAGTGATCAAGGAGGCACGGCGCAGGGCAGAGACACGATGTCTCGCAATGCAAAGACCTTGGAGCCAGGGCTGATGGCGGAACGCGTAGGGAAGGCCGGACCAAGTCAGATGCACGCACGGACTTAACCTTCAATACGGCAAGCGAACACGAATCGAAGACCTTCTCCGGGGCCCGCAGTGGCAGCAGTTTATTGGACGTCAAGTCGTGCGACATCTAGCGGGCAGCGCACATGCTCCCGTCGCAGCACGAGGCGAGATGGCACCAGAGACGATCAAGAGGACCTGGGTGTTCGTGAGGGAGCGCGATGGCTGCATGGGCTTCTGACTGGACATCTTGAAGGTCTTGTGTGCGGCTGAGACAGAGTTCACTGCCGTCCGTTGCTCCTAATACCGGCTAGTCAGCGCCACGGTTGTTGGGCTGGGGTTCTCGGTCAGCAATTTAAAGTGGTGGCATGAGGCCGGGAGGATCGAGAGGCCTCCCGACATTGGCGTGTTTCGACTTAGCCTTGCGTACGCCTTGTAGCTTCGCGAGGCACTCGCGAGTCGACCGCGGGCGGTGGTGTTGTCGGCCACATAAGTGTTTCGAGACACGATGGCACCGAGGTTTTGTGCGCAGTGCGCACATGCAACAAGCTTCTCCAGGCTGAACGGTGCGGCAGCTGTCAAGTCTTGAAGAACCCAGCTGCAGCACCAGCGCTCGTCGACTGCTGTCTGCAGCGGACACCGGCACAAAAGCGATCAGCGGTGTCTCCAGACGCCGGTCGATAGAAAGAGGGTTGCGAGCTACCTAGTCCAGGAACGGTCAGGTACGGCCCCACGACGGGTGGATACGAAGGGGCACCGGTAACGATGATGACGCATCTCGCAAGGGCCGTTGCAAGCGAGGGTATCCGAGAGGACGAACTGCAATCAATGTGAAGGGAGCTCAGATGACAATCTGCTAAGGAGGAATCTGACTTTGACAACAATATAAGGAATGAGTGATCTCAATGTAGATGGAATGAGATGGCCCGAACAGTTGCACTGTTGAGCAGGGGCTGCTTGATTGTTGTCGAGGAAGCCACGATGCCACTGCCCTTCCACTCACCGCCCGCTTCCTGCCACCTTCGCTGTCAACACCAGCCTCTCTACGCCAACAAACGCGACAAGAGGATGGTAGCGTATCGTTCGATGCCACTGCAGCACATGCAACTCATCTTTGGCTAGTCAGATGATGTGGCTCAACACAGCAATGTATCCGATAGCACCTGTTGATATTCGTGCGCAGCGAAGGCGCAATGGGTGAATCGTAGTGAAGCTACGAAACCGTCAAGTGCCGTCACTGCTATACTCAGGTAGCGAGCTCGCACTCGGAAGGAGTCCGCGGGCTTTCTGTACTTCATTGACCAAGCAAATGACCATTGCGCTTGGGCACTATCACCACGCCGCATACGACTAGATCACGACTGCATCTACTACCTAATGGCATCACAGCGCGTTCGTACAACGCAAGTGAGGTTAGATGCATACTAAACTAGTATCCTAGGATACCGTTACAGACCACAGCAGCCTCAAGATCGCCGGACCACAGGAAGATTATCTGGGCGGGGATACAGCGTGTAAGTGGAGTCACCGTGGTATGGAGACGATAGCGCTGATCTCATTGCAGCGTTGTCGTCGCAACCTGTTACTCCACCGTTCCCAAGAAATCAAGATCCCCACCTAGCGTCACGAGTCTATACTGCAAATGCAAGTGCGCGTCGATGCATTGGTGCGGCATTGTCACAGTCGCCCGCCCGCAGTGGCCACAGTACATGCATACGGAGGATCTTCGATGACCCGCTACGGCCGCTCGCCCTTCGACCACGACCTCGAGACGTGATCTACCCCCCACTGCCAAATGTCTCCAGACAGCTCTCACCATCAAGGAAGCATCATCAAAGCCGCAACGCACCTCTCGGACCCCATCAACCACTGCCTCAAGATCAACATTCTAGTCAAGATGAATCTGGCATATCGGCAGGGTCCATTGCTCGATCCTCGTCAGAGTCGTGGTCTGATGATTCAATCTATTTAGAGGCTGAAAGGCTACATGCCTCACCAAGTCTTGCAGCATTGGCAGATGGGAGAGTGTGGAACTGGCTGTCAGCAACTGACGACGATCGCGATATAGACACAAGGACCGAGGGGGCTGAGAGTTTGGACGTGCATCCCGACGAGCCAGCACTGAGAAACTGCACAGCCCTTAAGCCCAACAATGTCATCGCACATGAGGCAGAGATGTCCACGGACGATCTTACGGCTTATCTGCTTCATTCGCAACGCCAGGTCTCCAGCATGTGCGAGACCCTTGGCTTCAATCGACTACCAGCAAAACAAGCTCGTAAAATGGTCGACACTTCTACAAGATCCTGCGGTCCGAATGCAACAGGTCCCCATATGAACGTCACACCACCTACAGCTCGCGCATCCTCTTTCCGGGAAGATCTCGAACTTAACCCGCTTAGTCCCAATGTTTGCACAGAGCGAGGCCCTTCAAAACATCACAAATCTCGTACAGTAGAGGTCGTAGCAAGCCAGTTCCCTACCACCCCAAGACTGCCGATTCGATACCAGCGACGACATCTGAAGGAGAATGTGCCTTTTAGCAACGAAAATATCACTCAGGATCCATCCAAGGGCCTCAGAGATCGCGGGACGACTGCTCATTATATCACCTGACCGTGTGAGCAGCAGTAATCGAAAGTCTGTTTGGATTATTGCGAAAGTTGCAAGTCTGTCCTTCCAAGGGTTCACTTGATGCAGGGGAGTATTTGTATGTATTGGGGTGGGGCGCGCCCAAACCTTCCAGGGTGCATGCCGCTGCGCACCACAGAGCCCGGCTTCTATTTCCTAATACACCAATATATTCTCTCCTCTTCTCTTTCTAAATCTTTGGATTATTTCTGGTGTGTCTTGCCGCTCTCTTTGATGTAGTCGTCACGGTGATGGCGAAAGCCTACACCCTGGGGAGAACATCTTAGATGACTCCCCATCAACAGCGTGCCTGCCGCTCTAAATAATCATATTACTGGAAAGGTCGAGGCGAGTTTCTTCGAGGAGGCCGATTGTTAATTCCTGCCATGTTTGGCACGATACATCAGCTCAGTCGAATACCTTTTTGTACCGCACCAGACGCTTCAGCAGACATCACACCAAACACCACACCTGGCAACGGACCTTCCAAAAGATAGCGTCTCCGAAGAACCCATTGTCTCGATGCTCCCAGTGGACGACGTTCCATCGACTTTTCAGAGCCTCCCACAGATACATTTCCAGATAGCAGCCCACCTACCTAACCATGCCATTGTTCTTCTTACACGCTCTCATGAATTTTCTGATAGCATTCGGAAGGCCTCCAGGAAAGCGGATCCCAAAGGGAGGAAAAGCGAATTTTGGAACCTCTCGCACGAAGATACTTACATCTGGCGGGAACTGCATTGGCGGGGTTTGTCCGAAAGTACACCTTAATTATTGGGTGTGACCGGCTTGAGCAAACTCTTTGGGGATATCTGTGACGTCTCCAGTTTCTACTGTTTCGGCTGCAAGGAATCGGTGGGGCCTGGCTCATTTTCCTTATCAAGCACATGCTGGAAAGCGTGAAGAACAGGACCAGAATGAGCAAGATTACTGATCGCAGGTGCTTCGCTCACATCACGCCGGTCCAGTTATAGGGGATAATGGTCATTACTTGGGACCGTCTACAAGAAGCTGGAGCAGAGATGCGCCCTCCAACTCGAGGCATGTTGTTAGACTGGGACTTCCATCGCACATCGGAGCCGCTACCGGTAGGCAAGCCCAAGCTAAGCATATCTAAACTCCCACACACTTACTCTCGACCGCGTGTTTCCCGTCAAGTATGAAGCCGCAGCCAAGTACTTCATCGATCTGTATACACCACTACGCTTCCGGGCCGCGAACGCATCCATCATCACAGAGCTCGTCAAGCAAGACCCTCCCTACATATGCCCTCACCTCGACTTGTCCAAGCTTCTCGACCGTTTCATGGCCTCCAAGCCCATCGACTTCCGCCCCCAAACGTTCTCTCACAAGTCCAGGCTCACCGTGGCAGAAATGCTCGTCGCAACTCTCGACGGGAAAATCTGGTCCACGGATCCGGACTCGGTTCACCAACGTCCAGACACGACGCTGCGCAAGATTAAATAGCGGGCCATTTGGTGTGGGGTTGGAGTAGACAATTGCAGGACGAGCGTTACGCTGCAGCGATTCAGGGATAATGAGCGGTGGACTGTGGGGTGGATGAGGGATTCGGTCAGGCTGAAGGTGGTGAGGAAGTGGAGGGTTGATAGAGGAACGGGAGATGGGGAGTGGCAGGCGTAAAATAGGGTAAGTGTCCAGGCGAAGTATAATGTAGGGAGGAAGGGATGGGGTGGATAGCGTTCGAAGGGGAGTCGTTGGTACTGATATATGGCCTGCCTTTTCGATAGATCCATTGTAGATCTTGTGCGGTTTTGCTGCACCATCATGTTCGTATGCACCAGCCCGTAATCTCATAGGCTTCGTTAGCGCTCGTCTGAATGCGTTCATGCAATTGCCGTCCCTATAATCCGTCTCACAAGATTGCCCTGTGTATAGCCCTGTATCTTTGACGGCAAAACCCGAGACACACGACCAGTCTCCGAAGACGTTGAGGCCCAAGATACCCAAGCGTGGTCTGTGAAGCTCAGATAGCACACCAATCGTTTCCGAAAAGCGCTCTCAGGCCCTCAGGGACAGGAAGGGGTCACTGACACGATCCATGGACCCGAGAAGAAAGCCCGACCGCCATCCTTGGAGCCTGGAATCTGCCCATGCACCGTCCCATCCCCATAGATTGACACCAGATGATCCAGTTTAGCACGGAAACTTCCGCATACCATTATGAATCACCCACTAGCATTCCGTACCTAGGTACGCGCCGAAGCGTGTGACGATCGGAAGTCATAACGCTTACGATGGTGCGTGTACACTGTACAGTGCAGCAAGGCGGCTGTACTCTGCGGATACCTATTCGTCATGCGCATTCAAGGCGTCGCTGCGGCAGAGTGCACTGCAGATGCGATCTCAAGAAGACGGTCAGGTCCAGTGCCATTTCCGCATTCGAGTCTTACTGCGTGGTGATGTGCATCGATCATGCAGGGGGACCGCCTTCGCCCACACGTGGTCAGCACGATCTAACCGCATCTCGCGCGCTGTGGCACGATCGTGGAGTCGGCGGAAATGCGGATAGTGTTTGCTACGGTCATCTGAGGGCGGACAGTCTGGTACGAGTGTCGAATTTGCCGCCGAGAGATAGCTATCGCGAAGCCTGTTGTCTCGCCAGCTCTGCCCTCTGGTACTTGGTAAGGTCTGCAATCCTGAGGATCAGCGTTGGAATGTCTGAGATTGGAACGTGATGCTTGACTGGTCCACCACAATGAGTAGCGAGTGGAGAAGGATTTTACGTGCTACTGCAAGAAACCGGACGTTGTCCGCTTTCGTGTTACCATGCTCTGAGGGCTGGCTGGCGGGCGGTAAACTAGATTTTAGTTGCAGATGCGTGAAAGCAGTAGAACATGCAGTGAACTCGGTGCAGCCCAACCTCACTCTAGCAACGAGGTCTGTTGACACTCATGACACCCGCAGCTGTGGAGGCAAATAGTGCAGCAAGCGAGTTGTTTGACAATAGCGCAAGGGACACTCACTGCAAGCAGCAATATCTGGGAGGTGTCTATTGCGGAAAGCGAAAAACAACATTGGCCATGCCCCGCTGAGCCGGAAAGCGTTGCGGGAACCACGTTCAAAACACGTGGAAAGAGCGTGGGGCGCAGCGCGATGGCCGAATGGCAGCTGCGAACGGCGATGGGGCCGGTCGTGGCTGCCTAGAAGCCGCCTACACGGGCAGAAATCCTCCAGCGAGTGCGTTGAGCCCCTGGGTCGGTGTCTGGGAGGGCGCTGCATGGAGCTCAGTTTACCGACATGCATGGTAAGTCCCCAACATGCCGTCTCAGAGCCGGCAGGCGTCAAAAGGAGCTCGTTTCCTCGCGGCGTGACTTGTGTTTACCTTCCTCCCTTCGAGCACGCTCGCGATAGCACAACACACCCACGCTCGCTGCGATAAGTCGAGGCTGCATCTAGACGTGCTCATTACAATTGCAGCTGCAACTGCGGTTACTGCACCTGGTCTACACGTGCACTAGCTAGGACGGCAGGGCCCCTGGTCGCGGGTCTCATCCTCGTTCATCGACGCCCCCTTGCCGCTCTGGGCCCTCTGAAACGAGCACAGGCTGTTTGACCAGACGGGCTCGCACGCTTTCGCTGCAGCCCTTCACCCCGAGACTGCCAGCGCCGCTCCAGCGCAGCTTGCTTTACAATCTCTCGCCCGCTCCGCCGATCAATCGCAGTGCTGTGCCGCCACAGAGCTGACTTGCAAGCTATCTCGCCCGGTATTGCTCTACCAAAAAACACGGCAAGACCCAGCTCGTCCGCCGCCTACCCAGCACACTATGACAAACTCGCTGGAGTCCTCGCGACCCATGCTGGCCAGCGTAAGTCATTGCGTACCCACCGTCTGTTTCACGCCTCCCCTGCCTCTGGGTCGATGCTTGCCACACGCCGCTTTGCTCTGCGAATAAACTGCACCGTTGTCCCGTCCTTTTCCACTACCACGCTACAAGTCACCACTTCCATGTCGCAACCACAGTCTAACGCATCCAAACCGCAGTCGGCCGGCAACCGTGCCTCTACCCGCATGTCTACCTACAGCGCTACTCCCACCCTCACACCCTCAATTGCACCGTCGCATCTGTCAGATGCCTCCACAGCCGGCGACCCCAAGTCACAAGACATCAAGACCTGGAACGCTGGGTTCGAGCGCCTTGAGGACAAGCGCCTCGTCCAGCAGCGCTACATTCCCAGCGACAACAAGACGGCCGACATGAGCAAGCTGGCACTGGGCGCAAAGGTGCAGCGCGCGCTTGACCGCCGCATGTCCAGCCAGGACGCCGTTTTCACCAACAAGGGCCTCAGCGAGAAGAAGATCCCAGCGTAAGCTGCGCATTGTCTACACGCGATCGATTTCGAAAATTTCTGCCGCACAGCACTGACATTCGGCTACGGTTCACATCACATCACATTATGCAAGATATCCTTTGTTCACACGGCGTTGTGGAGGACGAACAGACTACTCCCAGACAGCGCTTCAAGCGCGGAGTGGACTGCACTGCAGCCACCAACGGCGCAAGGACGGCGGAGGACTGGAGGACTGGAGGACTGGAGGACTGGAGGAGGCTTATCAGCTCTGCACTCTGCACTCATCGCTATACCACAGGAGTTCTGCTTTTACCACTTTCCTAACACCTGATCTTCAGCCTTGTTACAGGCCATGTATATTTTAGCAAGCTTTTGGCGTGGGCGGGTGTATGGGGTCGCCGGGCATCAATTCACGATTCAGTTCAACTTCACACCTCGGTCCAGTATGCCCAAATGCCGAATATGGAGACAGACGTGCATGCAAGCCCAACTACACCGCCCTCCGAATTTGATAACCCTGAATCAGTTCTTCGTGGTCCCTCGCCAAAAGCCGGTCTGGTGACTCTGATCTGTGCCAAAAACGCACCTGATCAATGTCATACAACAATCCGGAATCCACAAGGGTTGCTCTGATCAGCGAAGGATCCTGCATCCCGCATGCGCTGCAACACGGCCATCCGCAGGGCGCCGCAGGGAGCAATTGGCGAAGATCGGAGGACTGCATGGTTGTCGGCCCCTTACAGGCTTCCGTACACTTGCCCTTTCGGATGCATTTCTTCCGAGCAGAAGATACGATATCGCGCGTCCGCGGGTGTTGGTGGTGAGCAGGTGAACACTGGACGATGGTGGGTGGCCTGACGGCGTAGACACAAAGTACGACGACTCATGAGTCATGAGCAGCTATGCGTTCGGCGAGGAGCTGTCAAACGCAGGGTCTGCTGCAGCATGTGCGGCTGGTGCGCGGGCCAAAGGGCGAACGTCGTTCGCTAGAATCGATGGTTTCTGGATTCAAACTGCCGCTTTGGGAAGGTTTGGGGAGGGCCATGATGAGATGTGCCGGGAGTGTGGAGGTGTGGGTACGTGGATATGGGATGGTTTTTGGCATGTCAGATGCAGCACAGAAGTTCGATTGAAGTACTCGGATCGTTCGACGGAGTTCTGTTTTCATGTTTCGCGAATCAGAGTGACGCCTTGTCGACGATCTGAGACTCTGCATCCCTTCGTCTGGTTCGCCAGTGGACACAGGGACTTTGCTGGCGTACCAAAGTACCGCATACGCGCCGCAGAGCAACACCAATACAGTCGACTACGGAACAGGCGCATCAAATGAATCCTACTGTAAACATCTGATTTTAAACAGATTATGAAGGTTCCACACCTTGCCATCGATCGTGAGGAAGGATGCTCAACGCAGCGCATCGCGGGGCCGCTACAGTAGCGCGAGCAGCCCTCGGCGCGCGAGCTGTAGGTAAACAATGGATCAACACGCTCCTGCACCATCGCCACAACATTCATACTCCACCATGCCGGCCGCTACGAATTCTCCTTCGCGATCGTCGTCGCCAGCACCTGCACCACCTGTCGCTGAAGCGCCTGGCCCGCGCGCTCAGGGTCTCATCAATGTCTTCAACAAAGCCGCGAAGGCCACGCTCGACAAGTGCTCGTCTGAGAACTTCGCATCCTGTTTCCCGACCGCTGCACAGTATGCGCCCGAGACCTTGGAAGGGTTGCGCAGTCAGATTGTCGACCAGCTCGACCGAACCTGGAAGGTAAACTTCGAGGAAATCTTGAAGAAGAGGGATGTGATCAAGCTGGTCAACGAGCTGGAGCAGTGCATAGAAGACGCAAAGCTGCGGAAGAAGCGCGCTGAGTTGAGCGGGAATGGCGGGTCTGTGCATGTCCCTGTACCGTGAGTGCGCCTACGCCAAATGCACGCGCGCGACGCTGACAGATGCACGCAGACCGCACACTCTCACACCCTCGGAGATCCACCTAGCGCACCTCATGCCCTTCCTCGAGAAACAGGCGACGGATATGAATTCTGAGCTTGCAGAGGCGCAGACAGGGAACACCGTGCTTCTGACGACCGTTGCCGCACAACGCGCTGAGATCGAGGCGCTTGTCAGAGGCTTGGAGAGCATTGTGAGCGACCTGGAGGCCAGCGCCCAGCTGATGGCGCAAGACGATGTCCAGGACCTCAGCGCCGAAATTAGGCATGTCGAGATGGGCATGAGGACCTGAGGCCGGATAGTGGTCGTAGTCGCAACGTTCGCTGAAGCGCGGAAGCTGCAGCTACCAGGCCCGCTGCGCGATACTTCGATATGCCGCGCCTGGTGGATCTCTTCGAGAAACGACAACACCGGATGAAGCCAAGGCAATGCAAAGCAAGAGAAAGGAACAGGGATTGCAAGATGCACTGCCGGACGCTGACCGCTTGCTGGGACTCGATCCTGCAGACTGTGCGGCATCACCAAGAGGATCCACCACCGCCAGTCAAAAGAAAAGCCAAGCACGTCCAAAAGCACGCCTTGAAGAGTCAACTGTCTTTTCAGTGCATTTCTCACGGCACTGCGCACGCGCGACGCGCTCCGCGCTCCTTCTACAGCGACGCAACTGGGTTGGTTAAAGCACGCCTGGAAGCAGCCCTTGGATACCGAATGGCGCCGAAATCAATCTGCCGTGCGGTCTCCGCGCTTCGAAAAGCCGGTATTCCGCTATTGCCGAGTCGCGTGGCTCCCGCTTGATGCTGGTCCTCGATCTGTTTATATTGGGGTCAATATCAGATTGCCTCTTTCGGCGAAACCGAAACACTCCCGAGACCACCGCGTAAAATGAACAATATAGAGAGGCATTGAAACAAAGGCACAATCAAGATCATCTCCGAAGGTGTAACATGCTGCAGGTCTAGATATAATAGCATTCATACTCCGGTTTCTGCTCATCATTGTTCGGCACACTGCATTCCTACAACAATTCTCAGCTACACTGGAATTATCATGAAGCTCTCCACCACGCTCACACTCGCTCTTGTAGCTAGGGTAGTCAACGCAGCGGCTCTCCAACCTCGCCATTGTACACAAGCCACCTGCCACGTACTGTAAGACTCCACTAACGACCGCAGACCTCTTCCCCGCCATAACCGGTACAGCAGACTGGTCCTCAGTCCGCACAACCGCAAACCACTACTCCAACGGCCCCGTAACCGACGTCTCCTCGCTCGATCTCCGCTGCTATGAGCTCAGCCCTGGCACGGGCGCTGCCAGCACTACATCCGTTGCCGCTGGTGGCAGCGTGTCCTTCACAGTCACCCCCAACATCTTCCACCAGGGCCCGCTGCAATTCTACATGGCCAAGGTGCCGTCTGGCAAGACGGCGGCTAATTGGGATGGCAGTGGGAATGTGTGGTTCAAGATTTACACCGAGAAGGCGAATGTGGCGAATGGCGCCTTGACTTGGGACAGCATCAATGCTGCGACTGCTTCGGTTACTATTCCTAAGAACACTCCGTCTGGCGAGTACCTCTTGAGGGTTGAGCATATTGCGCTGCACTCTGCTAGTACTATCAATAGTGCTCAGATCTACATTTCGTGCGCGCAGGTTCAGGTCACGGGGTAAGTTCCTCATCACGGATTCTATTTCTTGCTTGTTAATGTCGTAACAGTGGCGGAAGTGGAACTCCGGCACCGCTTGTTGCGTTCCCGGGTGCCTATACAGCCGGCGAGAAGGGACTGCAGGTCAACATTTACAGTGTAAGTCGCATGTGTTCACGGTCAAACATGCTGCTAACCAAACTTAGGGTCAGACGAGCTACACGCCCCCGGGCCCTGCTGTATGGACTGGTTAAGATCCAAGACAGCGCAGAACAGACAGCGGGCGCTCTGATACCAGGTCATTGAGGATGTACCAATTCATGAAGCATGATTACCACACATAATCGCGCCTCCATTTACACATTCTCACGAAGCCTTGAACCCAACACCAATGTGTATATCCCACCTCAAATACGCCCCACTCTCCCTATCTTCCACCGCCGACACCCTCCTCCTCTCCACCTCCTCCTCATCCCAAGATCCCTCCTCCCTGATCTTCGCCAAATTCCGCAGCCCCCCAAACACAGCCCCGATCCCCAAATCTGTAAACTCGCTCCTCTGTGACGGGTCACGGTCCGTACTCAGCACATCCTCCTCCACTCCTTGCAGTCCCCCATCCTCAAACAACCCCCGAAAGGACGGGAAACTATATCCAAATCGCCTGCTCAGGGTGCTGTTCAACTGCACCTGTGCCCTCGTGAGATGGTGCCCCGCGGTACTCTCCAACCCGGCGCCGCGAAACCCCCGCGCAACGAGGAAATCCCCCTCGGTCCAGCATATTGCCCCACCCGGCTTGAGCAGCGCGAGCACATTGCGAAGAACGCGCTGCCAGACTTCGACGCGCCCCAGCGAGATGATGATCAGCCGGATGTTCACCAGGTCAAATGTGCCGTGCAGCTCTTGCGGGAGCGGGGTGAGGAAGTCACCGTGCCCGAGCGTGACGTTGGGCGGGAGCGAGTCGGGGGGCAGGAACTGCTCGGGCGAGATGTCGAAGCCGTGGAACGAGTAGGTTGGCGGAGAGGCGTGGGACATTTCGATCGGCCAGATACCTGTCCCGGTTCCCATGTCAGCGATCCGCGCATTGGGGGGGAGTGTCGAGGTGACTGTTGGGTGCAGGAGGTAGCCGATGCTGCGGGTCCAGATCGAGTGTTGCTTGAGCAGGCGCTTTTGTTCGTCTGAGGCGCGGCCTAGCCAGTATGGTTCCGGTGAAGAGGTAGATGTGTGATGAGGTGTGGGTTGGGCCATGGTGTGTATGGTATGCATTCACTCGCAGAGTTCTGAGAGGAAGGTGCACTTTCGAGGTGTACTTTGTAGGTTCACATGGCAGGTGACGTCTTGTGCCAACGCGCATGTTAGACAGTTGGACATGCCACGTCTGCCGGCACCTACTGCAAGCAGTTACACTTGCATGCAGATCGGCGGATGTAGTCGGTAGTTACTGTGGGGCGCAGGGAACGGGTGTGCGGATAGGCCCGAATAGAGCCATGTCGATCAGGTCACTGCTCTTATTTGTTGTCAATGCATGAATGACGAGTGGAGCAAGCAGCAGATTGGCTGTGGCAGTGCTTGCAGATACAATGACCGGATATCCAAAGCCGTAAGTCAGGCCAGAGCACCGCGCCTAATACGGTGATCTGTCCTGTTGCTCCACACATGCTTCTCGCTTTGTTCGATGATGATCTGCATCTCGTTCAACAGACAGCATTCCAGGCTCATTTTCTCCGGTCTCTTCTGCTAACTTCAATACCCTCTTGTACACTGCGCGCTTCTTGAAGTAAGGTACCATGGTACATGTTAGTATTTGTTTTTGCCAAACTGCAGTTGCAGTTGCAGTGCAGCAGGATTGACAGTAACGTGTGTTGGTAGCTGTGGAGTCCAAATGAGGGAGCAAGGAGCAAGCCAAGCGTCCGCTGCTCTTCGCTATATGATGCCAACGCTACGGTCTGTGTATCAGATCCCCTTGTACTTTTATGCAGTACGGGCGATTCACTGACCCACTGCGCCGTACCAACCCAAGCCCAATGCAGCTCCGAGTACGATGGCCACAGCGGGCGGTACACCGAACCAGGCGGTTTCTGCGTAGGCCAGGGTTGCAACAACGACCCACCATGGTTCCCTGGCAAGGCTAATACCATCACTACTCTCCGGTGTAAGATAACCGATTTCCCAGAGCCGATAAACTGCCGTAAACACCAACCCTACTGCAGTTGCATTGATTCCTCTCAATAGACTCAGGACCCATGTTTTAGTCCTCACGACTTGCCAGATCCCTTGCACACCGACTGTCAGGATCAGACCAGGACAGAAGATGCCGAGGAACGAAAGCACGCTGCCGAAGATGGTCGGTGTGCCTGTCGATGCAAGAGCCAAAGCTCCAAGGTACACAGAGAAGTTGAAGTTGGGCCCTGGGAAGGCCTGAATGATGGCAAGACCTAAGAGGAAGTCTCGTGGTGAGACCCAGCCTGGATCTACGACGTACGAGCGTAGAAGAGGGATCACGACAGGTCCGCCGCCGAAGATGATCGTACCAGCCAGATACATGTTAGAAAATAGATCGAAGGCCAATGTACGAGTGCCGACGGTACCACGGACGACCATGACGACAAGGAACGATGCTAAAGATGATTAGCAAACGGACAAGAACCCAGTGAACTTACTTACCAAGGAAGCCCACAGTCAGAGAGACACCAAGCTTGACGGAGATGCTATGAGTACCCACATCAGGTACCCGTGGAACGATGGCTGGTGTCTCGGACTCCGTGCTTCTTTGGCTGCCGGCCCAGTCTGGCTCTGAGGTCGCTTCTACTGGCATGATACGATCCGTGGAGCTACCAGCCTGCGCCCTTCTCTTCACGGCTTCAGGGCGCTGGACTTGGAGCTGTACTGCTGGGATATCTTGTGATGCGTTGGTCTCCTCAGCATCGCCTGCTTCATTGCGAGCTCTCCTTCTTTTGGCTTCCCACTTGGCTTTGGCCTTGCCCACCTTCTGTGCCAGCCAAACGTCCCAAAATACTGTAAGAATGCCTCCAACCGCAATCAGGGCTGGGAAGTACCAGAGAGTATTATAGCAGATGCCAGCGCATGCTCCAGCAATCACCAGTATCCTTGTCAGACGGTCTTGAATGGCCTTCTGCGCAAGCTGAAGGGGCTTTAGTACATGGCTAGATCACTTTATCTAATCTGTCACACATACCTGCACAGCGGCGAGAGCTATGATACCAACTGTGCTAGCGTTCATACCGCTCAAGAAAGCGTAGACAATTGGCGGTAATCGATCCGGCATTCTTTGCACACCAAGAGACAGACCGTACATCCCAATGGCTCCTGGCAAGCTCCACAAAATGAAGGCAAACACGGCTGAGATGAGTCCTGCATGTATCATTGCTATTGTGAACAGCATCTTAGTGGAGGCCGGTCCCGGTAGAGCCTGGCAGATGGCAAAAATCTCTTGATACTAGCAACTCGTCAGCATAAGTACCATACATGCTCGTGCGCGGTGGCCCTAACCGTCGGCTCATCGATCCATTTGCTGCCTCCGCCGAATCTCAGACCTTCGACAAAACGCCTGTGAAGTATCTGAAAGTGTACTGGAGGCCCGCCAAACGAAGTGAAGCCAAGATCCCACATCATCATGAAGACCTCAGTCAAACGCCCTCCAAGCTTGCCTGTGCTAGCTTGAAGAGAAGCGCTGCACTGTATGCGCGCTCTTGCGCTCCAAGAGCTGATGATCGATTGGAGCGGCATCGTCGCAGTTCGTGATGCTCAAGGTGGGACAAGGAAAGCTCTATGGAGACCCTGGAGCGATATATGGCAACATACAAGCCTCGACTCATTCGCTTAGACCCCAATCAGAGGGCGTCATTATGTCACCATTCGTGTCGAGACTGCCAAGGCATGGCATTTGGATTGGTGTCTCGCTTGTTGTGATGAACGGGGGTGCTTGAATCGGACTGCTTCCGCGTCGCCCCACGCGATTGGTCAAGTTCCCCACGTCACAATACACCTCCACGACGTCTCACGAGCAGCCCATGTGCGGCTTTGTGAACCTCTCGGCATGCCGACAGGTCTTCGATAGCACGCTATCACAGTGTCGCACAGCCCTGTGCGCCATCTTGGGGTCTGGATGACGGGTCTAGCCCAACCACCGTCAACCACGAAGCCGCACCTTCGCATCCGTAGACAAAGACTCAGCTTCGGATGCGATTTTATCTCCTGTACTTTGATTTGAGCCCACGCTGCGTTTCGACCTGGAAGGCCCACGACTCCTCCAGTTGCTTGCAACGTTTGCAGTCGTCTCCACTGAAGTGCATCTGGCTGTAGTGACGATGAGTCTGTGGTCTATCCACGGCGTAGTTTGTGGTTCGAAACATGATACATCAAAATCTAGCTATGGTTCTCAGAGAGCGTCTGTGCAGCGAGATGCAAAACTTATTAAAGAGATGGAAAGCTGGCAATAGTATAAAGTTGCCGTTCGATACTTTCTTCACTCTTCGACAAGCGAACTTGGCCACTACTTACACATCCTCAATAAAAGATCAAATCAGCGACTCACCATCATTAAGACTTCTCTGGCAGCCGTTCCCGGCGTCTTTGCTGTTCTATTTAACGGACTCTACAATATCAGTCATGTGAAAGATGGAACCACTTTGACTCTGGACACTCACTCGAGGGTCGCCAATGTAAAGTTGTAACTGCGTGAGCAGTGTCGGTCGGAGACTGTGATCAACGATTGTATTGCTATCTGTTGTCGTGTTGTGTGTTGTTGTGTTACAGAAGCTCTCAGCTCTCAGGTAAGTGCACTTACCCACCGGGCAGCGCCTGCTACAATAGGATATCATGTGATCTGAGCCACGTGGTTACAAAAGTATATCAGCCACCATTCTCCCAACTCCTGGGGCATTTGGTACACCAACTCCGGTTCTGCGTCAGGTGGCTTCGCCTGGATCGCGAACATCCAACCGGATGGCGTACTCACGGCTAACAACTCCTACCCGGTCAACAACGCTCCTACCAGGTCATAGTCTTCCCTAGAAACGGCGGCGACAATTGGCTTTGGCGTACTTAACACATACGATAGAGGCAATCTGTAGCGGATATATACGAGACATCAACACGCAATTGCGAATGCTGATCGTGTTCAAGGGTGTTTGCATCACGCTGCAAGGTTTGATCAAGCTGTAGGGTTTTTGCGGCCGAATTGGTCGGATTGTGCGACTTGCTAGCAGCACGGTGGCACACAGATTGGGCTTCGCCGTGCGTAGCCCGCTTGGGACGTGGTGGCGTTCTACGAACTCACTTGTGCGCTCCTTGCCAGAACTGCATCACTCATACGCTCGTTACAAGCAATTCCATTGACCAGATTTGGGCATGAAGATGTTCAGCGTGACCATGTATTTCACGCGTGGCTTAGATATGCAAGCAACAGTTGTCGCATGCGATGTACATTTACTTCTGGAAAAACAACGAGAAGACCGAGCAAAGACGATCATGACAGTCACCCACGGAGCATTTTCCGTGCAATTGAAGGCCGGTGAAGCAACTTGTGGTGTGCTAATAGCCAAAAGAGAGAAGTCATCAACGTTTTGTACAGGTGGGCTCAACGCCATAGTGCCTACAGGCTGTCCTCAAGTGCCCATCATCGCCCACTGACTTTGGATTTTTGCAGCGTTGATCTCTCTTTCTATCCAAGCAACAGTCCGACTGAACTCCAACAATGCAACTCTTAGCAAAAATTTCCGGGCTGCTGACACTTCCCCCTTTGGACTTATCACGCTTCCGCGCTCGACCCGGATCCACAGCAGCCATCCACGCACGCCTACACATTCCCCGAACTCTCAACCCAACACGGCTCGCACAGCTCCTTCCAGAAGCCCTGTTTCCGCATCAACATATTCCTGCACAAGAATGCCAGCCTCACCTCGGAAGCCTTCCACCGCCACTGGAAAACCGTGCACGCATATCTCACCATCTCAGAGAGGGACGCCGGGACGAATCTCTTGAGATACACACAAATTCGTCCCACGAACCGCGGAACACTAAATACCTAACCGTACTGACTACCTCACAGTTCCACCAAACCCCAACCACCGCCGGAAGATCCAAACGCTTGTAGATATAACGGGAGGCCTGCTGGCGATCGCGCCGTACGATGGTGTTGCGGAGTTTCTGACGAGGGACTATGAGGATTTCGAGGAGTTCGTTATGCAGAGTTTTGGAAATCCTATTCTAGTGGCTGATCAGTAGGGGTTTGTGGATACGTGTGCAGCGATGCATGTCATGGCGGGTTATGATAACCTCATCTTTGGGTATGCGATTGATGCTGCGGAGGGGAGGGATGGGATTCTGCCTGGGGATCCGCGGCTGGTGCGTTCTTAACGAGTGACGACAGGCGCTTCATTAGATTGTTGATGTGCAGGTCGGGAATTGGTGATCTGGGAGCGAATAGAAAGACGGGGAACTGGGACTGTGGGGGTTGTTGCCGTCCTTTGCAGTGTAAAGGTTGACACTCTCTTAGAACCGACAACGGATTGGTCGATATTTGCGTGCATAATCGTGTGTGGATCTACATACCAAAACGCCACCCATTGCAAGTCTATAGGGTATTTGACTGTTGTTCGCCTAATCCATGTCCTCCAAGGTGCTTTTGGTCGGCGGTTGCTCCTCAGACACGAAGATACCAACCATGCACTCACCCAACATGTTCTCCCAGTTCACCCACGGATGTACCTCCATAAACAGTTTCGTACCATCCTTTCCCGCCGCTCTTCGCAGCTCGCCCTCCCCACCAGGATGATAAGGTAGATAAGGGCTGATATTGTATACCTTCCCTTGGTAGACTGACCATACATCCTTCATCTTGCCAGTCTCTTTGTCTTTGCGCCCGTTCATGAACTTCAGCATCGAGGGCGTGACTCGCACAAGTGAGCTCACACCAGAAAGATTGGTGTTACTGCGTTGCAGATTGGCCCAGTCAAGAGGTGAGTGCCCGGGTGTGAGCTGTACTTTATTGCGTGCATTGGGTATCTTAGTGACACTCGGTTTGCCTGAGGGAGGTAGAGCAAGAGAGCCATTTGGTGTTGGTGGGCCTCTGTTCAACACTGGGCCGCGATTCGGTACGGGTCCTCGTGGTGGAACAAGTCCCGGTGCGGCGGGTCCACGAGGAGGCACGAGGCCTGTGGCTGGTGCGCTAATGCCCTGTGAGGCAGATGCCGAGGGTAAGGGGCGCAGACTCGAGGCGGAGACCCGAGGCGGCGGAGCCATGAGCGAGGGCGAGGGCGAGAGTTTCGATGGCGGGGCCATGCTGCCGTTCGATGTGGGAGCCATGACGTTGGGCTGGGGCGGTGGTGACATGGTGAAGCTCGGCGGGCTCGCTGCTGGTTTCGAGGCCCGCTGCGCTGAGTTCAGCGCAGGGAACGAAGGCGGCGGCAAATTGTCCTCATCTTCGCTCTCACTGGAGCTGAGGTGTTCCTGGAGCGTAAAGGACGGGATGGCCGGCGCATCTGCGTTGCTGGCCGTAGCTTTGGGCGTTGTTGCAGGCGAAAAGTCCTGAAGTGGCGTGTCCGCCTCTTTCTGGCCTTGCGACTCTGCTTGTTGCTGTTCAGCGGGGCGGTCTTCACCCACTTGCGACTGTTCCGGCTTCATAGGCGCCGCAGAGCCCTGCGCGTCGGCGAAGTAAGCTGGCCATGTGGACGGCGGGTGGTGGTATATTAGTATCGACAGCGATATGGCCAGAATAGAGACCGCAACGAGCATTTCTTGCGGGCGGAGGAGAAGGGGTGGTGGACCCTGAATGGGAAAGTCGGGCTCGGGATGATCGCGCCCCTAGAAGACCGAGCAGACGTAGGGCTGAGCAGCGCTAGTCCTCCATGATCTCACGTCTCACTCGACGCCACGCCGTCACTGCTGCTCGCTGATATTAAGAATAATGCTCGGTTTGAAGTTCGACGTGTCTGTCTGGATCATTTCACCAACAAATATTTTGGCAGGCGATTCATTGGAGCCTTTCACCAGCCATCCACGGTTGCACATCCGATAGCCCCACGCGACAGCCCCACCGCAACCACCCCTCCTTTAACAATCGCAGTCGCGCCGCATACAATAACGTGAAGTCACCACCACTTTGACGCGCCCCTTCCTCACGATATCATGGCTACGGCAATCGCGAACGTGCCCGAGGGCGTCACATCCCTTTTGGACACAGATCTCTACAAATTGACGATGCAATGTTGCGTACTCAAGTTCTTCCCAGATGTATCAGTCACATACAGCTTCACAAATCGGACGCCGGACAAGAAGTTGAATCGCGCAGCTTTTAAATGGCTACAGGCGCAAGTAGAGAGTACGACTGCTCTATGAAAGTTTTGCACGTTTGCTAACTAATACCCTAGAGCTCGAACACATTCGCGTGACAGCAGCCGAACTCGACTTCCTCAAGAAGAACTGCCCCTACCTGAGCAGCCAGTACCTCCTCTTCCTTTCCAATTTCCACCTCAAGCCTGCGACGCAGCTCAAGCTGTCCTTCACTGCGATCGACACTGGCTCGGATGAGGACCTCGGTGACTTCCGCATCGACACTGAGGGGCTATGGTTGGACACAATATTGTACGAGATTCCGCTCCTCGCGCTGGTCAGCGAGGCCTACTTCAAATTCGTCGAGAAGGACTGGTCACATGAGGGGCAAGTCGAGCAGGCGTACCAGAAGGGCTCAAAGCTCTTGGAGGGAGGCTGCATATTCTCAGAGTTCGGCACAAGGAGGCGGAGAGACTACCACACACAAGACCTTGTTCTGAAAGGATTATGCCGAGCGGCAGACGAGGGCAAGACATCAGGGTGGACCGGCAAGCTGTCAGGGACAAGCAACGTGCACTTTGCGCACAAGCACGAACTTCTGCCCATCGGCACGGTTGCGCACGAGTGGTTCATGGGTGTCGCAGCCATCACAAATGACTACGAGCACGCCAATGAGATTGCGCTGGAGTACTGGACAGCGACTTTCGGCGAGGGCGTCTTGAGTGTTGCGCTGACCGACACCTTTGGAACACCGACCTTCCTTAAGGCGTTCAAGAAGCAGATCCCCAACATCACGACAGCTATCAAGGGTGGTAGTGCCACACAACCATCTGCAGCAGCTACGACGACACCTGGTACACAATCGCTTGCATCGACAGAACCACCAATCCATGCTGGCCTCGAAGGCGCGAATCGACCACGGAAGACGTTTGCAGAGGTGTTCACTGGCGTGCGCCAGGATTCTGGAGACCCGCTGGACTTTGTGAAGATGATGCGCGAGTTTTACGATCAAGAGGGCATCAAGGACAAGAAGACAATCGTCTTCTCCGACTCGTTGAATCTCGACCTGTGCTTCAAGTACAGAGCCGCCGCCGAGGAGGCCGGATTCCAGCCCACCTTTGGCGTAGGGACATTCTTGACAAGGAAGTCACTTCTGTTCCTTGCTCGCATGAATCCAGGCTAACATCTGACAGATGACTTTGTCGAAACATCCACTGGCAACAAGTCTATACCTCTGAACATCGTGATCAAGATCGCCTCCGCTAAAGGCCGACACGCTGTTAAGATCAGCGACAACATCGGCAAAAACACTGGTGACAAAAGTACAGTCGAGGAAGTCAAGAGGAGGCTTGGGTACGCTGAAAAGGAGTGGGCTGGGGGTGACGAGAAGACACGATGGGGAACCGCAAAGGAGCCAGCCACATCATAAGGTCGCCATACATTGGAGACAACAATGAGAAGCGGCGACTCTGAGCAACTCAGAGGATATGGCGTCGACCCGAGCGATGCGCCTTATATACCCGAATCACATATTACATTCAAGAGCCTCTGGTATTTCCCAGCATCTGGCGCCTCCGCGCACCTTTGATCAAAACTCAGCTTTGGAAGTGGTAACAAACGCACCTCGCAACATTAGTACTGACTTTTGCAATAGATCACCGCGCTACAAGGCTACGCTAGCATCATGCTGATAGATGCGGATCGCCACGCATACTTCGTAAGCGTTGAACGTGGCCGAGTCTGGGCGCAGCTACAACCTCAGCCTGCCTAGGTAGACACACCACCATCGAGCACCGCACTCTCTAAAGATCCCGAATGCCTTTCCAGCCGAGGGACGTTTGTATTGTCGACATCACGACGCGTTGGTAACGATAACGAGAGACTCAATATGCGTTAGCACATGGACTCTTGATCTCAATAACGAGTCGATCCTTGACACGCTAAAAGTGGATTGTCTTGCTCGGGACCCTTGGAGAATTGCCCGAATGCGGCGCAACCGGTAATTATGGCATGATATATCCAGCATTTCAAGATTTGACCCTGGAGCAACACGATCAGTTTTTCGATGTTCCGGCAAAGACTTTTCTCGGACATAGTATAGCTCGGCTGAATTGGTAATTCTACAAGTGGGAGTAAGTTCAATCGCCGGTATTTTCAGATTCGCGATCCTAAAGAGAGGACAAATCTGTCAGCAAGGATCAAAACGACGCGCTAGACGTAAAAAGAGCGCCTTCGAGCATATTCAGAACAAGTTGTAAAGGTTTTAAAAACGTTCTTATCGTAATTGGCTATTTAGAGCCGGCTCTTGGTCCTGGGTTCGTCCGACTAAGATGGTGATGTGTAAGTTTATCCGGTACAAATTGATGCAAAGTGACCAGCGCATTCCCCTGACCATTCTATTAACGCTGATTGCATCTAATCAAGATGCTGCAGGTCCTTCCATGGATCTTCAAAATTTCTAAAGCCCTTTCTGGGTAGCCTGACATACGCTTTATCGACGATCGCGCTCTCCAGCTCCGTTATCGCCGTCTCGCCGAACCAGGCCTGCTGTACCGCCACCAGTGTTGCCTTCGTATCACCTTCCTCAACTTCTTTGGACATAATATGCTTCCAAGCCACTTGATCCCAATGCTTGAGCTTTGCTATTGTGTCGTTGTGGGCGTGCGCGATAGAACCATGGATGCAGCCATATTGCGCTTCAGTCTCTGCAGCTCTTTCGGCAGTGACTCTCCTCTTCTCGAATGCCAAAGTATCTGTTTCCACTCGTCTCCGAAGTTAATCTCCCATGCCTTGACTTCCCGAAATGCAACAAGGGAACGTGGAGCTCTACGGTCCGTCGGTCGGCGACGCTGCAGGCGTCGTTGATCAATCGTGAGTGGGCCTCCGCGACCCAGATTTCATGTGTGAAGTACAGACCGCCGCGGCGCACGAAGTCAGTGTTGAAGTATGACTCCAGTCTTCCAAGGCTGACAATCCCATCCTCACGGATGCAGCCTTTTGTGTAGCGGCCATCTACTGACTTGAACACCGCCAAGTGGCCGCCTGGCATCTGCGGGACTGCGTAGTCTGATTCCTCGTCGTCTCCTCCTCCTCCTCGCAGTTGTGCAATCGGCTCGCTCAACTTGAGCAAGATGTTCGCTTCGGGATCGATGAGAGTGTCGTAAAATGTGTCGATGACCCTCAACGAGCCATGTCTTCAACGACTGGGTTTACGGAATGAATGCATGTTCGGACTTCAACAACGATAGCCGGACTTCATCTTTGATGCTAACGCTTCTCATTGCACCATCCCAGTCGTCGCGAATATCTTCCACGCCGTTGCATGTCGCTGCAACCCAATCTCTGGCGACTTGCTGCGGGTTTGCGTTGGCTTCTGGCTTGCTAGTAGCTGCACAACCACCTCCTCTGTGAAACCGAGGAACTGACATGTGTGAATGGTATCTAGCCTTGTAGTTATTGTAATCGTGCTGACGGTACCTGAACGTTTGGCTTCAGGACTTGCGCTTTGCCATCTGGAGGCTGAGCTGCTAGTGAATGTGCCGGAAGACGAACGAGATTTTGTCATTGGGGGGCTCAGAAGACCCCATGATACCTGTCTGCATCCTTTGTCAAGATGGCATTTTTTCACAATATGTTGCCGATAATTTCTTTCGTCCATCAGCAGGGAGGAACCCACTGGTGGCGCACAAGGTGACAAGGTGTAGCAAGAAGCGTCCCCAGTCTTAATAGGGGTATGGGAGAAGTTTTCACGCGTGACTTTCCCTAGAATGCACCATTCTGTCGGGCGCTTTGGCACGCAGGTTCTGGACCGATACAAGAATGTCAAATTTGGACTCCAGACTCCACTAATCGAGTATCTGCACAATAATCAAAAACTCGCCAGCGTCACGTTACGGCTTATGATGCTTTCCAATGACCTCGAGTCCGCGAAACCATATTGGTCGTGTTATGCCCAGAACAGTCCCTGGGCACAGTCCAGAGCTACTTGGAGGAGAAGAAATTGTCTGGGGAGATTTAAAGCTACCTAAGGATCGAAGCGATAGCAATCGGAGGAGGGCTCAAAAATCCTGGGGAGGGCATACATGGCAAGATGGCGAAGCTCAATTACTCTCCAGATGTACTCTCTCGACAAGACTGGTTGAAAAGTTCGGATACTACTTACGAAAAAGCGCTTAGGGAGTAACGGAAGCATACAACATCAACGCTCAGGAGGTGTGTCAGTACCTGGTGACGGCGGAAGCAAGATCGGCCAAAGTCGATCCGTCAATAGAGGGGACCCTACCAACCTCCGTAAACACCCTGTTTGGTTCTATTGTGGATAACACTCTCCTTCGTGAAGATACACGCCAACCACTGCTACACCCGCTCTTGGAAGATGGGAAAAGTGTGACTAACTTCGTTGAGAACTCAGAGATTCTAGAAGACATCGAACCCGGAGATCTTCAAGACCTTTGATAACACCATCTCTCGCTTTGTGGCTCGAAATCGAGGAAATCTGAGATAGGATTTGAAGAAGCACAGCGAAAGCTCGCTTCTCTTCAACTTCTTGCAGCATGTTCAACGGGAGGGACACGGCTACTGCAAAAGTCAGTCGCCGTGACCTACAGCAATTATGAACAACCATAGCGTCCCAAAAGTACGTAATCAGGTGGCTGTACAGTTTGTAGGCGTAGTTTGCAGTAGCTTCTGTATTTAGCGTAGCTTCACTACTGTTCATTAGGCGTGGTGTTGAGTGAACGTTAAAAAAAGCAGAATAATGTCAGAGGAGTTTTGGACCTGTAGAACACTACAGGCCTGTTGCAAAACATTATAAAACGCTAGTTTAGAACTATCATATATATCAACTTTAACCACAGGGGCTTAAAACTATACAAATATAAGACATAACTAACGTATTCCACCATCCAACCCGCCAACCCACCCGATTCGCCAAAACCTCTTGACACAACCAACGGCGGAATACGTTACACTAAAATAATATCATAGGGCTCTCTTGAGACAGGCGATATCTCTGACAGCGAAAACGACCTAGGTGGCGTGAAGGTCGACCAGATGACGTGGTGGACGAGGATCTGATCGAGGATCTATCTGCTTTTCGACAATCTCTGGGAGGAGAGAAAGCGTTTACGAGCTTCTGTGATCAGCTGAATGTCTTTGTGACACCGAAACCCCCAGCGGTCAAAGATGATACGGCCACTCACGGCATCACAAATGACAATGTGCCATCGGGACATGCTAAAGACGCCACGCCAGAGAGCGTCTTACGGCCACGAGAGTATGACAGTTTGATGCCCAAGATTTGTAGGCCGATCCAGACTCTGGTGATTGCAGCCGGCTACCTTGAATCACCGCTCCTTCCTGGTTCAGTCCAGCTTAGGTGGCAATGTGTGAGTGCAATCGTCTCCTCCTTTGTGGTCAGGGTCTACGATGCTGACATTAGTGCAGAAGTGCAGCGAATCCTTCTCTTGTGACGTGATGGAGTACTACACAAGTGGCGTTGCTCAAGTCGTCGAACGGATCAGGGAGTCGATAGGTGCTGAAGTTGCCACTACCTCATACAGCAACAATTCCATTAACCAAAGATGAAGGTTAAACACTTCTAGATGAGAGCAGAAAGCAATAGGATGCATTTCATCTGGTTCGAAGAGTACACTGCCACAGCACATTGCACCTAATCAGCCAGCTACACAGGCGACCGCGACAGTGCGGGCGAACGACACGCTGCCTCCTGCTCAAAGCGCCCTCCATATCTTGTCTTAATTACATCAGATGCATGAGCTCAAGGCATTTCTCGCTCTTTGTTTTCGTGCACAAGCAGCTACGGCAGCATCGTAGTCGCCTTCGTAGTCTCTTCTCGTTTAGAAGCGTGCAAGGCATATACTTTTTAAAAGTAAGCCATCTGAACAAACAATGAGCCAAGAGCAAGATTCCGAAATATCACTAGGTCCATCTACGAGTTGGAAATATGGTCGAGGTCCGAGAATAGATGTCATCCTGCAGCGATCCACAGTCATGCCTCTGCTTCCTGCCGGATGACAAATGAGAGGCCTCTCCAAGTGCAGAATATCGCTTCAAGCCGGTCATAGTAGCGTAACCACCCATTGAATATCAGTACGTGCTGCATATGCTTAACTCTCCGGGCTGCATCAGCGATCAAGGCACGTCTATTCTCAATATCTTGCCTCGACAGATATGTGGCAAACTCGATGAGAGCGTAGCAGAGCCGGTAGAGGGCTGGGATATATATTACCACGAAGGCCTGGACGCTGACTTGATATCAGCTGGATATTGAGTATAATCATTCTGGGCAGTCTATTGTTTGGCGTACTTTGCAGTCGGCATTGGAGATGGTCATTCAGGGCGCATTCGGTGCCAGTTCGTAAATGATGACAGTAAGTGGAATTCTCATTACTTGGGTCACGACTCGTGCGAATAATCATGAGTAGCAGAATGTCGTAGGGAGAAAGAAGCACTCGAGCGCGTCGCGCCTCCCAAATCTACATTACCTCCACATGACCTCATTCCGAGGTCGTTCCGTCCAATTCCGAGCCTCATCGCCGAAAAGGTAGATCACCAATCTGGCACTTCTCACCAACAACACAACCACAATCTCCTACACACTTTATGCACCGGCCCCGTCAAACCCTGATCCCACGCAACATCTCTCCAACCAACCTGTGCACTCTGTATCGCCTACGCAAAATGTCCGCCGCTCCGCCCCCAACACGACCGATAAAGATTCTCTTCTTGCACGGCTTCACCCAATCCGGGCCCCTCTTCAGCGCAAAATGCGGCGCCCTGCGGAAGACACTCCAGAAAGCCTTCCCCGCGGGGATTACGCTCTCGTTCCCCACCGCGCCTCTACGCCTATCACCTACCGACGTGTCGTTCCTGCATGGCGAAGAGAAGAAAGATAACAGCGACGAAGAGGTCGATGCCTGGGCTTGGTGGCGCCGCAAGGGCAACAGCGAGCCGTACACATATGCCGGTCTTGAGGAGGGATTGGGGCGGGTAGCGCAGGTGCTGAAGGAGGAGGGGCCGTTTGACGGCGTGGTGGGGTTTTCGCAGGGTGGCGCTGCGGCGGCTATGGTCGCGAGCTTACTTGAGCCTGGGCGTAGAGAGGCGTTTGAGAAGCTGCAGAAGGAGGGTGGTATGCGGTATCCGGAGAGCTTTGAGGCGGATACGGGGTATGTGGAGGGCGTTGTGCATCCCCCATTAAAGTTCGCGGTGAGCTACAGTGGATTTGCAGCGAGAGGGCAAAATCCGTATCATGCATTTTATGAGCCGAAGATTAAAACGCCGGTCTTGCACTTCCTGGGTTCTCTGGACACAGTGGTTGAAGAGAGCAGGAGTCTTGCATTGGTGGAGGCATGTGAGGTGAGTGAAGGAAGAGTCGTGTATCACCCTGGTGGCCACTTTCTTCCCAGCACACAGAAGGCAAGCGTGAACGCGTTGATTGGATTCATCAAGGACATTTTGCACAAGGCTGAGGGGCCAAAGAAGGAGGAGGAAAGCGTGGAAGACATGGATGTGCCCTTCTAAACATGCGGTCCGTGCAAGCGCGGCGTTCACCTATAGATGGACAAGACTTAGACTGGCATCTTTCTAGATGTCTATATTACATGCGCAATGCATGCGCGGAGGCGAATATAGATGGCCTCCCAAGTCTAGGCTAATCATGATTCTTCGTCACATCACTTCTTCATCGCTCAATTCGCCTTGCCCTTGACTGCCTTCTTGTCAACCTTGGCAGGCTGGATGCGCGCCATCATCTCCTCCTTTGTGATGAGATGGTCCACACGCTCCAGAAGGCCGAGCAAGCTCTTCATGTTCCCACTCCACTCGTTTAGGATGTCGTCAGAGTCGCGTGGCTTGGAGAAGGTAACGATGCGTGCAGGCCTGTCGATCTTGGCGTAGATGGTCTTTGCGGTCACCAGTTCGCTGATGTACTTCTCCGTCTCGTCCTCTGTCAGGTCGAGGAGCTCCGTGAGGCGAGGGATCTGGATGCGAGTGTAGTACTTGGCAACAACGCGCACGTTGTGCTCAATGACACGCTTGCGCAGGTCCTGCCACCTCTTGTGTGCCTGCTCGTCGTCTGAGCCGTCCTTCTCTGCGTCGAAAACGTCCGTGTCGGTCAGGTGAGGACCGAACTGCTTGGAGACCATAGGCCACCTCATCAGCTCGGGGATGGTGAAGAGCTTGAGTAGTTGTGCGTCTTGTGAGATCTGCGAGTTGCGTGTGTCGCGCTGGATGCGGTGGATGAGGTCGGACTGCTCGTTGTCGTAAGGTGCGAGGATGACGAAGTAAATGACGCGCTGGAGGATCTGTAGTGACAGTTAGTATAGTTCCATGCCCAGCTTGACAAGGCTGACGTACCGCTCGAAGCTTCTTAGGATCCTCTTCGACGGCCTCTGTATCCAGCACCTGTCGGTAGTGCTTGCAGACGTCGAGGTACTTGTCATCGTGCTTCGCCAGCGTGATCTGCTGCTCGTAGTACTTCAGCTTGAGGTCTGTGACATCATCTTCAGGCTCAATCGGTGGGTCATCTGCACTGCGAGTCTTCTCCTTCTCTTCGCGCTCCTTCTGGTCTTTCTCCAGCTGCTCCGGGGTCTTCTTCGGCCTGCGCTGGAAGTAGCGTGTGCTCATCTTCCTGCTTAGAATGCCGGCTTGTGTCCAATCACCCTTCTTTATGCAGAGCGCAACCTGCTGCAAGATGAACTCGGTCTTCTCTCGTCGGGTCATGGAGCCGAATGTCTCCACCTGCAGCTCGCAAAGGATGTCTGTCGCCGCATTGATATCGCCCTGCTCCTTCTTTATATCGGACAATATCCTGGTAACGCGGGCGCGCTCGACTTCGACGAAGATCTGCCATTCGCATTAGCTTCTACGGGTTGTTCTTCAATTTGTATTTCTCTCACCTTGCCCTCGGTAACTGTGCGCAGCGTCTCAATAACAGAGAGCTTTGTGTCGAGGTTGGGGGTATCGTCGAGGAAGGTCATGACGGTCTGTACCATCCTGGTGGTGGCCTGCTTGAGCTGTCCATGCTTCTTCGAAAGTAGGAGGACCTGCTCGTTCATGAGGTTCCAGTCATTTGCGTTCTTGGCTATTGTGACGATGGCGATGATGACTCGGTTGGTGGATGCAAGATCTGAAGCCTGAGAAAGGTCAGTTCGCAGTCGCGTGCGCGCGGTATGTGGCACCATACCTGGCGTGTCTTCTTCTCGAGCGGAAGCAGTTGGTCGATAGCAGCTTGTGGGTTGCTCTAGGGTACTGATTAGCTTACTTCCAGCTACAAATCAGCTCGAGTTTACCTTTCCAAGTTTCTCAGCCTCTGGGATCTGGGTGTCGGCTTCCTTCGAGAAGTCCTTCTCCGCCTTGAGCACCTCTCCGCTAGACATGGTGGCGGGGTTGTCGTGTGGTCGTTGCGTGTGGATGTGTAGACTCTACTTGGGTGCTCTGATATTGACGGCAATTAAGAGGGGGAGGTGATGTTGGGAGCGGAAGGTGATGGTGACAGCGCGGCGACAATGTTTGGGGTGCTTCACTCGCGGCTTGATGATGGCACTACGGCGGCGGTCGCGGCGCTCGGACCATGCCCTCGGAGCCGATCTCACCGGTACCAGCCTGGTGAAGTAGACCATCCCATTTCCATCAACCTTTTTGCATTTAGCAACACAACGAACTTGCTCCCTTCCGAGTCTGAATCTACTCATGGAATACCATCCAATGGTTCAGGTGCTGACTGCAAAGTCTGGCTACTTGACGAGGAACATGTCAGCTCCAAGATGGCAAAACACTATCAACCTGTTCGCTGGAATCATCATGTCTAAGAGGTTCCCTCTCACCTTATTCTTGCAGTTGCTGCTATGATGCATCTTCTCTCATGCTGTTTCGTACGATAATCAGCTGTCGTCTGCTGCAACTAAGCGCGCCTCATCAAGCGTCGGCCAATGTCCATCGATGATATGCGCCCATGTCCTGCATATAAAGCCAGCCTGTTTCCCCGCAGGCAACCTCAAGCCTAGTGATCCCATAGTTGTCATACAACTTGAACGTCATCATAGCATTCCAAGTAACATATCAAAGCAGCTCACCATGACTTCCAAAGAGCGCCAAACAGCAGACAAACTCGTCACAGCCTACAACGCCATGGACGTCTCCTCCATAATCGCCCTGCGCACACCAGACTGCCAGCGCGTCTTCCTCCCCTCCACCCTCAAACACCCTCCTCAATCCAACGCCTTCTTCAAACAGAACCTACTCGCCATCTCCGCAATCTTCACCTCTTTTAAAATTGCTGTCGACGACGTGATCGAAGGCACGTCCTCCGACGGCAGCAAGCGCATCGTCATGTACGTGTCAGCTTTTGGTGAGAGCCCCGTGGGCGAGTACAAGAATCAGTATGTTTGGAAGATGGGGTTTACAGAGGACGGGGAGTTGATCAAGGAGTGGACTGAGTTTGTGGATGTGGGGGTTGCGAGGGACTTTTATCCAAAGCTGAAGGGGGAGATGGTGAAAAGGGCGGCAGCGAGTGAGAATGAGGGTGCAGCTGTGAAGTCGCAGGTGAAGAAGGGAGACGAGCTGAGGCAGGCGACGAGAGAACATTACATGGGGATGCAGGGTGGGGAGGGAGGTGTGAGATAGCACGCCATGTAGCCCGGTTCGTTACTCCTTCTAACTCACGGTATATCCGCCCCTCCGCGCATAAGGCACTCATGTCGTATTAGTGTTCGAACCACCATCTCTCAACCCGTCCTTATTGTCTCCATCCCTCTTGTCTTCATCCCTCTTGTCTCCATCCCTCTTGTCTTCATCCTTATTGTCTTCATCCTTATTGTCTCCATCCCT